AAATCATGATTGGGATGACAGTGATAAATAATAACAATAACAACAGTTATGTTATGATCACACTAATAATAATGAGAACTAAATTATTTTTGGGAAGAGCTATGTTATGTCCATTATGTCACTTCAAAAATGAGATAGATTGTAAATGAATTACTAAATTAAATTATTTAGCTCGGTAATTTATTTTCCATCTGCTTCACTCATTCAGAAATACATAACAATTTGATTACTAACTGGAAAGCAGATAAAGTAAATTTGAGATTTCAATATTAATTTTTAAATACCGGAATTATCAACGCTGATAACTCTGTCAGTGATTTACGAAATTTGTTTCGTATAAACGTCCTGAATTTGCTTAATCACCAGTTATTTACATGCTACCATGCTTCAGTAGAAACTTTAAAATGCCAACGGAATTTGATGAAGTTAAAGGCATGTAGCCGAGATATTAATCCAATAGTAAAACGGTAATAAGTAATAATGTACACGACATAACTGATACGCTGATCAGAGATAGAGGTTGTTATGCAGAAAGCATTGGAAACGAGGAAAGTATCACCATCATTTCTGCCATTCTTCATCTACCACATCAAAAGCTGAACACTGAGAAATTAAATGAAAATTAAATCATAGAAAATAAAACGATAAAAAAAGATAAAAGAATGGCAACTTTACGGGATTCGCTTTATAAGATGTAAGTTCACCAAATGGTCAAGAAAATAGGTAAGCGATCGAGACTTTTGCTTTGAACAAGAAGCAAATGAAGTGTGTGCAACCTCTCTGAAATAAAATGAGGGTAGGAACTCTTGTCACTACTGTCAATTTATTTCAACTGATGGAAGAACTGAAAGATAAAAAGACCTTACAATAGATGATATATTTGATAAATTAATATTCCAAAGACTCAGAGGTCTCTTGACATTATAAATTTATCGATATGAAATGTAAATAGTAATCTCAGATGTCACGAGGAATTTAAAACGCAAAAAAATTTTCAAAAAAATTACGATTGAAAACACTCAAAATAGACACGATTGTTATATGATTCATCTCCATGTTGCACATTAAGAATTTCTGATACAAATGAGGGATTGACATTTATCAAGCAGATTATTCCAGTTCTAAAATTTAAATATCCGATCTTTCAAAACTATGAGATTAATTCAAAAAAGGCAAACAAAGATAAGACCACTGCAAGAATTGATTCTTACCGAAATCTTCTTGGTACGATAATTCTGAGGATATCCCTATATATATGTACCAGGAGATTTTGGTAAGAAAGTGTTTGCATATGTGCATGTCTATGTATAGCTTTGTTGTTTACTCAACAAATAAAAATTAGTAGCAAATGGAAATTAGTGGGATTCTGAGAAAATAGTTGTACTTTCATATCGTTTGCTCAGTGATGAAAAGGAGCAAACTGTATATTGATATGTAAAACAATGAGTCATTTTAATGAAATATGGAAAGAAATAAATGGTAAGTGGGGTTGCAGTGATTTGGAAGACAAATTAAGAATTAAGAAATAAAGAAGTAATGGGAAGAGGTGATAAACGTTAGGATTATGAGTTATTAATGGAAATTTGTTCTCCAGAGTTGCATAACCACATAAAGGAAAATTTTCACTTAGCTCTCAGAAGCAGTTAAAAAAGTGCCCATAATGTAGCAGTATGGTGTACCACATGGCTACATTGTGGTGTAAGCAATGTTATAAGCGCTCCTACTGTATCAGTTTTTATCAAACAATGATAAGACACGCTGAAGACCTATTTGACGATTAAAATAGATCAACTAATTTCAAAATAAACAATGTCATACATTCTAAAGCTCAGAACTTCAGTATCATATTTACCTAGCATTTAGCTATGTAAATTCTTTCGCCAATATTATCACATGGTCACATCCAAACCAGCATCATACCAAAATTTTCATTCTAGCCTTCCAAAGAGTTATGCTGGAAAACGCAACATCAATTCTCCATAATTCTCTCCATACAAAACATATAGTACATTATCAGACAATAAATAATACCGAAGATAGGATTTTGTAAAAAAGGGAAACTTCAGTCGACTGACCCTCTTCTCTTTCAATAAGATTTGAATTGAATGAATTTGATCCCACTCATCCGACAAAAGATCAAAAGACTTAAAACACTATATTTCTACCTCGTCAGAGATTTTGAAAATGATCACAATTATGATTTTCCGTAAATAATCATATTAATCACTTATCTAATTAATCACAAACACATTAAACTCAGTACTGGAAGATAAAATAGATCGATTTCAAGATTGTTACGATAATATGATATAATATTGCTTAAATATGAAAACAATCATCAGAAATTATTCTGTTTGAATTAGTATCATTTCGCCATTTTGTCTTCTCATAACTTCAAGAAATTCTCCCTCACACAAAAAAATGTCATTTTCTTTAGAGAAGCTGAAAATCAAGGCAATAAGTAGCATATCAATGTGCTGAAACGTATAAGGAACAAATTATCAACGAAGCGGTAAAACTTACCTACTGCAAACCTACTCACCATTGAAAAACGTTTCAAAAGCTCAACAAACATTTTTATTAAAAAAAAGTGCATTGGTAATACTAACTGAAAGAGAAAGCTTAATTTAAGCACCAAATCACCATAGTTATAATTCCCACTGACTTAAAAGTATCCTTTCTTAATTTTAATTAATTCAGCAAACGTTATCTGTAAAATATCTGAAAGTCATATATGTCAAAGCAAAGTGCTGAAATAAACAAAATTACAGCGTGGAAATTTTGGTACTTAAGCAGTTTTAACAATCTTATTGAACAGTGATAACACCGAAGAGCATCAGAGGAGGCTAATACTTTTATATTGTAATTTGATGATTCATTAGCAGTTTGCGGACAAACGCGGAAAATTTCTTTTTTGCTATCTGTTCAAATAAGTTTACTATATGACCTGAAGTTTTTCCAACCTTCTCACGTCTTTTCCATGAGTATTTGACAAAAATGCACTTGTAAGAAGTTTAAAAATTCTTAGCTTTGTCGATAAGCTTATTTTAAGCATCCACTGGAAAATTACTTTTTTTTTTTGAGTTTTAATTAGTTTAAGGAATAAAAATGAAAACTGAGTGAATACCAAACAACGAGTTTCCTTCAGTTTTCTTCAGATATCATTAACTGGAGAAAAATATACACCTATCAGGTAGTACGGTAGAAGTGCTCTGTTTATCAGTGAACGAAATAAACTTATTATACTTTTTCATCAATTCTGAATGGTTAATCTAGAAGTGTACCATGCAAAGGTTGCAGAAAAATGGTAGAAGTTGGAGAAAATACGAACGAACTTCCAGGAATCCTAAATTTATTGAACCAGTTTCTCATGTTCAGATGGAAAAAAGAGAAGGAAGAGATATGGCATGTTTGTGTTGAGTGAAAACGGGACAGATAGATTATATGCAAGGAATGAAGAAAACAACCGACTAAATCAAACGCTAATAGCACCGACGGGGCGCAAATACACCGTCCCTTATGTCTTCGTCACATTCCATTAAGTGTCGCTTTTTCTCATATCATCTTTTTTTCACCATACCGTTCATTATAATAATAACTGGCTCTTTAGAAAATGTTGAATTGTAAGAAAGATGGAAAGATAATATGAAGAGAAAATAAGGATGCAACAGGTGAGTACAACAATAACAAATGAAAAGGTATGCTGTGTGTATGTATGTATGTATGTATATATACATATATATATATATATATATGTGTGTGTGTATGTAGAGATACATATATATATATATATACAGCAGAATAAAGACGATAAATATGCCTATATAACAAGAAGGTAAATTCAGCATTTTAACGAGTAAACGAGATGTAGATGTAATAAGGAGAGTGAGATGAACAATAAGGAAGATTCGGATACAGCGAGAATAATGAGGATACCGCACTTAAACGCTTCTGCTTACAAATTTTACGATTCAAATTTTTTTTGATAGATGCTTCTCGAATCTTTGCGTCGACCTCTGGAATTAATAAAGAATTTTAGGATGGGAATCTTTCAGCTTCTTAAGACTGATCAAATCATCGATCTCACAAGAAATATAGATTGCGAGAAAAATTTTGGAGAGGATCCACCTATTTAATCTTAATTGCTGATTTTATGAACTTCATCTAAGAATTTTCAGGAGGACTATTCTAGTTTATTTCTTAGGAGAGTATATTCAGGAAACTATCACAATTTTTAATTTATTGTTACAATCAATCTCGATCTCGACCAGCAAGTAACTGCCTTTTGAAATGAAATCTCAAGATAAATATGTCGGAAGCAAATATTCGCTAGGTCATTATAAGGTCCATTCTTATGACCTTCTCTCCACCACGATGACTGATTTTCTCATCTCATAAAAACAAGATTTAGGGAAAAGCATAATTCAAGAAACAGGTCAAAGGTTATGCCGAGGATAATCTCAAAAAATATTACTGAATGAAAAGACAGGCAAGCAAGCTGTTAGTATGACTGTGGCTTGAGAAAGTTACATGACCGGCGCATTTGGAAAAACATAACAGTTCGAGAAAAGATAGGATTTTAGACGGGAATCATATTAGGGAGGAATGAGAAAACCAGGAGCAGTGCCTCATGCTGATCGGGAAGAGTGGGAACTGAGAAAGAACGGAATGAGAAACTGAGATGATAAAAACAGGACCAATTATCAACGACATTAATCAAGACCAGTTGTTAATAGTTCGGTGGTTTAGGGTTAGTTCGCAACTTTCAGAAATTTGTGGCTTGCTGCTGCTCTACGTGCCACTAGTGATGAGGATAGTGTTTTTGGTTGTTATATTACTAGTCTTGAAGATCTTGAACTCTGACATATGGGTTGAGTGTGACAGATCTTAAATTAGGACTTAAGCAGCTAATTTTCTTGTATTACTCTGCAAAGCGTATGAGACATCAAGCAGTTTCTTTGGTTTCATTTGATTTCAGAAAAAATGTTAATGAAGAATCAATGGGTGCACTGAGTAGCAGTGTCAGGAAAGAATTCAGCCCTGATTGGATTGCTCCAACTTCAAGAAGTAAAGGTGATAGCATTCGGCGTAATCGCTTAACATCTATTATACATAATAAATGTTTCATTGAGAAATTGAAAATTTTCGGTTGGCGACAGAAGGTAATTCGATTTTTTAATATAAATTGTTTGTGAAGCTTGAATTTTGGTAAGAGTCTTTTTGAAGCTGCTAAAATGGTGAGCTCTTTACGACAGTTTTCATGAATTAAAAAATTAAAGAATTTTTGCTTCGACCTCTTTCCTTGTGTTTTATTTAGCATCCATCAGTACACTGAGTACATGAATTACAAGTTTAGAAATTTAGGTTCGTTTTTTCTTCTAATTTTGTAGATTTTAAGTATTGCCAGTTTTATTAGTTTCACCGTATGGAAATACCAACTTAAAGCTTCAAGCTTTTTCGTTTCAGTACCGACAGATATCGCGAGAAGATCAGCGTGCTTTTTGCGATCTTATCAGTCATTGGACAAGTACTGAACTTGTTGCTCTATTAACAGAAATGGAAAGTGCCTGCAGGGTGCGGGAGTTAATTTCGATGGCTGAGGAAACGCGACCAGGCACATCTGTTCTGGCAACGGATTTGCTGAATGCTTGGAAGAATGAAATAGTTTCTGACTGCTTTGTTACACATAAGGTAATCGTACTTTGATTTTCACTGGCAATTCTGAAAGTTCAAAAAACTTCTGTTTACACTTTTTTTTGAATAATTTTTCTGCAATTGCTTTCTTATTTTGTTTTTTTTATTAATTTAAATTGTATGAATGGATTTAAAACAGCTGAAAGGAGTAATCATTCACTCCAAGTAATTCTTGAAGACAAGTAAGGGAGCAGCATTGTTTTTCATTTATTTTTTGATTTTCAGGACTAGTAAAGTAAGAATCGTATTTTTCTACATAAAAAAAAATAAATTGTGACAGAGAATTTATCCTTATTCACCCTTCAGTGCATTGTGCTTCATTAATAATTCAAAACTGGTCCAAAATTTGCCTTAAAAAATTTCATCTTTTTATTTTCTGTCAGCTCACAGGCTTACCGAAACACTTGAAAGGAGACTGACCATTTTCTAAACATCGCGCTTGTGCTATTAGTGTAAGCAATTTTTTGGTTCATTTCGTTAATAAGAACGAATTTCACCCGCTTCCAGGGATTCCGTTATGCTGCTCATTCCTTTATACTTCAAGCACGTTGTCGTTATTTCTCTGATTTCTGGAATTCATTGGTTACACAGCAATCGGATGATGCAAAGTTGGAAATCTTATTCATGAATAATAGTATATCGTCGGAAACATTCCAAGCTATGTTGTATTATATTTATTCTGGTGAATACGACAAATCATTATCTGATTTCGATCAACAGTCATTTAATGACATTTTACAAAGGTTTTATTTCAAATAAATCAATCAGCTGACTTTGTTTTATTATAGTTCCAAATAGTTTGAATTGTTTCACAGTGTTTGGAATGTCATTAAGATACCATAGTATCGCTAAGTACTTTTTTCTCCTAGATCGCATGTTTCTAATAACATCTAATTGCTTCTCACTGAAAATAAAAAGTAATGGATGTAGCGATTAGTGAGCAACGAAACTATATATGTTAATTGTCGTACTTGCATTAATAACGTTATTAAGTTTTAAGGTATGGTTGTGGTTCGTCTCTTTCCAGTGATCTTATGGCAGTGGATTCCCAAAAATGCGACTGTACCTTAATTTTTACAATGGGGAACAGTAATATTTAATTAAATTCTTGCATTATTTGTTATTATCAATCAATTTTTTGGGCACAGGTTGCAAATCTTTTTAGGAGAAGGAAGTCATAGTGAAAATTGTGATTATCGGATAAAATGTTCGGGAGCAATTCTGGCAGCACGATCTAGTTATTTGCGATCTGTGATAGAGAAACGTATTTTATGTGGTGAAGAGTTAAAAATTGTCATCAATGAACATCTTTTCCCACGCATATATGCACGTATTATTTTGGATGCAATTTACACAGATCGGTTGGATTTAAATAAGGTATCAGTGTTATTTAGTGAATCTTAACTATGTAGAATCGCTTTAGATATATTTTGTAGCAAGAAAGTTCTTTCTTTACAACAGCAATATTACTCCCTGGTCCAACTTAATTGTTGTGATATTCATTAATTTTCCATATGTCAGTATTCTGAAACTGATATAATCAAAATTATAGATGCCAGATGGATGTCAGGTATCAGTGAGCAGCTTGAGTGAGGTGCAGGCAATCGCATCTGGACAACGACATCTTGCTCCTCTTCGTCATGCTATTGATATATTCCACATAGCACAGTTTCTTAATCTTCCATATTTAATACATGGTTGGTGCATTAATTAAATGTATCTTTGGCTTACCCAGCGGAACGATAACTTTATCGGTTTAATTTAATTAACTGGTTCTTTATAAGAGAATTCAAACAGGAAATAACCTTTAATTCAAAGCTTTTTCAATACTTCTCCACATACTGTTCCTTTTGTAGAACTCATTAATCTGAATCCTTTGCGATTATCAGTGGATTGTACAAGGAACAGTTGTCCAGCCTTTTTTTTAGCCTGTGAGGACATTATCGTAGCGCAAATATCCATAGAAACGGTGGGAAGCCTATGGAATTGGGCATGCGAGCCTGGTGGTTCTGCTTACGTTCGACGTCATTGCATCGCATTTCTTTGTGCCGATTTTTCTCGAATTTGTTCTTCACATTTACTTTTTGAGCTAGAAGAAGATTTACTGAAGGATTGCCTGCTTTCTGACTATGTTCAGGTTTCCAGCTATTCTTCGTTTTTTTTTATCTCTTTTGTTTCTTTTATTTATTTTATGACATAACATTTCCTTCTATAACTTCCGAATTAAATATCGTTGTAGTTTAATATGGTATTAGATCAGTTGGTTGAGGTAAATTGTAAATTGTTAAGACATATATATTCCAACGATAAGAGTTAGCTTATGTAGTCGTATGTAATTTAAAACTTATATAGTCGCTAATTGTATGGATCGAACGAATTAGTAAACCTTTCTGTGTGAGAGCATACAGATGTAATTGTAGTACTATTTGCATCAGCAATTAATTGGAGAAGTGAAGCGTTGCATATGTAGAAGTTCACTTGAAACTTGATATATTTGTGTTTATAGTGTGTTGAAGTGAAAATCCTGGAAACAGTAATACGGTGGGGTGAACATCAATTGATGCGACGAATGGAAGAACGAGAACCAAACTTAATCGCCAATACTGCTCACAGTATCAGTAGGAAAGGCATTCGCCGGTCTGATTTGAATGATGTAGAACTGAAAAGTATTTTATCAAATTTACTACCTCTTGTTCGAATCGATTATATTCTTCCTCCATTCCACCAGGTAATAATTTATTGATGGAGTAAATGTTTTATTTCGGTTATGGCCTTCATTTATTTATTTTTTTTGTTCTACTTTTAATAAATTTATTTAGCTTCTGCACAACTTTTATAGAGTTTGAATGCTGCTTATAAACGGGGTTTGTTGGACAGTTCACCACATATGGATTTATTGGGCCAACGTTATCCGGATAGCAGATCTCCGGATGTAAATCCTGATGCACATTGGTTTGATCATAGTGTACCACGTCGACATGCTGCCGGACCACGACTTCTACTACCATATATTGTGGTTCGTTATTATAAATTTAAGAAATATGGTTCGCTTTTTTAATTCCGTAATTTTTCTTAATTTTATAGGAAGTCCGGAAGCAGTTGAGACGTTTATGTAGAAGTGGAGAAAATGTATCATACACACTGCAACAAAAAACTTCACAGGCTGATGAACTGCAAATTTTCGTCAATAATTTATCTCCAGAAACTGTTCCTGAGAGTTTAAGACTGAAGGTTTTTGCAGATTTTATTAACTTTAACTTGTTTCTAGATTTTTTTCTTTTTTTGTTTCTGTTGTTTTGCTGATGAAAAAATTGCTTGTTCAAAAATCTTCAATTTATGATCGTGTATTGTAAACATTCTTTCATTTGTTATTTGAATTGAATTTTCAACAGTTTTTTCAACGTTGTGTAGGCTGTGTCAGAATGAAATTGTATTTATTAACAGTTAAAATATGTGACAAACTTACAAATTTGGAACCCACATGCATGAACTAGAGAAGATTATTTTGATCAAAATTAATTGGAGACGGAATATGTTGCAATGCAGTTTACTTGATTTTCATGTATAGAGTTCAAAATTTCAGATTGAAAAGCGTGTGAAGGAATTGGCTGAAGATGATTTATTGAAGAAAGTAACCTGCTGTGGTTGTTCATATCATCTTGAGTTAGCCATCGAGCAGGTTGGTTATGCATTTAGATAATAAAATTCTCTAGATTCATTTGAACTTCTTATGTCCCTTCAATTTTTATCCTCTCAGGCTTTAGATTCGTCTTCATGTACTTCGAGAATTAAATATTGGTGAGAAATGTGTGGAAGTGTTATGTATTAATTCGGCATCAAAACAAAATCTGTTGCCATATTATTACTGCAGCCAGCCAACAGTAACTGCCGTTAATATTGACGTCTCCCTTTCTTTCACAGCGCTTTCCAATTATGGTATTTTCTTATTTATTTTGATATACTAAGAAGTCAGAAATGGTCACTGTATTATGTATGGTTAATTCGTTTAGTATTTTTAATAATGGTGGAGTTATTGAAACCATCAAGCTGCTTATGTGATCAATTTTTAGCACAAGGAATTACTTTGCACACAGATATTTAATGATTGCATGAGACAAACGGTCTTTCTTTTGGGTAAAGACAAAATACTTATTTTATCTTCAAATGCCTTATTTAAATTAAATAGATGGCTATTTTTATCTTAAAAAATGGACATTTGATTGGTTTTAAAAGAATCAAAACGAACTTGAAGTTAAGAGGAAATAGCAATTTATTTGTTATTTACTTTAGTCATATATAGGTTCTTTCTTCTGATTACCCCTATCTTTTCATCAACTTTCCTGTTTAAATGAGCACCATTTCATTCAGTTTTACATTTATTCATTTCCAAGGAATTCTTGCATGATATCCCTTCCTTCCTACAATGTTCTTCTTTTTTCTTTTTTCAGATAACCACAAGAAAAGCTGTTTACCAGACGTACTGCACAATGGAACCACTTTATAATGCTCATGTATTGTGTACGATATAAACAATATCCGTCACTACATTTAAAGGACTAAATACACAATATGACATTTGTAAAGTAACCTTGATGACATTGTTACTTTATACTTAGCATATTGTGTCATTTAATTTTGTGTATGTTCTAATCGCTAAAGTAAACAAATTCTCGAAAAGCAAACTAGTTAAACATCCTCGCCATCTGTACAAATAAAAATTATGTGTTCTGTTGTGTTTAATTGTTAATTGTTTATGAATGTAATAATTGCAGAATTAAATGTGAATTTCCATTTTGGATTCGAAATCTGACGCTTTTTGACTTTGAAACCGATACCTCTAAATATCCACAATTTTCTCGAAATAACCACTTGTTCTTTGAAAATCAGTCATTTTTCTAGTTTTGATAAAAATCTAGAAATCGATGATTCGTTGATCCAAAACTGATCAAAGTTTCTTTTAAAATGAGTTGAAATGTTGTTAGTAAAACATAATTTCCACTTTTGAAATTTTATAAGTGTAACTCCGAAATTTCGTAAGCGCGCTGTTTTCAGTTTTAATTTCGCGAATCTCAGTCTAAGTGTGGATAAGAAAATGACATAGTATGTCAAATAATATTGTTGTGTTCTTTTTTGATGGTAAATAGCTAAAATTTTAACTCGGAAAATCTTGGATTCAAAATTAAATGGATGGTCCTCAAAATAAAAAATGTGGATATAACGGATAAAACTTGGTTGTCCATTTTGAGATTCCCAACATGGAAATAATTTTCGACTCGTATTTTGCTTGCATAAAAAATTGTTGATAATTAGTTCTTTTGGAGCTTGGGGCTCTGAAAATGTCAACATCAATTCAAAAAAAGACCGATTAATCTTGGTGTAAGCAATTATGCTATTCCACCAAGATTATTGCACTCGAATTAAGGAAAATAGGAAGTATGCTTGATTCTGAAAATTAATCTCCGCTAATTTGTTCAGGAAAATTTTGTGCTATCACACTAATGGTGTAAAAAAGTTTATTTTTGCATAAGTTCGTTATGCTCTAGCGGGAAGTAAGTCATAAAAAGTTCTGGATTTTTGATCTGGTCAGTTTTTGATATCGTTCATTGTTTGCTACCAATATTGCAAACATGCTCCCTTGGAGAACGGTGAGCTGAGTTTTCCGCTCCCCTCTCCTCCTCCTCTCCCCTCTTCCCTTCTCCCTCTCCTCTCCCCTTTCTCCCTCCTCTTTTCCTCTCTCCTCCCCCCGCCCTCTCCATCTCCCTCTCCTCTCTCCCCGCTCCCCTCCTTTCTCTCCTCTTCTCCCCTCTCTCTCCTGTCCTCTTACTCCCGCTTCTCTCTCTTCTCCTCTCCCTCCCTTCTGTCCTCTTACTCCTCCTACGCCACCCTCTTATCCTTCCTCTTCCTCTTTTCTTCCTCCCCTCTCTCTTGTCCTCTCTATCTCCCCTTTCTCCCTCTTCGTCTCTCGCTCTTTTCTCTCCCTCTTCGCCTTCTCTCCCTCCTCTATTTTCCTCTCTGTCCTGTCCTCCCTATTCCTCCTCTCGCCCTTTTCTAACCTCCCTCCTTCCTGTCCTATCTCCCTCCTCTTCCTCCTTTCCTTTCTCTCCTACGTCACCCTTTTATCTCTCCTCTTCCTCTTCCCCTCCTCTCCTCTCCCCCTCTTCTCCCTCTCTCTTGTTCCCTCTATCCCTCCCCCTTTCCCTCCTCGTCTTTCACTCTTTTCTCTCCCTTCTCTATTCTCCTCTCTCTTTCTTCTCCTTCTCCGCTCCTCCCCTTTTCTCCTCTCTCTTCTGTCCTCTCTATCCCTCCTCTCTCTCTTTTCTACTCTCCCTCCCTCCTGTCCTCTCGCTCCCGCCTCTTCTTCCTTTTTTGAAGAGGGTTAAACAAATCCCATTTGTTGACCATACTAGCAACTTTTCCCATCCAAAAGGAAAAGATTAGGTGGTGAAAAATGCGATGAATGTAGGTGATCTGGGTAAAATGTTCTGTTGATTCATGAGAAATATTTTGAATTATTTTGTGGCTAACATCTCACAATTAATATTTGTTTGATTTTGCTTAGGTGAAGATATCGTGTCTTGTGATGAGAGACTGTTTCTGAAGCTAGAATCTTTGATCAATGAAAACAGGACATCAACAGTAGAAGCAATGCAAACCTCTCTCGATCTTAAAATGAATAGTGTTATTCAGAACGTTCGATCAAAAACTGCCGATAATTTTAAGGTTGGATTTTATAGTTCTGTTAAATTTGTAAAACATCTGGGCTTTTGATAAAAAATCATTGTTCAGGGAGGAAATTTAAAATAACCTTTTCAAATGCTATATGATACGTTGATTTTCAATATCAATTTATATTCTTTATTTTTTTCAAATTTTTCAGAAACAAAAAAAAAAAGATTTTGGAGCTTTAATATTTTTAACAGCACTGATTTGCCAATTCCATAGTTATTATTTGATTTTTTCCAAACTTTTGCAGGTATATCGAAAATGTGTTAATGGTATTACAAGTAAGGGATCCTACCATTGTTGGTAGCTACCGCCATGTTTTAAATCGATTACAAACATCTTTAACAGGTAAAGCAGGCGAATAATGCGTTGGTATTATTTGCTAAATATAAAAAGTTAGCAATGTGCGTGGTGAATATTGTGCACTATAACATAAGGATCATAAATTTATTAAAAAAAAAAACTTAAAAAATTCGTCTCACTTTGGTTTGAAGCGTCTTATTCCTTTCAAATGGGACAAGTAAGTTAGGTTGCATAAACTAATTTGAATTACCTAATCAGAACACTTGGATGAAATATGATACGATGCTCTGACATTTTGCAAGTTTAGACTGAATTTTTTTATTGGTTTAATTCATTTCCAGCATATATGGGAACAGATAGAAGTGCAAATTTAAAGAGACGAGCACGAATAATATCACAGTTAGCAGCGAACTTACTAAGGTGAACTAAGTTTCTGTAGTGGCTCTATTTGCAGCAGAAGATATGCAGACTAACTATAAAAAATATATAAATGTTGTCAGGTTTTGTAATTTCTATGTCATATTTTATTTCGTTCTAAAAACAGTAATGATATGTTAATGATATCACTGTAACAAAGCAGTCCTAATCTATTGTTTTCGTTCTGGCTTTCCAAATTAAGCGTTGTATTTCCGTAAATAGGATTCTCTCATTCTCCTACATAAAGTTTATATATTTTTTGGGATAGTATGCGGGTTGAGATCCAGTCGGCCAAAAAATGTGTTAATTAACAATATGCTTGCCGTCTAAGTTTGAAACAATTTTCGTTATCATCGACAAGAATATTTTGAAAGACATTTTTTAATCGAATGTCTCAAAAAGTATATTTTATGTATGATTTTTTTACAGTCTGTATAAAAGGTAGGCAAAAATTTATGTGTGATTTCACTTTATTATATACTGAGGAAGTTTGGTGCAGCAGAGAAACCAAATATAGAAGAAAGTCAAGAAAACATCAAACAGAGAATACCCTTTCTAAATTATAATCCCATTTCGGTCTTTATGCTCTGTACAAACTAAATTTGATAACCTAACTCTCAGACTCCATGAGAAGTGTGCTATGGAAGTTATGGCAAGCATATATATATATATATAATACATGTGTAAACCGACATACTGAAATACTCTGCTGGAGAGATGCAACCAAAGCTCATAAAATTTCGAGTTGAGGTTATGACTGTCGCTTTATAGGACCTGTTCGATTATTTATGAGAAATTGTATCTCTTGAGAAATATATCTTGAAATTGCTATAGATAAAGTAAAGAAATTGCTAGGCAAAGACATATACATTTAGGTACAAAATCATGACAAATCAATCACACACGCATTGGTCGAGCACGGAACTGAACTTTTTTACGAATCACAGCAGCAATTTGTGCAATTCCTTGGTTTTCAGCATCTCGTCCAAGTACAATCAGCGATTTTTGAAGTTTCACTTCTTTCCCTTCAATAATGTGATGGCCAATATGAAGTAAAGCCTGGAAACGAAAAATATTCAATTGCTTACTTTATTCTACTTAAGTTGTAAGTGTTTAAGTCATGAGTGTAAATGTCCCATTATAGCTTTTTTTTTTTTTCAAAGATACAAATTCTGGTAGTGAGATAGTATAGAATTTAATACAACTTTGAATGTAACTTATACTCTTGAACTCATTTATTTGAAAAAAAGGAACATTTTTTTGTTTTCCCATTTTAAGCTACCAATTCGTTGTCTTGCAAGTATACCAGCTGACTCTAAGGTCCCCTGTAATTCAATCATTGCCTGTTCTGCGATGCCATTTCTGAAAAAAAAATTTCTATTCTTGTTCCATTCATCTTTTATTTGTTTATCCTATTATAATTACTTTAGTCAACGCATAAAGCTAGCTATACGTTGATTAGCATATTTTAAACAAATGAAAATTCAATCATATATGAATTCGCGTTTTCAAAAGAAAAAAAAACCCTATTTTGGCTAACGGTACCTAAGATAAATGTTACTATTATGTTCTCATATTTTCAAAAGAAAAACTGAAAATAAATAATATGCTCTCCATGCGATAAAACGAATTATTCGTCTAGAATAAGTCGAATTTCTGGAATTGAAATATCAACCATTAATCCTTAAATTATTGTATAGAAAAATTCGTAGCCTATTCTCTATCCTTTTTACGAATGTTTAATCCTGCAAACTTCAAGAGATGAATTAATCAGTAATCGACAATCGGTAATCATTGCCAGAATTAAATTATTGGAAATTTTAATAGCTTGCAACACTAATATCTGATGTGAAATTCGATAATTCAACCGATTGCATATCAACTAGGATATTTTGGCCACTAGTGGAATTCGGCTTTTTTATTCTCGAATTGAGAAACCTATACTGCCAAAGACAGGATGGAGTTCAATCGATGATGTCCATATTTAGATTGTCCTTATTAAATTTGGATTTCAAATATTGAAACATTTAAGTTCATGTATGGACAGTCTGACTGTTAAGTTTTTCAAATCTAGAAATAATTGTAGTAATGAAATATGTAAATAATATAATCACAAATGTCATCTTATGATTAGGTAAATATCAAAGAAAGCAGCTAATGTTTTGTAGTTTGTCATATATTTTTTAATTTTGAGGATTTAACTTCGAGAACTTGAGCCATTAGTTGCTGATATTTTTATTTCTGGAAAAAAAAAAACACAAATAAAGTTATTATCATAATAATTTTATTTCTAAGCTACAGGTAAAATTATCTTTTCCAAAGAATTTATTTAATTCCCCTATAAAATTTCCAACCTTTAAAATGTTTGGTTGTCTTGATAATTCGATAGATATAATAAATAATTATTACACCTGAAAAAATTTAATTTATTTCAGTAAATGTTAGATTTCACTTTTTAATAAATAAGTTGAAAGCATTTAAGAAGCCATTCGACCTCAATGTTTGAATTTTCTTCTTCCACCAAATATATCTTGATTCGGAAATCATCTCATTTAATAAATTTTCCTTAAAATTGAGAAAGTAATTCTCCGGATTTGAATATTCAGATTCACTTCTTTCTCTGCAAAACACCAGTTACTAAGATATAAATTAATCAATCCTCCTGCACTATTACTCCAGTATTCCTTTTAATAAAAAAAAATTCAAGTTTGTTGCATATCCTTTTCAAAACTTTATTTACTCCTTCATCATCACTAAGTCTTTTTTACCAGTGTTATTTTATTCATTGCTTGTCGATTAGTTCTTTCTCATCAAATCATGAAAACTTCGGTTATTACAAAGCCAAGTACATGAGGGTAAATTCATATAATCCTTCAGGTACTTCAAATTATTGTATTATTGCTCGCATAATTGTCCGGAAAGACTATACATCCTGCACTCAGCCAATGCAGTTTATGAGACAGACGCAAACTAGGCCTATTTGTCCTTGAGATCATATAAATCTAATTTAAAGCAGTTTGTTATTGCAGAGCTCTAAAGCTTGCTTGCTAAGAATAACAAAAAGGAGAGACGAATGAAGAGCAAAGCATTCGACGAAGCTAAAAGTTGCTCCATTCATAAGCATAATTTATTAAGAATGCAACAGAGCAAAGACGTGCCTCATTCCAATCCTTTCTAGTCCGAATCCCCAGCCTAGTTCGGACTAGTTTTGGCTTCTCTCAATTGTTATTCTTCCTTCTCGAAGTGCTACTTATTATTTTCAAAGGCAACGTTTTACTACTTTCTAACTAAAGCGATCCGAGAAAGCGTACAATTCTTCATAAATGTTCAACTATTAACTATGTTTTTTTTAATAGAGAAATAAACAATTAAAACTGAATGAGTGTAAAGTTGAAAAAATTGTCAGAAATAATAACAATTAAATAATGCCCTTAGCCATCTGCTTATCTCTGTCACTAAAAAACGATCTTTTGCCATTCGTGGTATTACTGCGGTTTATTTTACATTTACGGATAAGGTAATTACGTATTTCTGCTTGATTAATTTCCTGAAATGCTTTTTATTCATTCTCGAATTTCAATATTTCCCAATCTTTTTATATGCTTCTAGAGAAGAGGACCAATTTTAGCTTTTAAACTAATCAATCTTGCTTAAAACTGGAAAGGACTTATTGGCTAGAGAGATACCTGGAAATACATTTAAATTCAGGTCGCCTTGGTTACGCGTCGTGCTGCTTTATGCATTATCTTTTCCTTATTGCACCATTTAAATGAACTCATTTCTCATGAAATCGTGAAGTTGAACAAATTTTTGACAATTTTATTTAATCTTTAACACTTAAGCTTTAATACACAAATATTTGTATGTTTTACGAGTGAAAAAGGCCAAATTAGAATTAAACAAGTTCATTTCAACCCAAAGTTTTATTTTTTGCATTGCAATTGAGGAAGTATTCACTGAGAGTTTATTTAAAAAATGCTTCCGCATATCATAGTACTATTCGATGAATGCATACACTTCTTCACTGCAGAAATTTAATTATTCTGCAGTGTAAATTCAAAAGATTTCCAGCTGCTTCGAAAAAAATTTACGATCATTTTGCACATCCTTGCAAATCTTATAATTACGCAGTTTTTGGAATTCAAACATGTTTCTGAAATACATAAATACAGAAACATTTTTGAAGTTTTAATATGAATATTCCTTTTCATTGAAATAATTACATGTGAGATTTTTTTCTTGGTAACTTATCAAGGGAATCTAAATAAGAACTCAACTTAGATCGAAACAAGAATATTTAGAATGCAGTTGGAAACATTCTCGCCTCTTTCTATGGAAGACAATACTTTTAAAATGTAATCCGAAAGTTATGATATATATTTAAGTAAAAAAAAAACAAAAAACAAACAAACAGCGCAATTTTTCCGCTTTGTTCACTATTGCAAGAGAGATATACATGTTTTTTTTTTTTTTTTTTTCAAATATTTCTTTTTTGCTCAAACTGACACAAACTATTTTAGCACAAGCATAAAAGTAATTTACTGTGAGCCATTTTTCTGGTTATCTCTTCAAAAGGTTTCAGTTTTCATTTTTTAACTACCAATAATTAAGAAAATTTTTTTTTTTAATCCATTCATTTTGTTTTCTTTTTCTTCATTTATGAGAAATATTTTTAATTTTTTTCGAAAGAAAATTTTGTACTTTTGAATAATAATAAAATTATACGTTTTCCAAAAACTGCAATAGTCCTGAAAGATTTAAATTCGGGGAAAAAGTGGAAATATTCAAAATTGATATGAATTGATAATTTGAGGATGCATTTAGAATATAAAAAACAATCTTTTAGCTGCTGTAAAAAGATGATTTATTAAAAGGAAATCTTTCTATTTAAGAAATATAATTTATAAATCTATTTCCCCAATTAGTTTTTTAGATTGTCAACAAAGTCTTCACTTCTAATTAATCTTTTTTTTTTTTTTAAAGAAAAATGAGTTTGTTTATAACGAATTATATAAATTATATATTACATAAATATTCATGAATTTACGCAATTTCCAGATTACTCCTCGTAGTTATTTTTCTGCACTTTTTTCCATTACTAAAAAAATTTTTCAAAAATTGGTTAACATTTTGCTTTCATGATGAAAATGTTTTTTTGTTCAACGATCATTTTCGGATTATTGATTGGTAAGCTTTTCAAGAAATTATATTCCTAACTGATTGGTTTTTTTTTAGCCTTTAAATCATTCAATTCAATTTATTAAATTACAACACAATTTTTACTTCATTCAAAATATTTTATATAAAGTTGGTATGAAAATTTTTATAGGTTTTTGAATTTTGAGACCCTAAATGCAGTACTTAAATGGAGAAGCTTAGAGTTACCGAAATTATCCAATAAATTGTTATATTTATTGGAATATAGCAATCAATTTTGGTCTTTTTTCTTATAATGTTCTTAACATACACACCAATTCAAATTTAGAATGCAATTGTTTAAATCAATTAAATATGCTAGGTTTTATTCCCCTTTTTTTCATTTTCCCAAAATTTTAAAATAAATTGCCAGAAATTCTTTACAGTAAGGCAATCGTGCAGTGAAGCAATCGTACGAGTAGAAAGTGGTCGTCACATGATTCATGTTGAAGATAGTAAGCAACTGTGAAATTCTAAAAAACACACCTCAAAATTTCTTTTCTTTTTTTTTTTTTTATCTAAAGTGTTGTTTTAGATTAAGACGACTTGAATATTAAATTCGCTTCTGCTTAAATGCGACAATTTTTCACTCATATTTTAGAACAAACTATGAAGGATTAGACTATAAAGACATCAAATACTCTTAATCTCGAAGTGGATTTATTTAAATTAGAATGAAACTCAACTAATCTTCTTTTAATTTAGTTTATTAAATTGTAACAGGATTTTTACTTTATTCAAAATATTTCATTTTCAGGGGAGCCTTTCTTAGGCAGTTATATTCAATTAATTTTTCCAAAATTGCATTGTATCACTTCATTGATTATTGATAGTATAACTCCTTTAACTGGCGCTGAGGAAATGTTAGTTTTTTTTTTTTTTTTAGAATTCAAAGTTTCAAAAAAATAATTTAATAAATTAATAAAAACAAAAGAATAATTCGATAAAATAATTTAATAAATTGCCGGTAAAGTGATCATATTACCATAATAATTCACTATCTTTCTTATTCATTCATGCTTGATCGATTTCAGAGAACTAATCTACAAGATATGTGAAAATGATTCAGTATGGTATTTACTACATTATAGTAATAGTGGTGGCAATTTCACACTTCATTCTCCTATTTATGCAACAGTTTTTGCAGTGGTAGCTCATAAGCCTATCAGTATTGTTGACGTTGACACACAACCATGCGGGCAAACCGACTTGCAAAGAGCTTATATGACGTTAATTTTTTATATCAATTCAACACATCAACTGTCGATTAATTTTGAGATTAAGCGCCAATTATATTTGAGGATAGGAATTTGGTATGACGAAAGATTCAGAATTAATTTAGAATCAGAATGAGAATTCATTTTTAAAACTATAAATTTTAGAAAAACTTACAACAAATGTATGTCTTTGAACGGAAGAAAACTGCATAAACAAAGAAAACATCGTAATCAACGATTTTTGGTGCTGGAGAAACGCAGGAGAATGAGACGAAGTATTAATTTCGAGAAGGTCCTTGAATTCACCCCGAAAAATTCACCTTATCGTATTTCAAAAAACGTTACTGTCCACGCTGAACAAATTCTCAAAATACATGCTGGAACAGATATTACTTTTTCTCAAAATACTGGCATCATTGCGCACGGTAAGATTGTTATTAATTCTTCATTTCTCGAAGTTCTTCCTTACTTGGTGAAACTAATACTTGTGACACAAATAATTAATGACCTCAGGTGTTTTGCAAATCGCTGGTACCAAATATGACCCTGTTATATTGCATGAAATGAATGGTACTTGGAATGGCTTATGCATTACATTTGCTAATGGTGAGTAATTTATTTTGCGCAGCAAAAAAGAACATACAAAAGTTTAAAAAGAACATCCAAAAACAAGCCAAATTTTTAACTTTTTTAAACTTTACCACGTTACTTCTAGAATTTCAGAATTAAATGATTTGATACTGAAATGAAAAATGTAATCTGATTTTCAGCAGATGTAGCGGAACAATCACGCCTAACTTACTTAAGCGTTTCTGGAAGCAAGTTTGGGATTCGTATCGAATCATCCCTATTACCACAGATAGAAAACATTATTAGTAATAATAATGATAACGGACTTACAATCTTGGCCTACAATGACAATAATAATTTTAGTGACGTAAGTGTGGTTTTTTACATTGTTTTAATCTTTCATTTCTAATTTCAAATATGATAGCTTAAGTTCAAGTCGAAAAATATTTCGTGTATTCATTAAGCTTCATTAAATCTGACTTCAATTTCATCAGATTTCATGAACAATCTTTTCTCATAACTTTTTAAAAAAACAACCATGCTTAAGAAACAAAAAAAAATAACTACAAAAACTTTAGTTTCATTAATTTTATTTACCCTTTTTATTCATTTTTAAGGCGAAGTTTTACGGTTCTTTCTCAAAAATTTATGAAGCACTATTCATTTAATGTTTATTGTTTCAGAAAATAATCAATCATACATTGAAAAAAGTCACGGCTATAAATAATCGTGAAAACGGTGTATCAGTAAAAATTACGAAACAAGAATCGGTAGACTAATTGATTTATTAACAATTAATTAAGCTAATGTCAGTAATCAAAGAGGATATTGAATTAAGTATGATTATTTTAGCTGTGCCATAATTTGCAGTTAAGTCGTTATATAGTCATAAAATTATGTGACATTTTACAGGGTCATTTTGTCCTAGAAGAGATAGTCTCAGAGTCAAATCAAATAAATGGTCTTTTGCTAGAAGGAACCCTTCATGTCACTGTTATATCAAGTCAATTTTTTTCTAACAACGAAAATGGCATCTCAACATACTTAGCAAATGGGTCAACATTAGAAGTGTATGATTCTTTTTTTGGCTCTAATGGTCAGCATGGTTTACAAATACAGAACGGACAACAAGTTCAAGTTAAATGCTTTTCCACCACTTTCAAGGCTCACAATTCTGGGTATGATTTTCTATTGGGCAATTGCCGTTGGTGAAGTAATAATGGTGGGATTGCTTTTCGAGATGTTACTGATAACAATTTGCATTTGCTGAATGGAAATTGGATGCGGAATTTTTTTAAATACCAGACTAACCATGGCTTCATCTTCATTACAGGGAAGCTATTTTGGTTAAAAATATTAGTGGTGCTAATTTCCTATTAGGCGATTGCCGTTGGCGGAGTAATAATGGTGGGATTGTTTTTCGAGATGTTACTGATAGCAATTTGCATTTGTTGAATGGAAATTGGATGTGGAATCGAGGAGCATCCATAATTGCTGATAAAATCAAAGGAAAAACGAATATTTTGATTGAAAATAACAAATTTCGACAAAATGTGTTCCACTCTAATACTACACTTAATTCGGTTATCGAATTAGGAATGAATGAAAATGACAAAGGTTTGCATTTTACATTTTTACATTCTCCAGAATTTTCATTAGAGCATTCCATCTATCAAAATAATTCGAGTTAGTAATAAAAACTTCTTACTTTCAAGTCTATGAGGACGATTAAAAAAATTGTTGATCAGTCTTCCTTGCATCAATTTCAGATGCTCGCATTCAAATAAATGATAATCGGTTTTTACGGAACGCTATGGAAATCATTTTATTAATCGGTCGAACTGAACCAAGAAACACGCCAACAAATGCTGAAATTATTATTGCAAAAAATTCATTTCTGGAAAATTTGGCTTTGAATGCAGTATATCTGGCGGCAAATTATGTCAACATTTCCTATAATACTTTTCATAATTCTAAGGTGAATGTAAAAATGTAAAAAAGTTCAAGAAATTTTTTTGATTTTTTGTGAATTAAATGAAATATAGCTATAAACTTAGTACTCTAATTCTCATAATTACTTTCCTTATCACTACTGTTGTGACTGATTAGATAATTTTTTGATTAATTCTGAAGATTTTTGTATTAAATTCTGATTGCGAAAACTTTTTAGGCTCGTTGTGAACTACATTCTGGACTAAAACTATCAATAGGGACATCCATCAATGCCATCAATAATTACTGGGGCACAGCTAATCAAGGAGAAGTCATTTTTCAGTTCTAATTTTATGGGAAATTAATGTAATGTGAATTTATTAGGCTTTTGGCGTCTTCTTCAAAATTCCACCTTCTTTCATTCGATATTTATTCCTGTACATGGAAGTAATCTAATAATAGCTTTTAGCAAGTATTATTACTATTACCAGGTGATGAGTCGAATTTGCGATAACAAAAGAGACAAATCATTAATCCCTGTGATTGCGACGCCATTCCTGAGTGTTGAATTTGAAAAATTACCGATGATTGGCATTGAGCGATCAGGAAATCCTTCTTCTTTGAAAGCGTATGCTACTTTTTGCAAAATCAATTTTCCACCTGCATTATCCATTGTCATATTGTCACATACGAGTGATATATATGATAATCAGAAGCAAATTTTTAAAACAATAACTTCTACTGCAAAGAAATCATTCGAAACTCAATTTTTCAATTGGTCAGAGAAATTTAGATTTGCTACATCGCTGATAATAGGAAAAGATGAAGTAGCAGTTTTTCATAAAGGATCTGCGTTACATTTTAAACCGAATCATGGAATCATCGTTTTTGGTTTGTCATTCTTAAATTAAATTAAGCTACAGAATTACTTTTACATCGGATAATATGTTGGCAAGAAGTTAAGAAAAGTTCAGTCATTCTAACGTATACTTAAATTAATGATGAAAATAGTCAGCATGAAATTTCAAACACAAAAAAGAATCAAAAAATAAATTTAGGTGTTCTACACTTGCTAGGCCAACAAGACCATCCAATTTTATTGAAAAGTTCTGGTCATGCACCATGGCTTGGAATTATTCTCAATCAGGGTACGCCCTTCTTCATTAAATATAGATATTTTATTTTTGGAATTTATTAGTTCAGTAAAAATATTCACTTGTAATTAAATATGTGATGCAAATTAAATTGTGCCTTACTGTACTTTTCTATGATTTGCATACTGCAAAAGTTTAAGTTAAGACGTAACTGATTAAAAATGAATTCTCAATAAAAATACCATATCAATACCATTACCAAAATACCGTTATTAATTATTATTATTGTAATTATACTATTTTTTCGATTCCAATCTCTCTTCTAGATTAAGTTAGATAGGCGGAAAAATCCAAAACATTATCAAGTCATAAGTAAGAAGTTCTTGCTTTGATTTCTAGGTGGCATTATCCATGCAAGCTATTGCATTTTGGAAAATGTAAAAGTTGGGTTGAACGTTAGTTCGTCAAATATATCAATTCAAAATATGCGAATCATACGACCGATCTTTACTGGTATTTTGATTACAACTACATACAATGGTACTTTTGATATGGGTGAATCAGTCATCCTGCAATCACGCGCAAATGGTATTCGGATCCTAAAACGTCAAATAAATGATACTCTTGCTATCAGGTATAACTTATACGCTAAGGTTACTAATTTTCAACTTGTATAGATTGGTTAATAAAAAGTTTGCGTCTGTGGAATTAAGGAATTACTTATATATATATATATATATATATATATATATATATATATATATATATATATATGAAATATATTTTGTTATTCAGATGTAAGATATTTTCGGATACAAAATTAATTTTGTTTTGCAAATAAAAATTGCAATCTTTTAAACAATTTTATTATTAAAATTCTTCAATCTTTTTGTTTTTTAGTAGCGCAAAATTATGTGTTTCAGAAATGTTCAAATAATAGATTGTGCAGAAGCGGGAATAGATTTCGTGGATCCAGCTGGCAAAATAATACTGCAAAATATTGTGGTTGGTATATTTTATTGTTGAAATATAAATGAGTTTTTAAACCACTAAACGAAAGAAAAGATTGGAAAATTGTTTGAGAATTTTTAGAAACAAAATTTAAAAAGAAAATCAAATTACAGTTGGAAAATAGTGGTTCGTTCGGGATTATTATTGTTCAGAGGGAACAGAATGGACTGGATTCGATTGTTCTCAACAATCTAACAGTCCAAAAACAGGAACGGGGCAGTGGCGGTATTTTACTCAATATGAAATCCTATTATTCGCTTTGTCTAAATACTTCAAATTTTGCTTCGATTATGCTTCCATCTGTTATTATAGTTTCAAAGGTTAGCTGGCTATCATTTATAATTAAATGGTAAAAATATAAGTACCATTCGTCATTTTTACAAAGCGATTCTTTATTTTAGTGTCCATTAAGTGGAAAAAAGCAGAGGGTACCAACGATATTTATTGAAAAAAATCATTTCTCGAAGAATGACAATTTAGCAATGCGTATAACGTTGGAAGGTTGTGAGAATACGAAAATACCTCGAAATACTTTCATTAGAAACAATGGAAATGGACGAAAAGGAACGCTAGCCATTTACGTATCGCCAATGGTACAATTTCGTTTCTACTTTCTGATCTTTACTTGAATCATTCATATCATTTCTTCTTATACCTTCAATTCGATTTCATGTATAGAAGAATATACAACCTGGCCCAGCAGTCAATATTTCGCAGAATATATTTGTGGAAAACAAAGGTGAATGGTCATTGCTTGCTTCGGCAACAAATATGAACCGATTCAATGGTACCATCCAGAATAATCGTTTCAGCGGGAATCAAAATTCTGGTGACTCGCTAATCGTTACCACTTCTCACTTTCACGTGAGTGGTAACGAATTCGAGAACATGGTCAGCAAACATGCAAACAAAGAAGTAAGTTATAGCGTCGATACTAGAAATGTAACCACCTTCATGTCATATCTGTCATTAAGAACTCAAAAATATGTATCTGTAAGTGAGGTAATTCAAAGAATGAGTCAATAAGTGATTTGTATTTGAGTTGTGCATAACTTTACAACATCAATATGACTTATGGAATGTTTTGTAATGCTTTAATAACAAACAGTTTACAGAGATGAAAGTTTAAGCGCTTTTGACTCATATAATTTGTTGTTGTTCCAGTAATTGCTGGACAAAATTTTATTACATAATGGCCGCTATAAAGTAAAAAACAAATAATTGATCAAGGTGAGGGTGGAATAGAAATCAAGAATGAAAATTTAGCTTTTAACGCCCAAGTTTTTATGCAGAACTTTTTTTTTTATGCAAAAAAGTTTTTATGCATGCTCTGCGAGCCCTTAATTTTGTTTCCAACCGGGAAGTAGTGAACCAATAGTGAAAGCAGGAAGTTGTTCCTAATGTATACAAACTTTTGCTTTCGTAAACATACACTTGGATTATATAAAAGATATTGTGCCGTATTATTCCTGATATATATCAATTTTTTCGGGATTTTTCTGATATATATATATATATATATATATATATATATATATATATAGATATATATTTTTTTTCGGGATTTTTCTGATATATATATATATCAATAGAATGAATCAAAAGGATTCACTTATTCAACTGTAACGATTTTTTTTCTTTGGTCTTCAATTTGTGTCACCAATATTGTTGAAGCAATCTTTTTTAAGATAATAAATACTGATTGGAACTACTGGAAAGATGTTGATATGTTTACAGCAAAGAAGACGTTTTGGAGCTGAAAGGTTAGAATTCTTTAGGTTGTATCATACTGGTCCTAATTACAATAAATATTTGAAATTCTAGGGAGTCAATTAATGATCTTAAGTTCTACCTCATATGATTTTTTCTCAACCGATCAACTTTCTTCTGAATTATGTAAATAACATTTTTTTTTTGAATTAGAAAAAAAGTCTCTCAATACAGGTCAAACACAAATCAATTCAATTGGCCGAAAACGAGCTGCTCAAGATTGTTTGTCTGTTTCAAATTGCTCTCATAATGGACAATGTATCGGTAAGTAGCGATTATCATTGTTGACACAGTGATAACTGTTTACTAATTGATATAAGACTTGAAATTGTGGGCTTTTTAGTTTACAAATTTCTAGGGAAACCTTCTCATATTTTAGGTCTAAATGTTTGCCGCTGTAATGTTGGTTATACAGGGCCTGATTGTGCGAAAATATCGTGTTCAGCCTTAAAAAACTGCTCAAGGAATGGTTATTGTATAGCACCAAATGTTTGCCAGTGCTTCGATGGCTTTCAACGTCAAGATTGTTCGGAGCCCACCTGTCATTTGGTGAATAATTGTACTGGGCATGGTACCTGTGTATCACTTAATGAATGTGATTGTGAACCAATGTTTGAGGGTTGGTATCTTTCCAGGTCTGAAAGGCTCAGACATTATAATGCTGTTCCTTGTCTATTGAATTCATAGTTCAAATAGTCTCAGGAAAAAACAGGAGCGCTAAATCAAAAATGAGATCCATCAATTGAGATGGCTATTCTGACATATACGATAATGAAAATGATTCCATTAGTTAGTTAATTTTAATGCATTTAAAATATCAGTGATGTACTTTCTATGAATTCCGGAAACTATTACTACCAAAGGAAGCAAGTAATATTTCAAGTTCTAATTTGCCGATAAATAATTCATTTTTAATATTATGTCTTTTTAATGAATGAAACTCAAAAATTTTCAGGTGTTGACTGCAGCAAACAAATATGGAACTGTTCAAGCATAAATTGCAACAATCATGGCTTATGCATCGACAATGCATGCGTTTGTGAAAGCGGTTGGGCGGGACCGTTTTGCTCAAGTGCACTATGTGACCAGTTAAATAACTGCTCCGGTTCCGGCACGTGTGTTCGGCCTCAGATGTGCGAATGTTTTCATGGATTTACTGGTGATGATTGCTCGATTTGTGAGGGTCCAATTTGCGATCTCTGTGATGCCAAATGTATTCACGGACGTTGCAACTTGAATACGAGGTTTATCACTTTCTCTTAATTTCTAATTTTTTTTTTCTAATAGTTTGTCTTCTTAATATCATACTGCAATATGAAGTTAACGTATGTTCAAACTTTATCCTTTGTATACTAGATCTGCATTAATAATAATTCACTAACACTTAAAACTTGCAATTGATGAGTTCATTTCTGGAAATGAAATTCTCCAATTTACTTCCATGGGATGATTGCTGGGAAACTTACGGCATTCAGGTCAAAAAGCTGCTTACTTTAAGAAAGTTCACTGGTGAAAAACAATTTAGTTAATTTATTTGATATTGAGAGCAAAGAAGCTAATAGGAAAAAGTTTTTTGAAATTAGAAGTTAAGCTAAAAGAACCTCAGTAAAAGTAGCAAAAAGTGCAGTGAAACATAAGCAAATATTAAAAATGAATTCGAAAAATTACATCACCATTCTGCATTAACGTACCAAACGTGGATGACATATAAACAAAACAATAAAGGTTATTGTTTTATTTTCATGTTGCCGACTTTTTGATGGATGAAATACATGAAAAAGTTGTCCTATCTTCAATTTTATTCACTAATTTGTTGAATATTCGAAAATTCTAACAGTCATTTAGAACTTGTATATGTCGTAGTGGATGGGCTGGTCCAAACTGTGAAATTTGTGCTACTGATAAATGTGACGTTATGCCAGCTGTATTGTATGTTTTACCAACAGCTGCTGGAATTCATCAGAAGGGAGAAAATATTTTAGTTTATGGCAATGATTTACCTTTGTAAGTTTTTAAGAAATATATAAAGTGACGAGTGAATTTATAATCATAAAGTGGATATTTTTTCTTTTTTTTTTTGCATAAAACTGATACACCAATATAAGCTTCTTTTACGCTTCAAGAAATATGACTTGCTTACGGTAAAATTAAATTACTGAATAATTTTTATCATTTAAACATTGAAATCTTCTTGAAATAACCGGAAAATTCGTAGTCGTTATGCCTTCTTGCAATCATTTTAATATCAACGTTGTAGCTAATGGAAAATTTCATTATCAAATAAATGATAGATCAGATTGAGCAAGGATTATAATTGTTGTGAAACAGGATCTGATTCATACAGACTATAGAACCGAATAGAAAATGCTTCGCAGAAAAGATTGATCAATTTTTATTTTATTGAAATGAAGATTATCGTTCATCTAAGTTACTGGACAAATCAGAAAGTTTGAGGAAGTAGATCTGGAAGAGCGGAGAAAGCGCATTGTGTTCGAAGCGGTTCTCACCAATTCAACCATTACTTTCTTTGGTCTGTAGAATAGGAGTGATTTACAATAAAGGTGCATGATTACTATGAGTAAAAAACTGCCCCAGTCAAATGATCTTTACTCTTTATACAGTAAGAGTTAGATTTTAACATTGTATCAGTTGCTCATAAGAATGAATATCAAAATAGAAAATTAGATGAAACAAAGAGCTGACAACCTGTTAACAGAGTAAAGAATAAAAAACTGCCGAACATGTCGACAATAAAATTGGGAGCAATTTTCAAACGTAAGCAATGCAAATATTCTTTGTTAACAAACTGTAAAATTCCAGACTCTGCAGATAAATATTGGATAACGTATTTCTAATTGCAACATTTATCTAAGAATTAGTCAAATCTCTAATCTTATAGATTCAATAAAAATTTATTTCGATACATTCAGTTTTTAAAAACGACAACATTTCCAGTGTACCATCGAGGCGTTACACGTGCTTATATGGTAGCATAGCATCCGATGGTTTTTATGTCTCGTCATCGTTAGTACGCTGCACAATTCCAGATCTAGCTTTACCAGGCCGCTATCTGTTCAATATCATTCCATATGGATCCGACAAAGTGGTCCCTTTTCTTGACAAGCGCCTGGTGCATGTTAATTTAATTTCATTTAAAATTTGGCCAAATTTAATCTATTGGTAACAGTGTTTAATGCAGTGGTGAGAAGTAGTACATTAATAGCATTAAAATAACATTTGCTTACTTCTGGCTGAGTTAAGATTTGGGCAGAATATTTTTATTGACAGATCCACTTCACTTTATACAATGAATGCAATCAAGCAGAGTGCAAAGGTTACTGTATAGGAGCAATTTGTGTATGTCCGACAGGTCGCGATGGCACATTTTGTGAGCAGGTGATCATTTTACATTGCAGCTTAAACTTTAATAAATTCTCCGAGTTAGGTCTCTAAAAAGTGCTTTCATAAATCCTCTCTAAGTACTTCACTGTAGCATTGTCCAAGTTGTAGTTAAATATTGAGTTTTATTAAAACTCGATATCTCATCTTGAAGAGTTAGAAGGCTTCTGTAGGAGACAAAAAACTTGGATTTTTTGGCTATAGCGAAGAATACAACAAAAATATTTTCTGGAACTTTTGTTGCTGACGTGCAATCAATTACACTAATCTAATTCATTAGAATGTAGGAAAAGCTTCTTCTATAAGCTATTTTTTAGACCAAAGTTCTACCAAAGTTGGATCGTGAGATTTTGAGTAATGAAAAATTAATACAAGCTGTAGAAGGTGAACCTTACACTGTCAAAATTCCTATTCAGGTTTGCTGATATTTTTAAAAGAAGTTTAAAAGAAATAAATATAGTTTATGCCAGATTTAATATTTAGTCAGCAAATTAGAGATCATTTGTCCATATGATTTCTCTCTTTACTCATTATTGTGAATTTCATACTGCAAAGTTCACAAAACTCATTCATTTATTTTAAAATCGAATCACATTAACTTATTTATTATACTGCGAGAATTGCGTATGAAAATATTTTTCTTGACTTCTAATTACTGAAGCTTTAATGAGCTAATTGTTAGAGCAAATTGCTAATATATTTTTTCTTTGTATCTTTTTTCTATAACATTTAAAATTTCAATTAATATTAATTAAATACAGTAAATAACTATTTGTTATAGCAAGAAAATACGATATTCAACGTTGAAACAGATGCGAAAGGAATGATAATTTATCCAAATGGCATGGTATTTTGGGCACAGCCAATCGGACGTGTCCAACCATATACTATAAATGTTACCACTGCTTCACTTACCGGTGGAAGTGCAATTAGTTGGAATTTAACTGTTAAACCGACATATTTCCCAGTGATTACTAAAGTAGAAAGTTCTGACGATTCAAATATGAAAGTGATTAAGGGGATTGTTAATTATAATGAAAAAGTAAGTTCCTATTTCAAATGTTAATTATCACAGCAAAATAGTGGAAGAATAACATTAAATATTACCTAAATATTCCTAAAGCAAGCATAAATATATGCTTTAAGTTAATAATGTAATTATTTCTAAATTGAGAAAAGTTTGTCCAATTAATTACTTGTACTTCGTGACATTTTCTACAGTGCTTTAAGAAGCCATTACAGCTTATCGGTGAGGTTCCGGTAGAAATGCTGGTTTACCAGAATGGCGAGATGGTAGGAAATGCTTTAACAACAAGTAGAGCCGATGGTCACTTTAACTTTGATTACTATCCATTCGATGAAACAATTTCGACATCTGTGGTATGTTGAAATATCAACTGGGCAAAATGTATTCAGCAATAGAAAATAGGTCGACTAGTCCATCGTCGGAGGAAATAATCTTGGAATTATGGACTAATTTCAAAATCTTGTATGTATTAGCTACTATTAGTATCACATACTTCATTTACTTAATGATTGATTTCAGGTTGTAGTGCATCCTGGCGCAGCAAGACCTACTATCACTACATCATCCAATAATGTAACGTGGGCTGCATATAAATTTGATATTAAGTATGCTCCTAAAATAAAAATGAAACCGGGCGCACAGATTGATGAAGAATATCAGATAAAAAATAAAGGTGGAGAAGCACTTCTAAACTGTCACTTCGAATTAATCGTACCGCGTGATAAAATACAAATTACGAAATACGAAAAGGTTTAGATCTTACTATGTTTTTTAAAACTAAGTTTAGAACAGAAATGCTTAAGTGATTCCGACAGATTACTACAAGTTTTTCTTCGTAGAATATTATTCATTACTTCTTTTTTTGAAATTTCCTTTAATATTTTCCGATACTTGCAAATTTTTAGGTAACAAAAGGTATAACAGTTGGCGAATCAAAGTCAATCAGAGTTACATTTGTTGCTGGTAATACTCTCGATAACACTACTCTTATCCTTCAATTCAAGTGTATTAATACTCCCAAGAAACTTGTCAGGTCTGAAAATAAGGCATAATTTAATTCAATGAGCCTATAATCAATTTGATTTGTTTTTTAAGATTAACATTTGGAATTGATTTGGTAAATGTACAGTTTAAGAAGTATCAGGCATGTTTTTTGAAATCTCTTAGACTTTAATTTAGGCAACAAATAGAAGTTGACCGAAAAAGATCGATATTTGTATCATATCCACCGGAGATACTTATTTCCATCCCAACACGAATGTCGCCTAAGATTATTACGGTTTCCTTGTTTATTCATTAATTTTGTAGGAAAAGTGCAGAAGAAGAAATCTGTTCCCTTCTGTTCCAATTCCCAAATTTATTTACTTTTCATTCATTATGTTATTGCATTTAATCAGTTAATTGCTTCCTTAAGTATTTCAGTAACTCACTTAGTTTCACGTCAGGTTAATATCATAAATAAAGAAGGCTATCGATTTGTTGCTGCACCACGAATTTCCATTCGACCTGATCAAAGTCCTCTATTTTTGGTATCTACCAAACCACCGTTGCAAAATATCACAGAATTCAATAATCCAGAATCAGTACTTGTACTCTTCCTCAGCTATCGACCGCTACCAAGTGGAGTTCTAAATTGGACAACAGCTGGTGACCTGATTTTATTGGACGGAAATAAGGTGCTGTTGAATTGCAATAAAAACTGCAAATTTATGGTTTTGTTTGAATAGAAGTGTAAAATAATTATGAACATACCAATCAATTTTACCCCCCCTCCCCCTGTCAATACACTTCCAAATTTTTCATTAACAACAGCGGCATCATCAAAGAATATTGCTTGAGCTGTGAAGATAGCTTATATAGATCATTTTAATAATAGCAAAATCTTCTATGTTAGCATGCTTAAATTATTCTCTTCATGCATCAAACATCTTTTACAGCAACTATTTACGATAGAATATCGTAACTATGCTACTTCGGACTTATTCGATTTTCAAATAACAGTAATGGATGAAATGAGCGCGTTAGATCCGACTCACATTGTTAATGATGCGGAGATAATACTCCGGAATGATGTACTTGGCTATGATGATAAGAGGCAGACAAAACCTGATGGTAATTGAAAATCATTGAATTTCCAAAAATATATAAATCAGAGAAGGAATTGGTTCAGATTTCTTGGTAAAAAACAATAGGACAAAAATTTTTTAACTTTTATAGTATTTCCTACTCTCTGCATACTCATGTTCCTTTTTGATAGCAATCATATGGTCACATTCATTTACTTGAGATTGGTTCATATTTTCTTGCAGAACCTGCTGTGTTTTTCTCGATTATTGAAGGAACATATCAGCTTACGGTTAAATCTCCATCTCATGTATCAGTCACCTTGATAGTTCAGGTGTGCTTTGTCCAAGTCTGAAGTCTTGTTACAGAATGCAAAAATGCTTCATGCATCAAGCTAAAAATTTCAAATTTTTTGATTTATCTAACAATTTTACTTAGTTGATAACAATGTGAAAATTCAATTTTAGCCATCATTTATCAATTCCTCATTAGCAGTATTTGTTCCAATTATTTCACCTTATTATCCAGTTGTTGAAGATGGAAAATTATTGGTGGAAGAACTTGATGAACAACAAAAGGTAAACTCAAACTTAATCTTTTAAAAGTTTCCCTTTTCAATGGCATGTTGAATTCCTGTTTTGTTCATTTCAATACATGCATATATTATTTTCTTTAGCAACTAATTCTTATATACTAATTTGAGTACCTTATACTCATAATAATTTACGATCATGGCTGTTGAAATATTTTGGTGGGATGAAAGTGATTCTCTTTTTACATCAGTTTTTTCAGGTGCCGTTTCCTAAACTTCATTTCATACCATCTGCAATACTGCCACCTATAAATGGTACAAAAGAAGTGAAATTGTTGATAAGAAGTGATTTGGATGGTCCAAGTGATAATATCGCTGTTTTGCCTTCTGTTGAAATTCATGAAGAATATGTTCCTTTTACTTTTGCAACGGTTAGTTAATTTTTGTGCTTGAAAATCTGTAAAAAAGAGAGTACGGAACGAAAATGAATGAATTTTACAGGATGATCTCAGGAATGGATTAGGACGGGGTGACGGTTACTATATAAAGTGCAGGCTATCACGTGTGTTAAATCAGGCAAGGGAAACAGCTCCATGTACTGTTTTTGCTTTACAAATTCCATATATTTATATGGTATCAGCTTCGATATCAAATTATGCACGGAATGTCATGATATTGGCTGATAACAGGCATAAGCAAGATGATAAAGTTCATCTCTGCGAAGGTAATTTTGAATTTTTCAATTTCATAACTTGACTGACAATTGGTTCAAGACTACTTGCTTTTTAAACTTTTAAAACTTCCTTCCCTTTCCAAAATTCTATTGTACAAATTTTTTGTTTTCATCAGAATGTTGATAAATACACCTCTTACAGTTGAAATCGCTGCGGTAATTATTTTGATAATCACCGATAAATAACTTTTTATACCTTTTCAGTTGGTCTTCAAAGTGCAATCAAAGAAGTGTCTGTTTGGACTAAAAGTACTATTTACTGCAATTGCGCAATAAAGATGAAGAAGCGCTGTCATAAACAATACATTTCTGCATCAACTTGCGGTAGTGCTTGGAAATATATTCCGAATGATACAGTATCGCTGCAAACGACAGCAATGTTCATTGTACTGATTGCGGAATGTCATACGGCTGGGGTCGATTTTCATAAAATCAGACAATTTCTTGCGTAATTTTTGCAATAATTTTCAATTAGAATAATTTGAAAGATTGAATTTTGAAAACGAGTTGAGAAGTTAATTGAATTTTTAAATTATTTTTTTCTTGAAATCTCTAAGTTTATAAAAATTAAGTCTATTACAGACAGTTGCTTCAAAAGAAAATTCTTAATTTTGACATTGAATTAATTCGTACAGATGTGTTTCTTTACTCGACAATCATTGTCTGATATCACAGCAGCGATCTTTCACTAAAAATAAATCTTTATGGGAAAGTGAACAACGAACGCAGTTCTTTGACCAGGTAATTGAGTTTTAAGCAGTTAGTATGATATTCTCGACAATTCATGAACAATTGTATTATTTCAGTCAATTTGTTGTTATCTATTTAATTTAATATCAATCTCCATCTCAATGTAATCATATAAGTTTCTTTTATAGAAAAAATTAAATGCCTGTTTGATTAAATAATCTGAACTGAGCAGACTAATATTCTTTTTTCATTTTTCCTAATTTCTTATTATTCCCAATTTTCATCTTTGAATCCCAAAATTTTCAAGATTTCAGCCTGCCGTAGCCAACAAACAGACCGATGAGATATTGCAGAAATATTTTCCGATGCTGAAAATATTAGCATCACAGACTGTAGATGTAATTGCCTTGTACAAGGACTTTTTTGAACGGCTTAATGTTAGTTTGCTTAATATTTCTATAATCGAAAAGTACTATCAATTTTTGGTGAGTAATTGTAATTTGATATATTCAAGAGAATCGCCGTGTATGACATATAATATGCTCTGTATGACCATGAAATCGGATCCATTTAATGTTTACAGATGCACTAGGAACCTATTGGTCATGCTTTCCTTTATTATTAGCTCATTTTCTTCTGGATAAAAATAAAATTAGGGACATGTAGGAAGTGGACACTTTCTGCTAGGGCTGATTCCATTCCTCTCATTTCATACTTCAATTTTGATTTCTTCATTCCTTTCTCTTCTTGTTTTACTTCTAGCTGTTGCCCGTCACTAATTCCAATAAAAAATGCTTATGAGCGATATCTTGTTATATCACAAGAAGCTGCACTTTCATTCATAAAATTTAATTTCAAGATGTAACGAAAGAAGGAAATTTATGATTTCAGAATTTTTTTTGTAGCAAAGTTATTTCAGGTCTTACTACCATTTAAGTTTTTCGAAGAAATTAATAATATACAGTGGTTCGATAACTTTTTTGAGAGCATATCAGATTTATCGGAAGGTGGGCTAGCAATTACTGGAACCGAATTCAAAAAATTAAAAGGTGAATTTTAATTCTGAATGGGATAATAAAATTAAATTAAATTGAGTAAGAGTATCTAACAGTTTCAAAGCACCAACATCATTGATTTTGATCATTTCAAGCGCTTGCTTCTTTTCTGAACTAAATTTGTTACTCTTCACTTTATTTAAGATGAAAAAGGAGGCTCAATTTTGGCCCTCCGTTGGAACTCTACAGTTACTGAATGGACTATAACACCGGATACTTCCTTGAAAGCAAACTTTTTGGGAATGAAATTTGCAGACACTCGAGAACTGATTATTAGCTCGGATCGATTGAAAACACTCGCAAGACAGGTACATCTCCTTGAGGGGATCCTTAAAAAAACTTTTTGAATGGGAAAGGTGAAAAATTGAAAATAATGGAGCAATAATAAAAAAAATACAAAAGATTAAATGATTTCTAGTACGGTGCTGCTAATCCATTCACTTTGCTTCACGATTACATGAGAAAGTTACTGTCATGGCATTCGAAGAATATGTCTGATTCACAGCAAACTTTGACGCCTGGAAATAGTTATGACGACATTTGCGCCTGTGCTTACAGTTTGATAACGCCCGAAAAACCATATGAAAATAGTGAATTTCATATTAGATTAAAAGTGGCTAACAAAAAGGTTTGAAATTAAATATATGCAATCTAAAACAATGATATTTGAACTAATTTTTCATTAATGTAAAAGTATCCTCATAACAATGTGTTTGATGTGCTGTACAACTCAGGAAATTCTTCATTAAGTGTTTGGGTGTTCTTAGCAATTAGCAGCAATTAGTTGTAGAACACATCTTCAATAAACACAAATGACCGGAATTTGCAAATAATTTTTCTTTCAGAACGAACCGCTAGAATCGATCAAAGTAACATTAGAAATGATTCAAAGTGATACTGACACAGTATCAAGTGATGATACAACGCCCATACAATTTCGGATTAGACTAGTTATGTTAGATGGAATTGGTAGCATTGATCGTGCTTCGAAACTGTCACCAAATACATCATTTGTCGCAAACTGGAACTTGAAGCCGGTCAAAAATGTGCGACTGATTCGTGAAGTTGAATATCAGGTATGCTATTAATATTGATTAGATAAAAATAATCGGGCATCAAGCAAAAAAAATATCATAAAAATATCATAAAAGGAGGATGGAAAACTTTTTGATTCATAAACTTTCCGAAATAAGCTCATCAAAATATTTCAGTTATGGGTTGTAAAGTAATATATCAAAAGCTCTTTAATTATTGCTCGGGTTAATACTTATTATTATACACATGGTTATTCTTGAAGTTAAACCTGGAGTTTTTCATTTATCAAGTTTCATTATTTATCTAGTTACTGCAACATTTCCATTCGGTACTAGCATTTTTGTAAGAATCTAATTTCAAAAAATTCATATCATTTTTAGCAGAAGAACTTTAACTAACTTAGTTTTAGGCAATTTTGATTTTAAAATTTACTCAAAATGGTCGCAGAAGCGTGCAACGAATAGCAACACAGACTGTTGTACTTCAACCTCGACCATCGCTGAAAATCTATTACTTCATCTCAAACTCAGCACTTTCGGAAAATACGAAAAACTCAAATGTTTCTCTGCCCACATTTAACATGATGATAGCTTTTATGAACACGGGGTATGTTATGTTTTAGTTGTGCTTTGGAATGGCTTACGTTGCATGCAAGTTGTTCTGCACATTGCGGTATTGCAGTATGAACTATCTACTTTCATCAATCATTTCATCTTCTTCCCACACTTTACTTTGGTTGAGAATCAGGCAATCAAAAAAGAATTGAAATTTTTAACAACTGCCAAATTATTTAAATATCTAATAGCTAGATTATGTGAATGAAATCAGTCTATGTCTAATAGATGTGAAAAAAAAAAAAAAAACCATTAGCTTTGATTCAGGAGGTACTTGAGACACGGAAGTTATGAGAATTAAACATACGTCCGAGCGATCAAAATAAATTACAATTTAAAAATAATGAAGAATTCATAATTTTTCACAATTCCAGTTATTCGAATCTCAAGAACATCAAAGTGGAAGAAATCCGAATATCGGTATTGTCGGAAGATAATGTGGAAAATTTTATACCTTATCAAATTAGTGGCGTTATCAATGGTAATGGCATTGAAGACAGAATTCTTTCCGACTTGCATTTCATAATTCCAAATATTGAGTCCGGGAAAACTGTTAATGCTATGTACAATATTTCGACTAATTTCGAACAGGCAATTTTAATTCATTAATAATTCCCAATAAATTGAATGTTATAACATTTGGTTTTTGATAATTTATAAAGTAAATAACACATTTATCAGTTCTGATTTGAGCTGGATATTTCCGATGTTATGATAGATTCATTTTTATTATATCATATTGTTAAAAAATTTTAATATTGAAATATTAAAAAGAATGCTTTATAAAGTCATATTTGAATTGTTTGTAGAAAAGAGTAATTCGTGACTTCAAAATGACGACTTCGATGAATGGAGAACTTATTAAACTTGAAGATACTCAAACATTTACTATCCAACAGTTTATTTCATCAACCAAATTTCTGGTTTCACCTCATACAAATCCAGCTTTATTGTTTTATTACGATGTGCAAAAGGCGGTAATGCGTACCACTGCGCCTTTAATCTTTATTAGAGTGATTTTTTTTTCTTGATTTTAGAAATGACTTACTATTCTTTCATCAAATGTTTTAACTTCAAGTTGTTTTGAAAGGAATAAGTAATTATTCTTGAAATATATCTCTTTCGAATGCAATTTTTCTAATATCAACAAATATTCAAGTCATTTCGTGTCAAAAAAGAGAATTTCAGGTGGAAGAAAAAAGTGGTAACAGTGATGGGAAGCCGTTTCGGCAACAGATTGCATCATTTCGACTCAGTGAATCACAGCAACAACTTACATCATTCTACGGACGAATTCCATATCCAACTGATTTAGAACACGACTTCGAAGTATTGCGACTAAATCAAATCGGTAAAAATGGTGCGCTAAGGCTAGTCGACCCGCGACACGTTTGGACTTCAAATACTGATCCGGTAAATCATTTTCTCAATAATGGTTCCATTGCACAGCCTCAGTGATTTATGTTAGCTATATGTAAATGAGTGAGAGAAATTTGATATTAAATATGAAAAATGAAACTGAAATATATCATAAAGAGTGGAATTAAATATATCTCGATTTTTTATAATCTTGAAATCAAATATCTCCGCTATTTACTTCATTTTATCAAAACCTTTAATGCATAGTTTTGACCTGAAATCAAATGCTTTTGTATTTTGTTTTATATAGTATTTTGTTTTATATATTGTTTTATATATTGTATTTTGTTTTATATATATTGTTTTATATTGTCTAGGTTGTCAGTTGCTGAATATAGCTATGCTGAATCGCGTAAGGACCATATCTTTTATTTGTTTGAACATTGCAACATATCATCGACAAAATAAAAGCATAAATAGAAGAATACCACTTCATACACATTTCGAAAAACAGTAACACAAGTCAGAAAGGATAAGATATAAGAAAATAATTCACGATAGCAGGAAATTTAACAAAATATATAAATGTTTTAGGAATTTGTCCATTTTATTGATGATAATCCATCAGCAACATCTGAATCCATCGAGTACGAAATTATTTATGGTAATGCGGAGCTATTTCTTCGTCCGCATTTCGAATTTCCTATTTACAATGTTCCACTTGTAACTGAAAATTGGCCACATGTTGGCGACGAGATCGCCCGCATTCAGGCTATTTCTCCAAGTCAATCATCTATTCGTTACGAACTTTATTCAAATTCCGGTGAAATGGATGATTATTTCAGCATAAACCCAAAAACTGGTACGATTTACTTTATATATATATTAATTAAACAAATTGGAATGATTATGTAAATGCTTGAATGAGTAGTTGAAGACACTACTCCCATTCAATTTTACTTGTTTTGAGGATCTTGACTCATTCCTTCTCAATCTGGTCTTAAATTAAATTAAAATCTAGAATGGTGGCTGATACTAAAATGTTTTGAATAGCAAGACTTAAAACTTATAATATTTTCAGGTGTTATAAACTTAATGAAAGAAATTCTACCTGCAGAAATAGAAAATAGTTATTGTTCCACTGTTCGTGCAACTGATGATCATGGGCGTTCTGAGACAACCGCATTGACCATTGGATTAGATGGTTTTGTCAGGGAATGTCATAAAATCGACAACTTTAATGGGCTTCAACCCCTCACATACATTCCTACTCAATCTCATCCCTCAAAACCTGTCACAGCAATCAGTGTAACTAAGAATGATACTTCAGAAATACCAAAATCACATGTTACAGCTCCTTCACTCTCATCAACTTTATCTTCAACAACAGCGAAAATCGATCAAGAAGCAAATGGTAGATATCGAGTAATGTCTTTAGTAACAAGGAGACACGGATATACGAAATTGATAGCCACACAATCAGTTTCTGATCTTAATCACAAATCTGCCTTAACTTTAAATTTAAATTTGAACAGTCATTTGCAACTCTCCTCAACTGCTGCTTCTGTCTCCAGAACAAACTCCGAATCATATTCAAGTGTTTTTCTTGGTACAACAACTACCAGTGGTGTTACTACAGAACGAGATCTAAATGATGCTTTTTTCTCTACTGGATTTGGCACTAATGAAATGGTATATACAACTGATGGAACCATCAACAATGTTAGCTTCTCCACAGGTAAGCCATATGAGACACACGTAACTGGAGGTGCTAAGGGAATTACATTATTGTCCCATAAAGAAATGCATGGCGGATCCGATAGAACCAGTAGAGGAGAAATTACATGGAGTGATAGCTTTAGTTCTGGAAGTGGAGATGCGAAGATTTTTAACGAACGAAAAAATAAACTGCGATATAGTACCAATTGATGTTTCCAGTACGACCACAACTAATCCATATAGGCAGAACTAATCATACCTCTATTTTACCTGTTTCTTTTACATTTATTGGTGGTGATACAGCTCATAGCTCCAAAACTATCAAAGACTCTGATATCAGATTGCTTACTGAGAAAGACGTATAAGTGAAGTTTCTAAGGAAGTTCCAAAATTTCACCTCTTATTTTCAACTCAAGCACCAGCTAAAAAAAGTCTATTTCCCGTGGCTGTACTGGTACATACAACATTAGTACCCAATCATTTAATCATGCAATATACAGAATCAACCTACAATTTCAGCACTACAAACATTATCTACTTTTATTCGCCTAATAGTAATCTAGAAGCAAAGCTATCTTCAGAAAATAATGGGAAAGCAACCATTACAGGTGTAACACGGAATGATGATTCGCATAACTATCAGTCTCAGATGGCGTCCTCCTACAAAAGCACTTATGCTACTACTACTCTACGAATTACAGAACCCTCGGGACAAGATAATAATGAAGAAGAAAAGCCGGATATTTTATATTCTACAACTGAAATTCCATCTTCTGGTGAAATATTTGTGGATTACGAGGACAAAGAAAATATCTCAGAGATGGCTTGTCGCCTGAAAGATGTACAACCTATTTGGAGTCTTATTTGTGATCTGAGCAAAACATCAAGTAGGAAGAGTATTAAAAACAAAAAATTAGAATGATTTTTGCAAATAAATAAAGAAATTTGCAGTATCAAAACTTATTTGTTTTAATAAGAGATTCTCTGAAAATTTACTTATTTCTGCCCTTGTTGTGCCTTTAAATGCTTTAAATAAATACTAAATACTAATGCTGTTATTGTCATTGATGTATTTTTCTTCGCATTAAAAAGCTTAGGTTTTTAACAATAAAAATGTCAAACAAGAGAAAAAATTAATGCAGAAAGTAACGATATTTCTTCAGTATCTAATGGAGTTAAGCAAGATTATCTTTAATTATAAGTACGGAAAAAAGATGACTGTCCCATACCTTATAGATGTTAAAGGGTTTAAAAAACTAATAAAGTAGAGGTGTGACAATACATGGATTTTACTTAAGTACGTAGATAATTGTAAATAACAGCAGTATATATTATATTTTATAATAAGTGTATTTTCTTGTTAGGAACATTATGCCCGGTAAATTTTTTGTCTCACTTTCCCGTACTCAAAACATAAAAGTTGGGCGTTCCTTGATAGTTCTTGGATCACTGCTAGAAAATTCAAATATACCTCAATATCCTTCTGTATTCTCAATGGTAGCCTAACTGTTTTCTTTAATGCTTACTGTTAATGCTTTAAGAACATGAAAGTAAAAATAATTCAGAAAATAAAATTCTTTTACTTTCAATCAGATTTAGTGGTGCCTTTGAGCATTATGTAAGCATTCATAATTCATCTTTACTTCAGCAATAAATTTAATTTGATATTATATCCATTTTTTAAAAATTTAAATATTTCATTTGACATCATTTTGGTAATTTAAACAATTAAAAAATATGTGGAATAAATTTTAAAAAATATAAATAATAAATGATAGACCACCAGTAATGCTTAATTATTCAAGGATGAATTTCAATTGACAGCTTACTCATGACAGCTTGCTATAATCTTTTCTGCACAAGCAATGTATTTTTTAATTAGGATAGTGGGTTTTATAAACATAAGCCACTAATAACTGTTTAATGACTTCGAACTTGTTTTTACTACAAAAATGATGTTTGATTGATTTTAGATTTATTAGACATATTTTTCTTTCAAGTAGCATATATTTATTTTTTTTAGATTTTACATTTACATTTTACATTTACAATAGATTTTACAAAGACTAGTGTCCTAATTTTAAGTGACAAAATGATAACCATTGATACTATTTAATTTCTCAGCCTATTTCAATTCATTTTTATTTAAAAAGTGAAACAAAGTTAGGATTTCATTCATTTTTTGTCACATATCCTCCGCAATGGAAATTTTTAAATCTCATACAAATTTTATTAATGAGTTGTTGAATCTAGTTGACAATGAACCTCTTAAAATATAAAATAAAGTAAGTAAATAATAAGCGTAGATGCAATTCGAATTTTCTTCCCTGTCTTTATGATCTTTTATGTCATATTCAGTTTCAAATTTGAAATTTTGATCTTAATTTTGAATTGTTAAATTCTACATGCTAATTCAGGCTTAGAATTTCATTTTAAATTATACATTTGAAAAAACATGCGACTAATTTTAATCAAAATAAGCGATTTACGTGACAACGAATAATAAGTGTTAAGCGCGCACCGATAAGTGCATTGAATAGAAAATTGATTTGATCATAAAGATAGACTGAATGTTTCATACTTCAGATTGGAATATTAATTCATAATTCTTTTGGCGTAAATTATAAGACAATCAAGAATGTGATTTGATTAGATATTGGTTTTTTATCAACAACTTTTCAATTAAAATGATAAAATGAAAAGACTAAGAGCACTTAAGATAGTTATAATCCATTCTTTAAAATTGTTTTTCGGTTGTGATTGTGGTAGGGAGGAATCAGAATTGATAGATTCAATCAAAACAATGTAAAAATGAATCTGATCAAAGTAAAAAGAGGAAGGTAAATTGAAAAAAAATTAAAGTGGTATCTAAATCAGTGATTTTGCTGATTGCAATTGTAGTAGTAAAATGAATCAATAAAACACTTTTTTGAATCTATAATCTTTTTCTTATGAGTGAATTTTTTTTTTGTTTTTTCAGATTCAATAAAATTAGGTCGATGAAATATGATATTACTAATTATAAGTTCACTAATAAACGAAAATTTGGTTGTGATAAAATTAATAATCTGTTTCATCCATTCATTATTACCATTACTCTGCTTAGGTTATATTTTGTTTTATTAATAAGTGGACTTTTTCAGTTTCTCTAAAAGCCATTATTAATGATTAGACTCGACACATTTGAGCGCTTATGCACTAGTAAAAGTGTTTTGTCCGATCAGTCTGAAGAATATAGTAAAATGTGTTCCAATTACTGATATTTTTATAATTAAAAGAAAGTATGTAAATAAATGTTATTTATGAAAAGATTATTATTAAAAAGTGATGTCATAAAGTAAATTATCTATTGCAAAGTATATTATTTTATGACAACATTTTATATGTAAAAAAATGTAAATTAATATTTTAAGTTTCCTAAACAAATTTTTTGACAGTTTAGTATCATTACGACCGGATCATTTTTTCCTTTCCTCTCTTCCTTTCCTGTTATCGAATAAATTAATGAAAGAAAAATTTAGTAATATCTAAAATAATAAATTACATCCAGTACACGTATGGAGCATATCCAACAAGGACGTTTGTAAAAACATGAGCATCGAAATGCTAATAAGTTACAAAATTATAATTCTCTAATATTTTTTCCCTTTTATTCAGAAAATGACTTTTAGTTGATATTATATTAATAAGTGATAACCTTCTTTCGTGCAAATAACATCCTTTTGATAATTATAGCAATAAATTTGTAATAACTTCTCTATGGAAAAATCCAATAATTGTTGCATATATTTTTTGAATCAAATTTAGAAAAGCAGTGGAAATAGCTTTAGTAATAAAATTTTACTTTTTCAAAGAAATTAAGTTGGGCAGTTTAGCCTTTGGGGCATGCGTTTCATAGAAGATTTAGCTTTCAACTTATTCGCAGTGAATGTTCATCGTTTTTTTCTTCGCTCTCCTCTTTTACTTCAAACTGAGCTGATATTTTACCTTTGAGCAGCTAATGATAAGCAGCAGAATAATAAGCATAAATATAATTAGCACCTTGCTAGTTCGGTGTTTGATGTTTAGGAATTTGTTAACACATTATGCCTTACCAGTAATTGCCCAAGGAGAAGAGAATAGATTTATGTAATGCGGTGATCAACAGCGCTCTCTTCTTTTCAGTCTTTTACGAGAGTTGGTTGTCCATGCTGTTTGCTAATGTTAACGAAGTCTATCTAGGCCTTTTTAGTTTTAGTTTTAAAGAGACAGGACAAAAAAGATGTTTAGAACAATGATAGTCACATGTCTTTCTTGACTACTTACTCCATTACTTACCCCTTACACTTACACATTCTTTTTATTTACCCAATACTGACTCTTCGTCCTTTAGGCTCTTCTAGATAATCATTTTTTTTTTTTTTCAAGTTGTAAGAGTCTGATAAATATGTTGAAGGTTGTGAGAGTACTAGGCAGACAAGCAAAATGGATTCACAGTTAGTGTGCTTGCGAGAAATATTGACGTCTGCAAGCTGGCCCCAAGATTTATCAGTTCAGGAAAAGTGCTAAAAACCTGACCATTCTTGGCTTTATCTAATATATTAAACCAGAATACTTTCACACTAAAAGACCTACCTAACACTTTTCTTATGCTAATGTCTCTTTTTATTTCATTCCGTTGATTTTATTTTAGTTCAGTTCGCACTATCATTTAATTCCCATCGCCATTTCTCTCATTTTGTTTGTGTATTTTATCGATGAATTTAAGCACAGAATTCCATAATTTTGTTCAATTTACATTTCCAAAGGTCTCATTTCTAATTCATTTACTGTTACTTTTATACTTTTTTATTTTATTCTTTTTTGATAGCAACCCCATTAAAGCAGTCCCTATACATTACTTACATCATGATGACTTTAGCAATAATTTATCAGCGAAATACTGGAAATTCTAATAGCGATTTACCAGTAATCAAGGTATTAATATTTTAGCTGGTACTGAAATATTGAATGAAAGAATCAATTAATGAATACTTTGTTTTTTCGGATTTATTCATAAAAATTGTACGTTTTCAACAAAAATTGATGGAAAGATCATTCTGGATATTTTTTTTATCTGACCTTGTTTATAAAAATTCTTGTTTAAGTTTTGCTATGTGTAGTTTATCGTTGTAGGTTGAAATCATTAAACTAGGTTGTAAAGTACTTTTAAGCAAGGAAACCAGAAATCGGTATCAATATATTTTTGAATACTAAAGGTCTCTTAAAAAACTTAAAAAATTTGTAAACAAAAATGCACTCGGATTGAAATTTAAATTAGATGCATACAATTACGTTCTGTTTGTACACTCTTTTCATAGTTCAAACAGATTTTAGTGCTTATTGAATTTCGGAAAATTTTATTTACTGGGTCTGTTATTTCAATGATAAATAGGAGTAATAAAGATGAAATATGTTACCAATGAAAGCAATGAGATTTTAAAATACACTTTATTTTGAATGAAAACTTACCTATCCAATCATCAACACTTCCATTCTCATTCAACTCAGTTGACAACTCAAAACTTCATTTCCTTTCCCGCATTGCACTGAGGCTATTATTATATCAGGCCTAAGCCAAATATTGATTTTAATCAACAAACGTTCTTACAAAGGCATCGTTGGAATGCAATGCTTTCTAACGCATTAACGTTGTGTTACCTAATTTGTGGAAGGCTTTTGGGGTTACACACTTCATTAAACATAGGAATGTTCCAAAGCAGTAGGATAGGGCAAGATCTCGTTTTCTTTTTTGCATTACTTCAGATGATTTTTAATGTTGAATTTTAGAGTCAGTATTAAAGTAACTAATATTGACCTCTTATAAACCTGGCTAAAGAAGTTCTATAAGCCTCGCATACATTTCTTTTATTTCATTTGATTCATTTGTTTTGCAGTTTAAACTACGTAGTAGAATGAATAGGAAATAGAATAGGAACAGGGAGAAAAGCTTTTCAATAAGATCAACAAAAAAACTTAACTCATGCCTTTCTTTAATTCTTGCTACCCTTAGCTTAGAAAGTGCGATTGGGATTATTGAAAAGTTATACGAAATATCGCTGCCATTATTAATCGAACTCATTAATTATTCATGAATTCTTATTTCTTAGAAAAATGTCCATTTTTTAAGAGTTTGAATAGCCTCGCAAATATTGTGCAAGTAGAGATATTGAAATGACAGTTTCGGGTGTTGATATCCTTGGATATTTTTATTCAGTTGTATACGAAATGCCATATTAAGGTATAATTGAAACCGTAGATAATAGATTAAGATTGACTTTCTTAAAAAGTTCACATCATAGAAGCATATTAGAGAAATCAAAAAATGAAGATTTCATTCAGAATCAAACCATTATCACTATTTTTTTCACTAACAAAAGGCAATCGAGGCCGTAATTAAAGGATCATTTTATTGTGTCAGCCAGAAAACTTTAAACTCTTACAAAACTTTGAAAACAATATATTATGACTAAAACATAAAAGAAATTATTCACATGATGGATTTGTTCATCTTTCTTACTACAATCGTATTTTAACTATAAATTGTACATGAGTCGATTTTTTTTTAATTATTCTAGCAAAAAGTACAATACTTTTAATTATTGCCTGTTCTTTGGCCGGAATATTTTGGTAATAGACAACAATATCAATATATTGGACAACTTTCTTTTGTTTTCATATCTTGCAATTAATCCAAATGATATTTCAAATAACGAGGAAAAAAACTATAACGTAAGTATCTGTTAAGGAAGCCCAGCACGCGTGAAAAGCCTACAAACCCTCTTTCATTTGATTATGCCTCAAGCTTTATAGATTATTTATTGATTTCAGCGATGTGCTAAGAAGGTCTAATGTCTCATGCTGCTTTCTTATCTTACTTTCACATTTCTGATTCTGTTTTTTGCTGAAGTTAAAGTCAACAGAATGAAGTAAATATTGGATCTTATAACAATGCTCATAAATTGAAATGATTTCCTGCTTGTCAACTTATGATCACATTAATTTTCAGATATGAGAAGATGGCATAAGTGGCAACGGTGTAGCACATACAGTATTCTGCTGTTTATAATCTGTACATCTGTCAATGCGGTTGAAATATATACTAATCATTTTTATGTCCATATCAGACAACCAGGCATTGAGAATGCCCATTTAATAGCTAAACGACATGGCTTCATTAATCATGGATCAGTAAGTTAATTTCAAGATTTTGTACTCTAAGCATTTCGGAGCTTATGTAATGTATGTATGATTCTCTATACCAAGCATATACAACAATATAAATACATATGGCTTAATTAGTCTTGTTTTTGAGATTGCTACGCCTCATTTATTGTCATCATTGGAATGTCGCATAGATAGAACGTGATATTAAGTTAGTACTGTAGGCCAGGTTTTATAAATCTTTCAGTGATTCGGGTTGTTTTGGTTATCTTATTCAATCATCCATTTATTTACTTATTTTTGTCACTAATTGTTTTATACTTACTTCACAAGGAAATTCGAAAATTTTCTACTGAGTTATGGATAGCTATCATTTTTTTTAAGGTTCTTGGCTCCACCGTTGATTGGCATTTCGTCCAACCAGCCCTATCACATGCACGAACAAAGCGTTCCTACACTCATTATAAAAAATTAAGTGACGATCGTGATGTGAGTCATTTAAAGAATTTCATTTCATAAAAGCGCTGAAAATTCCCAATGTATTCTTATTTTTGATTTTTGATCAAGTAATATTTCAATTAGAAAAATATTGTCAACTTCAAATAAAACAATACGTCTATTGGGAAACATTTAATGCAAGCAAGCACTATCAAAGGTTTTGCTCATTGTGCAAGAAACTGCTTACTTTTAGGTGGTGCACGTGGAACAGTTAACGGGTTTCAAACGTGTGAAGAGAGGATATAGGTGAATATTTTTAATAATATGTCTATATTAACTTAAGCTATGACAGTTAAAAAATGTAATGCGTGTTCAATTGGAGATTATCTATTACTCTGAAAATTGAACTCTTTTGACAAATCTTATATAGTAAAAATCCTTCTGCTCGCAAGGCTGTCTTTTTATAGGTCTATTTGGACACGATGGAACTTTTTCAATTTCTTTATGATAGATGATGCTTTGATCACTATCACAGTTCTGATGAGCTGAAATGAGAAATTTTTTAGAGCTCTGGAGGAACGGTTGCAGGAGCAGCTCGATTTTACTGCGGCGCAATCACCAACTGACCCGCTCTACCCATATCAGTGGTACTTGGTAAGCGTACATACATTTATACACCTTTACCTAGTTTTCAGTTTTTAACTTCAGAGAAATTATTAGCAATTCAGCCTGCATCATATTCTAAATTATTTTATTCATCAAATAGCCACACTTAGATCAAAGCCGTTTCTTTAAAATCCTTTTTTTTTAAAAAAGAATAATGTTGGACAAGCGAACGGTAAACCACGACTAGATTTAAATGTCGAAAAAGCTTGGGTACTTGGTATCACTGGTAAAAATATAACAACGGCTATCATGGATGATGGTGTTGATTATATGCATCCGGATCTGGCGAATAATTTTGTGAGTTTCTTGTTCATTCGGATTTTCACATGCCCAAGTCAAGACTTGAATTTAATACAATTCAAATTTTCGTGATGCACTACGTCTCTTTCAAGTGATTCGTATCTTCATATCGATTCATTTACTGATTTACTTTAAGGAAGAAATTGAGATAACTGAATAAAGAAGTTTTCCTGGAAAAAGTTCATTCTTATTACTTTGGCAATTCTCCACTAATAAAATGAGATCACCTTTTTGTCTTTTCAGAATATTTACATGGCGCTTAATTAAAGCTTTCATAATTAATCTTTAATTCCTACGTAGGAATTGCAATGCATATTTGTGTTCACCTAATTTGTATTTTTTTCTTCTTTGTTCGGAATTATCATTATCTTATCTTTTTTTACAGAATGCAAGGGCTAGCTACGATTTTAGTTCTAATGACCCATTCCCCTATCCAAGGTACACCGATGACTGGTTCAACTCACACGGAACACGGTTTGTTAATTCATTCCTATTTTTCTACACTTCCTTCTTTTCAATATTTGATGTTATTTATCATCTTTTTCAAAATTATCATTTAATTGCAAGGACATTGTTAATTTAATAACGTCTTTGGATTAGGTTAAAAACCATATGTTTGAACGCTGAACGAGTCCTTTATAATATCATACCTGTTAGGCATATAATACCTACCAAGTATTCATTATTAGCTTAAGAAAAAACCTTATAATATGGCAATGATAGCTGAAAATGTATTTCTTTATTGCGAATTGAATTTTGACAATTCTAATTACAGCTGTGCCGGTGAAATAGCCGCAGCACGTGATAATGGTATTTGCGGCGTCGGTGTTGCTTATGATAGTAAAGTAGCTGGTATTCGGATGCTGGATCAACCTTACATGACAGATCTCATCGAGGTCGCATAAGTTTTAAAATTTTTGGTAAATTTTAGAAAGAATGCTCACTTTTTAACTTAAATGAAAAACTTTCTGCAGTGTACTGAAATAAATAGAAAGCATGCGTGTATTGAGGTTCCATGATGGAATTAGTATTTTAAGCATGATTAATGAATAGAGAGAATGAAAGAGTGGAGTACACTTTAGTAGCTGAAACTTTGGAACTTTCTTTGTAAATATTGACTGGATTTTGTTTGAGAAATTAATATTTCTTGCATGATATTCAATTCAGGCCAATTCAATGAGCCATGAGCCAAATTTGATTCATATTTATTCGGCAAGCTGGGGACCTACTGATGATGGGAAAACGGTAGATGGACCACGTAATGCAACAATGCGTGCTATCGTCAAAGGTGTTAATGAGGCTAGTTACGCTTCTGCAGCTCTTTAGCTAATTGTTCTAAGGGATCCTAATTTTCAGCTGTGGAATTTTAAAATTCCGAAATTTAAAATGGAAGAGTAACTTGATCCTTTCTTCAGGGACGTAATGGTTTGGGATCAATTTTTGTATGGGCAAGTGGGGATGGCGGTGAGGAAGACGACTGCAACTGTGATGGTTATGCTGCTTCCATGTGGACAATATCTATTAATTCCGCAATTAACAGTGGTGAAAATGCGCACTATGACGAGTACTCATTATATGATAACAGAAACTATGATTTCCTAACATTAAGATGGGCAATGCTCAAAAATAGTATCGATTGATCAAAAATGTTAAGGGATTAAGTTGCCATTAGAAACTTTTGACGAAAGGTCAGAAAGGCTTCTTTCTATATAATCCACACACAAATAATAGCTATGAAATATTTAGAAATTTTTCTACATTGGCTTCAATATTTTCGAACAGAGGACGAAATCCAGAAAATGTGGGCAAAATTCTGTCTGGGGTAATTAGTTATATAGCAAGTAACAAATAATACAAATATTGTAAGAGATTATTTGTTAAGACATTATTTACCATTTAGTTATATAACAAGTAATGTAAATATTCTTGTAAGATAACTTGCAGAAGTTGCTCTTCTACATTGGCTTCAACATTTTCGAACGGAGGACGAAATCCAGAAACTGGGGTAGCAACAACGGATTTGTATAGCCGTTGCACGCGATCGCATAGTGGAACATCGGCAGCAGCACCGGAAGCAGCTGGTGTTTTTGCGCTGGCACTAGAAGCAAATCCATTACTTACTTGGTGCAAAAGCAATTTTCATTATGATATTTGTTTTGATTTTTAATAAAATTGCATTTTTGTTTACACGTTTGAAAAATAAAATTTACAAAATTTTTCATTAACTTTATGAACTTCTTAAAAGATTTAATCTTAAAAACTCATGAAAATTTCCAAAAGTATTTAGGCGTGATTTACAACATCTAACAGTACTGACATCAACACGAAATTCATTATTTGATGGGCGATGCAGAGACTTGCCAGATCTTGGCATTGAAGTAAAATTGTGAAGTTTTTTATTTCTCTTCGATTAGCCGCTAAATTAAATCAATTACAAAGTGAAATTGTTATAATCATGATGGTATACATCAAGTGGAATATTTTTGACTGAAATACATTAGTCACAACGATCACTAATACAATAGTAACCGATGTACACTCTTTCAAGAGATCAATTGCTTATTTCAGGAGGACGACGGGAACAATATAAATGGTATCAATAACTGCACTCATTTTGAATGGAAAATGAATGGCGTTGGCTTGGAATTTAATCATTTGTTCGGTTTTGGTGTATTGGATGCAGCTGAAATGGTTATGTTGGCGATGGTTTGGAAGACTGTGCCTTCAAGATTCCACTGCGAAGCGGGGACTATTGCTACATCGCGGTAAGTATTCATTTACTCTTATAATTTGAGAGTTAATTATTGAATGGGATATCCCGCTTTATCCGATGAATCTTTCAAGGACCCGCCGTTTGTTTACTATGTTATTTAATTAGAATTCAGATGAAAAATTGCTGATGTGCTTTATATGCTTTAAAAGTTAGAAATTATAAAATTAAAAATTATAAATAACTTCTTTATAATGTTTTAGCGAAATTCCCTCGACCGGAAATCTTGTACTGGAATTGATTACTGATGCATGCTTGGGAACTCCGACAGAAGTTAATTATTTGGAACACGTACAAGCCGTTGTCTCTTTAAATAGCAGCCGACGTGGTGACACTACTCTTTATCTAGTATCTCCATCTGGTACACAGTGTGTTTTTTTTCGAAACATTTGAAAAGTTAAATTATCGAAATAGAAAAATTAACAACCTCATGTTTTTATTAACGTTGGATTTTTATACCGTGAAAAAGTTCTAATATTTATGTCATCTATGTCATCCGAAATAATTCTTTTTCTTTTTTAATGAGAAGTTTCGAATGCTAAAGTGGATAAAATTCAAAAATATTAAGAATAAATGGAATTTCTCTATAGGATCAGATAAGTCGAGAAGTACACAAGTGTAATTTTGCTTATTTTTGAAATATTCAAATGTTTTTTCAAAACAATTCTACAGAACAATGATTTTGTCTCGGCGTCCAAAAGATAATGATAACAAAAATGGATTCACGAATTGGCCCTTTATGACCACACATACTTGGGGTGAAAATCCACGCGGCAAATGGCGCTTGATTGTCCGATTCCAAGTGAATTATCAAACATCATATATATATTTTTTTTTCTATTAATATTATAAATTTTCCTTATATATTACATTAAAATACTACAAGTTGAACGTTCTGTTTCAAATCTTTAAAATTATTTCTTTCTTTAGAATTAGTGTTGGATCTGAATTATTTGTAAAAAATAATAGCTTGAAAGTGTAGTTAACATTGAATATTTATGACATATATTTTCCATATTTCAACGGATTTTCTAGTGATTTATTTTATAGGGCAGCTACAAAAATCACGGTATGGTGAAGAAATTTACCCTTATGCTTCATGGTACCAAAGATCCGCCATATACTGGTATTGAACCTCTTCAAGGACATGTAAACAGTAAACTGAAAGTGGTACAGAAGGCACATAAACGTGCTTCATTTCGTCGTTGATGTTAAAACGATCAAACTGACTTTGCATTCGTAAAAAAATTCATGAAAATTCAAGGAATCTTTTCAATAAAAACTTTGAAATAATGAAGCCATAAAAAAGTAGTGCAGGAATTTTCAACAGTTGCATAATTATCAATAAAAAGAAGATAGGTGAATAAGTGATAAATTTGTGAATTGAGATTCTTTCGTCAGTCAGTTTATGATAATTGATTTCACTGAATTTGTTCTTCTCAGTCCATTTATCACCTAAATTGATTCATAGTAAATCAGTTTGAAAAAAAAAAAAAAAAAACATGTCATTTGCAAATTTTTTTCTTCAATTAATTAATTAAAGCTTTTACTCATTATCCTACTTATAGTAAAGTCAAATTTATGTCAGAAATAAAACTTCGTGAAGTGAAATTATGTATTATCTTTCAGAATTTTCAGTGTTAATTCTATTCAGGTATGCTTATCTTCATTTTCAATATGCTTCTAAGTGCAAAATGGTAATTTCATTGTCGTGATAAACCAAATATCTATGATAGAGCAAAGTTTCTAAGTTTCTTTGCAAAAATAGAACATTCCATCTTCCACTTTTTCTTGCTTTCTCTTCCTTTCTCTCTCACTCTCTCCCTTTCTCCATCTTCATTCCACTTGTCATATGATGAAGCAGTTTCAAGTATGACAGGTAATCAAAAGCAAATCTAATTTGTGTTATTGAATATGATCTGAATGCCAAATTTCTCTCGAAAAATTTTTCTTGAGTGAAAGTTAAGTTAATATTCATTAGCATATTTTCGAGAGGTATTTTAAATTATAATAATGAAGTAGATTCCCTGTAAAAACAAAGGAAACTTTTTTTTCAAAAATAAGGAGAGAAATTGATTAGTGAATCAAAAAGATCTGAAATTGGAATATGATTCATTCCTTCTGAAAAATCTCTTCAAACTGCTAACATCTCATATGGCATGAATTTTCATCTGCACATTAAAAAACAAGAATTAAATTTAATTTGAAATAGCAAGTATTATATCTTTCATTACAATCTCAATATTTTACCATCTATCAGATGATTATATTGATGCTATTGATATGATTAGTTGCTATTAGCTACTACTCTTTTCAATAAATTAATCAAATTTAAGCAACTGGTTGGTTATGTACCGTTGTCCTGCAGTCAGTTATGATCATTTTATGGTTTACTGGTACTTTACGGTAATATCATGAATTATTTAACTCACTTGAAATGTCCAATTTAATTGTCCCAATTTTCAATAATGAATGGTTTATTTGAATAAAAGAGCTTATGAAATTAAGCTTCAATTTCTTAACATTACTCAAAGCAATCTTGCATGACCAACAGAGATTCATAAAAAATCAATATTTTATGAAGAAGTAAATATTTGAGTATTTATATAGAAGAAAGCTACTAAGTACAAGTAATCTAGTATTTAATAACTTAAAATAATAACAACTATCTGGGACTACAATTGTTTCCTAAACAATTTTAACTAGTTTTGGTCATTATTTTAATATAAATTTTTAAAAATTTGAAGGTAGTTTACAATTTTTCCCATAATGTAGGAAAAGTGATTGGATATAGAAGAAATTAGCACAAGTAGTTAGTTTATTTAAAAAATATTTTGTTAATAGTTTCATATGAATTTCTAAACTCATAGAATGTTTTGAAACTGAATCACTGAAGCGAATCAATAAAAAAGATTCCAAAGATTTTTTTAAGGTTACTTTATTTTAAAGATTTTCTATACTGTTATCAATTAACAAAACAAGGCAGTATTTCTTTATGGTATTTTCCATTAAAATTAAATAATGTCACAATGACCACAGTGATCTTCGGCTACGCATTTCATTAAATTGCATAGTACTTATAAAATATATGTAACCGAGAAAATTCAAAAATATTAATGATTTTCCTTGTTACTTTATTGCCAAGGATAAGTTTAAGACGCTTGAAGCTCTTTTTACAGAAACATTGTAAACATAATTAGTAACATATTCAAATTTCTTTTCTCTGTTTACTGAATAAAAAAAATTATTGAGCTGATGAAAGTGATTTATTATTGATGGCTGCGCAGAATTTGTCATGTTCCTCTATACACCACAAATGATGTATTTATTCCGCCTCTGCATAAATTTTATTAACCTAAAAAAGCAGATGAAAACTTCTTTTGGAGAATTACCTACAATTCATTGCATAAAAAAATTTTTTTTTCTGTCCGAAAAAAACTAAATTACGTGATTTGATAAGCTAACAATAGTTATCCGAGTGAAAAAGAAGCTAAGCTATCATGAAAACTGGTAGATGTATTCATTATTGCTATGATCGGATCTATTTAAATTCGTTAGAACTAGTTTCTTTAGAATAGCATTGATTTGTTAATAGTTTGGAACATTTATTTCGCGCTATAATCCACTGCCAAAATAATTTATTGTTTCATCCATCACAAGCACTCAATTATAGTTCTTACAAACTTTTTTAATAGATTTTGTTCGGGGAAATTTTTTCATCGATTGAAGTGTAACAATTCATCTTGTGGAGAATGAAGAAAGAATTATTCGAACAAATTCATTTGCAGATTTAAATTTCTGGCCTAAACTTTATATTTCAATTTATCGAAGTTTTTTTCTTTTTTTTTTTTTTTCAATTTAACAAAGTTATCGAAGTATTATCAGTTTCTGAACCGATGCCGGAAGTCAAAGAAAGAGAAGAGACTTCTGAAAGAGTTAGCCACTTATTCACTCACCTCTCTTGCTATTTCCTCTTGTCCAAATCTATTTCTCATCATAATCCACTGCTCCAACCATTTTATTTGCTATTTATACTAGTCCACTCTTAACTCTCCTCAATACATCTCATCTCTCCCCACCACAACTAACCCACTTTCGCATACTCTAACCAACAGTAAACAGTAAACAATCATTTCTCTTTATCAACTATTCACTCACTTGCATAAGTGGCCTTGTTTACCTTCTCATCTCACCGTTTATTGGCAACCTTTCCATTTCTGCATATCACTTACTCATATCACACAGTCACTGTTCACGTTAAAATCTTTAAAAATTTTCCAGTGAGAGAGCGGGAAAGAGATGTTGTCTGAATTATTAATAATTTCAAATTTGCTTTGGTTTAAATTATTTATTTTTGATTTGGTCTGCATTTTGAACAGGATGGTAAATTACGAAACTCTCAAATTTCTTATTTCTTGTGATTGAAGTTTTTCACTTTTTCAAATCATCGAATGTTTGTTTTTGTTGCGGAATCTTTTATCCTGTCCAAGTAAAGAAATAAAATTGATAAAATTATCAAATAAATCTTTTCGACGAAACAGACTTATGAAATTCTTTTTCTGTTTTCAAGGACAACAAATTTCTGTGTTGGTTACGTTCCTTTATTCTACGTTATTCGTAGTAATTCTCGTTAACAACATTAATAATAATGATTTTGAAGTTCTTTTAATCAAAACAGAAAATAAATTAGCATAGCCATCTGACAATTAATGATGCTGATGGATGAAAATATTGATTATTCCTTTCTAGAGTAATTATTCCAGCTAAATTAGATGCGTATTGCTATGCTAATTATTTTAGCTTCGCTAGATTAAATTAAAATTAAACTAAATGATTGATTTTTGCATTCCTCACAAAATTTAAAAAGGAAAACTTGTGGGTATTTTTCCTACCTTATTTGAATCATAAAAGCAGACTAACATCGAAATTTGATATGATGTAAAGTTGTGCAGATATTGTGTCGCAGGAGTATGTATTCCATTTTTCGTTTATTTTCGCACTGAAATCGATTTTTAGTGTTTTTAATTTCCATTTTTTTGGGGTGGATGTGACAGCAACAAGCAACAACACCTCTTAAAGATGCTAAAACAGATATTTGCATGGGGTATTCTTCATTTAAACAAATTCTCCAGTACTTCTGAGGTGAACATCCCTTGATGGTAATAGCAATGAGAGAAATTGCTGTCAATGTGTTACAGAATAAAATTACTAGTTAGTTAGTAAGTAATAGATAAGTCTTCAAATAATGCTTGCTCCTTTGAATCTTAATCCTAAGAAGTTTCCTTCGTATATTTTTATTTTCTGAATCCAGCAGAATTCCGTAAGAAATGATAAATCTATGAAACAGATCCTTATTCCGGTAACGATGAAATTAGCCTGATTTCTTTTATTTCGCATTATTTCTGAAAAACCTGTTTAGTGTAATAAATCATGCAAAAATGCTTGCTGGAAAGCACTTACAGTGCAAACCTTATTTGTTGAAGAGCGAAAATTTTTCGTTTTCTCTTTTGATGACAAGAAATTTTACAAGGAAGGATGTGTGAAGGCTGTGTTGTATTCGAGCAACATTGATTTTTCACCTTTGAAACAATAAGACCAGACGAACTTTTTTTCATTTTTGTCTCTTTCAGAAATCAATAAAGTGTTAGTGTGTTTCATATGAAATGAGTTTCTATAAGATAAATGTGACCTTTAGATAAAGGGTCAACAGTTCCTTGTTCCGAAACGGTAAAATTAGCTTTATTCCTGTTACTTCCGACCATTTTTGAAAAACCTGTCAACCTTTTGCAACATTGGTCTTATGACATTCCTCATTCTTCTGCATGAAAGGAATTGATAGAAGAAATTACCTTAGCAGTTCACATGCAGACTTTAACGTTTACGACATGCGTCAATGTAATTCCCGAATTTTTTAGAAAAAAAATGATGAATAGGTGTATTAGTAGTGTAATGATAGTTGCAATTCTCCGCCTACATTTATCACTTATTTCTTCTTCTTTGTCTTTCTATTGCTCTTATCATACATGATCTCTTTGAAAAAAGATATTTTATGGACTTTAATCTATCATTTCACAATCATTTCTTGAATATCAATCATATTCTTTCCTTTTTTTTCAATTTTACTGTTACACACAACTTTATGCTTGATGTATTTTGATAGTAACGAGTCGATGGCAACGATTTTGCAACGACGATGACATATCATCTTTGAACGGAGGAGTAGTGGCGATATGAGTGGTAGTTAGAATGTCGAGATCGAGGTCGAGACTAAGGTTGAAGTTGAACCCAAGATTGGAGCTGAAGTAAGAATGGAAGGAGCATAAATCATGATGGCCTGGGTGGGTATAATAAGCATATGCAGAAAGATTGTAGCATTCAAGGAGCGCTTAGTGAAATTCTCTCATATCAGCTCTCCGCCGCGTTGCCGGCTAGTTCCTGCAGAGATTGTTGTCGTGACCTTTTTATATGAACCTAGTTATCGTTTGTAATATTGGGCTGTTCTTTTAAGGCTTTCGTACTTTATTTGTACTAATTGTTTACTGGGCTGTTAAGTTAAAGACAAGTCATATTTGCATTCCCATTCCCATTCTCATTCCCAGTTCCGTTCTCATTCTCATTCCCTTTCCATTTCAATCTCTTTCTAAAGAAACTGATTGATAAGACCAATGCTTCCTCCTCAATGACTTTTCGTCATTTTTTCGACAATATACTTATATTGCCTTTGCTTTCAGCAGTCTTTCATCGCTCTTTTTCTTCCTTAGTAACATTCCTCCTGTCTCCAATCTGCTCCCCGACCTTCAGGAGCTTTGTTATCGATGTTATCTCCAACGAGATGACAACAATACCACCCACAGCTTATTGCTTTGCTCTTCCATCATTTCTTTAATTTAACGCATCTTTTATGATCACATTTCTTTACTATTGAACGAGTTCAAGATTTCTTCGCATCTGATATCCTCAATTTTATTCAGTTATTTCGAATTATTTATGGGTATTTCATTAGATACCTCACTGCAGAAATTGGAATTATGCTTTAATGCAGTTTTTCACTTATTTTCAATTATTTTCGAACTTTTTCGAAAGAACATTTTATTAATATATGAGTTTTGATGTTTAAGATTCTTATTTGAACTGTACTTGAATAAATGCGAAATTATTAATATTAAAGTAAAAAAGTATGAAAGAATGTCTAACATAAATCTCAAACCTCCTAATTAAATTCCGAATCAAGAATTAATTAGTGATATTCAGGTGGAGTTTTAAGATAAACTTGATAGGTAAGCTTGAAGAAGTATTGAGTTGTTTCAAAAATATATTAAACTAAATATGATTTAGTTTAATACATTAGCTATTGTATTTGCTCGAATGAATACTAAATTTAAAATATGATGGAGTTTATTTTACTTTTGATTGATGAAATAGTTCTGTCACTTAATTGTCACGATATTACGTTAATTGTTAGGCATTATAGATTCTTAATAATATAAGACTGATTACACCATGATGAGGTTAAACTTTGATCTTTTTTGCAAGTACAGTTTGGTCATCTAAATTTCAAATAATAGGACAAAACAAAAATAAAACTGTTTTTAAATCCTTGCATAAATTAAATGATCACAAGGTTGTATTATCTGTTAAATGCACCAAAAATCATTCTCAATTTAACGATCCTCTTATTACATGGTATTGAATTGTGAGAAATAACAACGACTTCTTCCATCTCTGTGAGAATGGAATGATTTCATTTTCAAAAGAAACCATTCATTCATTCAGCAGTTCCTTCAGGAAAATACAATGTGATCATGGCGGCTTTCTGTTCAATGACTCATCGAATTCTTTTTTTATGGATAATGTCCTTTGGTCAAAGCTTTGATCATTAATAGGTTTATTGCTTTTAATGCAAGTGCTTCCCTGGAATGAAGTATTCTTCTCAATATTGAACAATAACAATTGCATTCTGTACTTGGCAAATATTACAACAGCGAGTCGTAAATTGTAATCAATTCTTTTTATATTTTGCAAAATAAACGGCTTGTGGCTGTAATACCTGTAGCAGGTGAAGTTGTGTAAAGGAAGGATTATTTGTATAAAGAGAAAGGTTTAGATGATTCATCAGAATTTTACTAATAATATTTATTAGCTAAAAAGTTCTTGCTTTTGATTGATTTTACTTAAAGATCTTGGGATCAGCCCAGCAGATTTCCACGATGGGCTTTCGTCTTTAGTTCCTAAATATTTATTGCAAATTTCTGGTCATTTTCTCATTGATGTATTGATGCCAATAATTTGAGCCTTGAAGACAGAGTCATTCTTGGATTAGCTGAGTTTAGGCTTGAAAAAAGTGAAGTAACAAGCATATTCATCCAATTCATAAATTTTTGGAAACTTTTGTGGCTTCTTTGCTAGAAATTCCTTTAGATCATTTTAAATGTTAAAAAAATCTATAAGTTCTGAAAAAAAGAAAAAATACTCTCAGGAAATTTAGGCAATAAAGGATTCATTTTTGTACAGTAGAGCCAGCGGATGAAAAGATAATCTCTCACGTTGTGAAGTCAGTCAAGTATATATGTGCGTGTGGCATAAGATTACGTTTGGAAATTGGAAGAATTATATGAGAAATGAATTTTGGTCTATCGAAAGCTCTGAAAACTTGTTTTAAAAATAAATTCTAATTATTTTATTGGAGGCGAAGAAAAACACGTTTTCCAATTTGATATCAAATAGTATATGTGCGTTGTATTATGTACATATATCTATACATATATCGTATTGTGGCAATTATCTGTTTCTATTTAAGTTTCAAAGATTTATTTCAGAAAAGAGTTTTTGTACGGTGAATAATATTTCTTAGTGAAGAGTTTTTGGACTGATTTGTCAAATCATCGATTGATTGTTACTATAACTTTTGGGTACATTTTTTTTTCGAAAAGATTAATACATCCTAAAATCCTTCTTTATCTTTCAGTGAATTTTGAACTCTTCTTTTGTTGGAGCTATGTATTCATCGATTTCTTGTGTGAATTATACTTTCTGAATGGGAACAATTTGAATTTTCTATATTTTCATGGTAATTGATTTTATTAATATGGCAAGGCAAAAGTAACCGAATGTATAATTTATGCGACAGTTGTCCCACCTTAATCATAATTAATTATGCCAATTTGAATAGCTTAAGGAGAAGATATCAATAAAGTTAGAAATAAACTGAATAAGAAATGATTAAAGTATGTAATGACTTATCTCTATCTCTATAATTCTTATTTGATTCATTTATTATGAATTGTCTTGTCTCTCTGACACTAACATATATCACGTACTGGAAGATAATTACGAATTTAAAACAATCATCACCTTCAATGTAAATATCTTCTCTAGAAACTAAGTTCTAAATGAAAGATGCGGATAATCGTAGATTCTTTCCTATATTTTAAATCACTTTGTATTTCATACTTTTTCTCTCATTTCCTTTGCTTACTTTCTGAGGAAAACTTTTTCCATTTTTTTATTTGGCAGCAAATACGTAATTCTCTCGCGTCGCGCAATTATTTTTAGTAATTTAAATGACATTTGAAAGAAAAAAAAAAGACGAAATAATTAATAGAGTAAGGAAATGAACGGAATGGAAGATGAATCTGTAGAGAAAGATGTGAAGGAAATACCGGTGAATATCATTGAAGTAACACGTAAGAGACGTTTTTACAAAGCGAATGAAAATCCTCCAGTTACACTTGCATTACTTTTTGCGTTACAGGTAAATGCACTTTTTTCCTATGATTATACAAAGTACGATTCAATGTTTTCTTTTTTTGAAAGAAAATTTTATATCTATTTAAATATCTAATTCATATTTATCTCCATGAGTTGTTTAAGATATGAGAGTAAGATTTGCTGAGGCATGATTCCTTTCTAAATTATTTTGTAGGATCTGAAATCAGTTTGTTGAATCAAAATTTCGGAAGCGAAGTTGCTGAAAAGTGGTTTATGAATTTGATTACCTTTGCATAATGAGATGGTAATTTCTGTAAAATTTATGATGCTTATTCAGCAAGTAATGGTATGTGTAAGCGCTCTTTTAACAATTCCATTCATTTTATCAAATGAGCTTTGTGCTGGTCGCGATGTATACACATTACGAGTTCTGCTTATTTCATCAACATTTGTCGTCAGTGGCATATCTACCATCATTCAGACAATCTTTGGGACAAGGTTCTTTTTCTTTAAATTGAGAGTAGCCCGAAGTGGACATTGCACTGCACTCCATTATGTTTTAAAAGTAGGTAATTGATTGGCATTTGTAATTAATTTGATAGTAATACCTATTCTTCTTTAATTGCAATGATTCCAAAATTTATATTTCTTAAATTAAAAAAAAGAAGAAATTTTCAAAACTATCATTTAAATGTAATATGCAAAAGATTTAGGACAATTATGCAATTACAAGAGATTCATGAATTTCAAATTAGTTTAGGAACATATTAACAAGGATTAGGAAGTATTTCAGGTTAGCGCTTCTACAAGGCACAGCATTTGCATATATTCCATCAATTCAAGTGTTTATGCAGTTACCTGAATATAAATGTACTTTTACGGATGATGATGTTGTGACTGCTTCTATTTATCAGGATAAACTTGCTATTGTAAATATCTTAATTTAAACCTTTATCACCATGTTTTAAGAAGAAAAGAGTCCTTTTTATGCTTTGTTGCCAAGTTGTTTTCAACAATACAATATTCTTACCATTTGCTACCCTTTCCCTGTTTGTTTTTCATAGTGAATTAACTGGTAGTATCTTTGAAACTAGAATTATAAAACTCTAGCATAAGCAGAAAACAAGTAGTAGTAGTAATAATAAGAAATTCAAACAAACCTGTGACTTTTTGATTGACCTTAATAGAGTATTGTGGCAAAAGAAATCCTTGAAAGTAGATAAAAGTATAAATGAAGATGTAGATTCAAGGATGTTTAATGGCATCGTCCCTAGTACCAATGATAATTGGTGTGACGGGTATAGTTGGCATATTAACAAAATTTATTGGACCAATTACTGTTTCACCACTTATGTTACTGCTCGTGCTCAGCGCGGTTGATCTATGCGTTGAACGGATTTCTAAGCATTGGGTTGCTGTGATGTAAGTTTTTTTTTATTTTTTTTTTCAAAAAATTCTTGCGAAGCTTGAAATTTCCCTTTAAAATTTTCGACGTCTGAAAATGATGAAAAACGAAGTGATGATTAATTACTGGTTATTCGAAAAAGTGTTGGATTTAAAATTTAAATTAAATATGGGATTAGGAACTTAAAAAGTTTTGGTAAGCTAATTTGACAGAAGTGGAGTCTTGACTTCCAATTCTTCAACAGATGTCGCTGCTTTAATTACGAATCAAATTTAAGCTTTTAATTTAGACAAGCAGCAGCTTTGTTTGCTACAATTTTGTATCTGGCGGATTGGAAAGTGCCTACACTTAGCTATAAAAATAATCGTTTTGCCATCGTTCGGACCAACATTTTCGGTCAATATCCGGTAAATTTTGAGAAAATTGTTTGGAAATTTTTTGAAAAAGTAAATATTATATGCTGAACGTTTGAATGTTATTTGCCACAATTTCCTAATGATTATGCAAAGATTTCGTTGAATTTAGGATTAGAAATGGATTCTGAATTCTTTTAGTATTTGATCGCTATATTAACTTCCTGGGGTTTTTGCCTGTTTCTTACGTTGACAGATTTAACGGCACCTGATAGTGCTGCTCGACTGGATAAAAACGAGACACTTGCCGTAATTAAGCGTGCCGAATGGTTCCGATTTCCATACCCTGGTTAGATTTTTTTCTTTTTTGACTTTTCTTAATTTGAGGTCGGTTGCTGCGAAATAAACTCGACACTTGTGTGTTTCAGAATGGGTTCACAGTAACTCTTTTCAACTTCTTTGTGATAAATAATTCGTCAAAAAAGATTTTCAGATTTTTTATCGTTAAATTTAACAGTTTTGACGAGATGGATTAAAAAAGATTGATTATTATCAGTCTGTTGATGCATTTATTTCCGTTATTTACCTTTATTTCAAGTAGGTGTCCCACAATTTCATACTGGACTTTTTTGTGCATTCGTTATTTCGGCACTAACATCAGTCTTCGAATCGGTCGGTGATTATCATGCAGCGGCACGGGTATCCGAAGAACGTTCGCCACCGTCACATGCAATCAATCGTGGTATTCTGGCTGAAGGTAATATCGAATTAGTACTTTTCCTTCACAACTTTTTAACAATTTCAAGTGATTCAACTGCATATTTATAGCGCTTTATTAGCTATAGAAGAATTCAGGTTGTGGTTCCTTGTTAGCTGGTTTACTTGGCCCAGGTGTTGGTATGACAACTCATACGGAGAATATTGGTGTCATTGGTGTCACTCGAGTAAGTAAATCTTTTGAAATCATTGCAAATAAAATTTACAACAGGCTTTTTGAACTTCGTTGTTTGTAATACATTTTTTAATTTTGTCAGGCTTGGAAGTGTGTGTTGTTTATTTCTTCTTCACCGAGTATTACTTTTTCCTGTATCAGCTACACATTGCTTTTAAGATGATGCTTATTTATCACAATTATTATCAACCTAACTCATTAATTTTACTTTAATGATCTTAGGTAGCAAGTCGATTTACAATGGTATTAGCTGGAGTGATACTCATTTTGCTAGGCGTTTTTACAAAAGTTGGAGCTCTATTGTCAACGATCCCGGATCCACTGGTTGGTGGTATTTTGGCTAGCAGTATGGCAATGGTTGGTGGTGTAGCAATAGCCAATATCCAGCAGGTATAGCTTAAATTCCAAAGGCTTTTTTGATTATGATTCCTCTCTTATTAAGATAAGTGATTAAATTTGAACTCTAATTAACCTTGAAGTTGATGGCAATGCATGGATGTAGGAAGCGTTACATTGTCTTTGTTTATTCTGTTAGACGATCGAATTATGGTTTTAGAAATTATCACCTCCTATATTATTTTAGGTTGATTTGAAATGTACAAGGAACATAGCTGTATTAGGATTCTCGATAATGGTTGGAATGATTGTACCAAGCTATTTCCGAGAGAATCCTATCAGTACAGGTTCCTTTCATTTTTCCTTAGAGATTTTTTGATTATTATAATCTTATTGTTTTGTTGTTTTACGAAAACAACCTTTTCGTCTTAATTGTGTCTGTTCAGGGGTAGCTGTGATTGATCAAGTGCTCACAGTTCTTCTTACATTACCGATGTTCGTTGGCGCATTTGTCGCATGCGTTCTTGATAATACCGTCTCAGGTAATTTCGAATTATAGCAATAATAGTGCTAATACAGGGGAATCTTATTAAAAGTTCATTAAATTTCAATACAGTGATTTCTTGCTCATTGTGAGATAATTCTATAATTCATGTAAATGAGTTAGACAAAATTACTAGAACAGTACTTATCTGCAATGTCAAATTTTTATTAAGGCGTTGATTGCAAAAAACATAGTCATATATAAGAACCTTGGAGAAGAAAGTTTGTGATCATAGCCATCTGATCATTTTTTCTTTTGGATGCATATAATATATTGATATGAAACTATCAACTGAAGTAATTAATTACAGGTGCGACTCGCGAGCAACGTGGTTTACGTTCACGTGGTTTGGCGTATGATCTGGGCGAGAGTAATTACGACGTATACTCATTCCCGGTTTGCATGATGAAAGTGATCGAAAAAGCTTCTTATCTGAAAGTGTTGCCGTTCATACCAAAAGAAAAAAAAATCACCAATCGTGTGAATGACTCATTGCCGTGACGATGAAAGTTTATGGCTGCTAGGTAGTATTGAGAGATGAGAATTGGTGAAATTCATTGAAAATTGTACAATATTCAAAAAGAATTTAGTAGTAGTAGACATAGTGATTTCCCCGAAGCAAGTTGATAATTGTCAAAACGGTCTAATCTGTTCTTGATTAGACCGTTTAATCACTACCTACTTGTGTGTGCAATGTATTTTTATTTGAAAATTCTCCAAAATAGACACATTCTTTCCCTAAAAATTGCTCTTCAGAGTAATTTTTTTTAACCCGAATTTTCCATTTAATGCAGTTTGGAATTTGCCTCTTTAAAAATTCGAAATTTCTTGAATATCATGCAAAAAACGAATTGTGACGTAAATCGATGGATTTCGTACAATACCGTATTTTGTACAATCCAAAAAGTTTTAATTGGAATTATACAAATTTTAAAAAATTGGAAATAAGATACTTTAATGATCCTCAGTGTTTCTAATCTCTCAATCTTATCTTGCAACATTCTATATTTCACTTCCATTTTAGGAAAATTGGAAAGCAGAATAAATAATGTTTATCTCCAGTAGTATACTGATCTCTTCTTGTCCATGATTTTCTTCTCTAACAAACGTCAGAGAATACTCTTCTCTCCATATCACTTATACATACATTTGCAACATTTTTAGAGCGCAAAAATTCCATGTTGTGGCGGAAATGAATCACTTAATTGCTTTCTTTCGCGAATAACAGATATCCGTGATACTATAATTCACTCTTGTTCGTTGTTATATTTATGATTTTTTAAATGTATATTGATGCTATTCGTTGCTATTAATGTCTTTTTGAAATATGTGAAGTTTTCCCAAATAATATAAAGAAGACAAATAATAAGTAATTATTTATTACTGTCCTCGAGCAGAAGTTGAGATTTTCACTGAAATAGTGACAACGGCAATTGCGGGAGACTACAAAAAACTGAAAAAGAGGTTAAGACGTGAAAAGACGTAAAGATAAAGAGTAACGTGAAGCACAAGATGAGGAAATAGTGAACGAATGCCTGTATATAGTGAAATGAATGGTTCAAACAAGATGAGAAAGGAATTCAAGAAGTTGAGGTCATGTCGAGGCAGATTTGGGAGGAAAGGGTTGCAATTAAAAAAACCTTCAAGGATAAGGGATTTGTTTACTAGCAGTTCAAACCAGACTTCTAACTTCCTGTAATTGTTTTTATATTCCTATTCATTATGGTAAAGTCTTAAAGGGTTGAAACAGTTTACTAGAGAAGGAAATGTAAGCAAGATGGAATCAAAACAGGATCGGAAAGACAAATTGCAAGGACCGAATCGTCTTAGGCAACGATATTGGAGAATTTCAAATATATGTAGGAAATTCCGTCATGAATCTTATAATGTAGGCGTATTAATTCTCAAGAAATAGAAAAGAAGTAATTATGCGCTCGGGTGACAAAGAGAAAGACCAGATGTAAAGCCATTTTTATTATTTGCATGAGAAATCCAGAAAATATCCGGGTAAATAACTGATATACAAATGATACATTTCAAATACTTTCGTTAACAATACCAAAACAGCTCAAGCGAAAAAATCAGAATCGGAATCTTCAGTATTTAAATCAACCGTTTTCAATATTCCGTCATTAAATCTATCCATAAATGCCGGTTGTTTACCGACAGCATCATTTGCTGAAGTTCCTAGGATTTTAGTTAGGAAATCAAATCCATCGTTTATAGCTTTTGGTAAATTCGAAGCCTGTGAAGTGCTTTCTGTCTCCGTAGGTCTAAAAATTTCTTTCTAAAAATTAAAAGGTTGGGTAGATTAAAATAAATTGATATTTACTTTCATAGTTTCACAGTGCTAAATGAAAGGCTTCCCTTAACAAGCAACTGATTTGATTTGTTGTCTAACTTTCAAGTTGTCTCCAAGCTGACAATTTTGAAATCCTCGAGGTTGCTTTTCCGTAATTGTAATGCATCATGAGTATTTTTGAAACGCGTGATCAAAAAAGAAAACCTCGACTTTGCGGCTGTTATTTCTTGACTTAATGACTTTTGATCGTCTCTTTGCGCATTCAGTACCTGGCAGAGATCGTATGTTTCTCTCCGGGTTACTGAAAATTTAAATAAGGTTTACTGTTAACCATTCTCCGTATTTAAATTCTGCCACTTTTGTTGATGAAAGTTTTAAAGAAAGGCTTGAAATGAGAACCAGAAAGTATGAAATTTCAACTGCAAACAGTAAAATTTTGAAACAATATAATACATTGACTTACTGACATAAAATTAATTTCTGATAAAAAGACACATCTTTTTCAATCCTAAAATAGAAATAAATTGATTACAATTTGCTTCAGTGTACTGTGTTTCTTGAAGATAATTGGACCCTTTCCGATGCTCCGTCGAAATCATATTTGCATTTTCTTCCTTCTCATTAAGTAATTGTTCAAAATTTCCTTCATCTTGGTCATTTTGTAAATATTCCATCCGGATCTGTTCATAATCTTCAACATCCGGTCGTGGAGTATCCAATAAAACGGAAGCATCTAAAGAAAATATTGAATGCAAATGTAAATTATCTACTTTATCAAAAATATACTTTCAAAGATTTCCAATGGATTCAATGATCACACTTTGACAAATAGTTTTACTTACCTATTTGATTGATTTGTGTACGTAATTCATGTAAACTTTTCAGCTGAGCAATATTTTTTTTCCAAGGCATTTCTTGACTTTTTGAGGAATAAAATTTAGGTTCTAGTGAAAGATAATATTCAGTGGTGGATAAATGAAGTCGATGTTCACGTAAGCTCTCCAAATCCTCGGCTATTTCGCCTAATCGTTTTTTTATTCTGACCAAATCGGATTCCAGTGCTGGTCCACTACAAAAGAATTTCAAGAAAGTTTCCAAAACTTCGATCGAGAGAATAACAAAAATCATCAAATCTCTAGAAAATCCCAAATAAACTGTTTCTCTTACCTTGATGGTATTGGGTCGCTTGGTTCAGGATTGTCCAGTTCCAATTTCACATGTGGCACCATAAAATGTTTTCCAAAGTCCCAATGATATCTATTCGTTGCGAGGTCGTCTATGATAGATCGTTGAAACTGATTCAGTGTCGATGTCTGTTTATAATTAAATATTATGAATCTAAATTTTCAAAAATTTTTAGGAGGATTTATTGAATTTTTAAATCCTTTGCACTAATTCAAGACTGCCCACTAATACACGCCAAAATTTATACTTATTTTTTCTTCACCAGTTTTTGTGCATTCTTTCAGTGAGAAATAGAAAATAACTGCTGATAATTTAGTTTTTCCGAAAAATTATGAAATTAGATAGGAAGGAAATTATAATGATATAAGTATTGAAGTACCTGCTTGTACATTTGCATTTTGGGAGGTTTCCAGGTAGGATATTTCTCTCGTAGGAAATCCACATATTCATCCTTAGTAAAACAAAAAGAAATCTTCTGTTTATAAATGAGCAGATCTATCTTAAGGATCTCATGAAAGTCACAGAAATTTCCATATCCAGGACAATGGAAATAAAATTGAAATGATGATTTTAAGGGTCAAGGGATGCAAAGGTCACGAAACAAAGAAGAACTGAAATCTCAAAGAAAGTAATGAAAATTTTTTGTTCTATATAGCTTTCCAACAACAATGATTTGTACCGTTCGGTTCTCTAATACAGTAGTGAAGACAAGTATCCCGAAATGTGCTTATTATGAAAGGGCACTGTTTTATAGAAATCTCAGAGCACTTCATGCTAAGGAAACATATAATCTAGTTTACCCTCGCCTTCTTTGCTGTTTCCAATTTGAAATCCATTTTCATTAGTCGCTTCTCGAGTTCATCTATTTCATGTCGAACAGAAGTGGAATCAGTCATTGACGAACAGCCACCTCCAATTGAATTCTCTAAAGCAACAGCGATAAGGAGGAAGCAATCACTATGGAAACCGATTCCATGATATCATTAGCCTCGTCTTTCACCCACTTTCATAGCCACAAATCTACGATTTCTTTTTAATCTTCATAGTACACAACATACTATAAATTCATCTAGCTTAAGAAAATTCATTTTATGAACAACAAACTAATAAAAATACAATATACAGAGTAAGTTATTTTAACACGAAGACAAATAATTTTATAAAAGTTACAATATGTACTACCACATTACTAAACTCCTTTCTCAACACAATTATTGAAAATAAGAACTTGCATTAAATAAAACGTTACATATATGACATTTTGCTCAGATTTCAAGTCTATTACGTAAAATATCCAACCAGTGGCAATCACTGATGTGAAAAAAGACCTGTTTCCTCTCATTCATTTTCTAAAAAGTGCCGGACAAATATTAAATGAAGGAAAGGAGTGTGATTTGCATTTAGGAATAAAGATCATCTGAACACAAACTTCTTAGATGAGTCGTCCTCCTGTCTTTTAAAAGCGAAAATTAGAATATTCCATAAAAGTTTTTATTATTCGATTTCAAATAATTACCTCAATTTTTTTTTTTTTTTTAATTAACTTGGTAAGAATGGATTACTTATTGTATATAATGCAGTGGAAATTAAAGCCAGCTCAATCATTTCAAAGCTACATGGAACATAAGACCCTCGTTTGAGTGAAATCAAATGGAAAACGACAGGTCATTCTTCTGAATACAAACAACACAAACACAATAAGCGATTTGGATGACAATCATTTCTACAACTTAAATTTATCATACACATTTGCAAAAAAATTAATGAAGTGATTTGCTTTCAAAAATCTTTAAAAACTTGGAAATTTCCAGATTTCTTAATGAAATTTTTTCTTCTATATAGGTTGTCAACTAAAATTACATATTCAAAAATTCACTGCATTTTCAATTGATAGTCATATATGTCATATAACTATTTCAAATCTTCACAATCATTTTCTCCATCGTCAGCACTGTTACCGTTGTCATTCACATCACTTATTTCAGAGCAGGCTCTTAATTCTTTCATTAAACGTAGAAACTGAAAAAATATTTTGTAAGTGGTATATGTTAGATGAAAACCTTTAATTCTCTCATTAGAAGCATAACTAAAATATCCTCTTATAACGAATTTGCACATCTCTATGAGTAATTTTCAAAAGGATAGTTAATCCATTTATTTTGTATTTGGTAGAAAACAGATAAAAACTAAGTTTCAAATGTCATTCACTCAAATGTAGCAAATTTCGAATATGAAAAATTATAATACAGATGTTATTTTACTTCGAACACTTTAGAATCAAGAAGAGGGATTCGTTGACTTATGAACTAAAACTTTAAAATTTTTAAAAATATGAAATAAGAAATCTTGCGAAAACAACAGCTACCACATTATCCATACTCCTCAAAATTGGCTGTTGGAGGACCTGTTGGAAGCGACTATTATCACCTGATTCAAATGCTGAAATTAATGCACAGCAAACCTTCGCTTCTTCGGAAATTTCAAATTCTTCACACCTAAATGAACAAAGAACAACAATAATATGATGGCAAATGAAGCACATATCAAGCAGTAAAACTTACTTGAATGATTTTTGGATACTTTCTGTTGCTGATACTGGATCATCACATGCTAGCCAGACAAGGACGAGAGCAACAGTTAGTTGTCCCACTCGCCCAGCTTCCTGAAACAAGAAGGATGACCGTAAGCACAAAACATAATAAGTGATTAAGAAGCATCGAAAAATAAACAAGCGTGAAGTTAGCAGTGAATCATTATTCACTGCCGCAGCGGGCCTTTAAATAATTGACACTGAAAATGAAATAGTTTCGATCTTTATTAAAGTAATATTAGACATAAAAAAGTGGAAAAAAAATTCAAAAAGATTTTTAAATGCGCCAGTTTATAATTAAAGTTGTGTAAATTCTTATCCTTTAAAAGTGGAAAGAATTCTACTTAAACAATGTCAAACCGAAAATGAAAATTCTTTCCTTCACGAAACTTAAAAAAAAATACAATAAATATGAATTTCATTTTTCCTATACACAATTTCATATGGGAAAAAATAAAATGAAAAGACAAACAATATCACAAAAAGGGTGACGATAAAAATACTTTAACTTCCATATATTTCTCGATCTCTTCACAAATCATATTAGCTGCTTCTTTATATTGTTTCAGTTTCAAATACAGTTTAGTAAGTCGATTCATAAATCCACCAGCCATACGCGAACGATCAGTTTCTTGAACCATTGATAGCGCTTTGTGATAAACCTACACAAACCTTATCAAATTAAGAACTTTCGAGAAATATTTTTCAATAAGTCACTTCTTGAATCCAAGCATGTAATGCAAAATCATACCTAAATTAATAACAGAAATGATTTACAGAACTAATTTAAATTTAACTCGTTTAAATGAAGTCTCCAAAAACTGGCTGGAACATTAAAAATTTACTTCTTCAGAAATCTTTAGAATCAAAATCTCTATTTCCAAAAAATTCATTGAGCATGAGCCCTTCAAAATAAAATTCCTACGTACTAGAAAAATAACGTCGAGTCAAGGTTAACATTGGAAAGAAATTTTGAAAGAATTGACAAAATAAAAACCATAATAGCCTTTTCAGGGTCGATATCTTCTAAACATTTTGCAGCTTTATCAAGTGCCATAGCCGAAGAATCGCTACTTCCTGATTCAGCATATCCATCCGCAGCTAAATCCATGTACTTCAGTGTACCGTAGCTATCACCCATTTCCTTGCAGATCGTTGCTGCACATTCATTACATCTACAAAAAGTATAATCTAAAAAAAAGAAACTTGTTGCTCGTTCAATTAATCACTGATTAGTGATAAAGTAGCTCTGCGACCACAAAACAAAAAGAAACAGCATTTGTTATTGGTCTAACATATGCACAACTCACTTAATATTTTCGTTTTTTCAAATATTTTTCCTATAGTTGTTAATATTTTCAGCTAAACTTTTAACCTCATCATTAGATGAGACTAGTTCAAGATATTTAACAATCAAAAAAGTGAGAAGTTAAGAATGATGAGCACCATTATAAAACTAAGACTACTTTTTATCACAACATTGGATCGACTAATTAATACCTATCTAGGCCAACCAGATAATAGAGCTGTATTTAAGATAAAAAATAATTACTTCGCCCAGTGAAATAAATTGCCATTTTCCTTATGCATTTCAGCAGCTTTCAGATAAGCATCACGTGACTGTTCCATTTGTGAAGCATTTTTGAAGCAAACGGCCGCTCGGTCGTACTCCATTGCTGCATTATCATAATCGGGCTTGAATTTCATTTTTATGATCGATGTTTTCAGGCTACAATGTAATCAGGAAATTAATAATCCAAATCCTGTTCCAGACTGATTTATAGTAAAAGTTGACATTGGAAAAGCATATACTTATTGCGGCCTACATTTCCCAAGAAAAAATAACTAACTATGCTTCGGCCTTCCTAATACACTCCGTTGCTTCTGCAACACGGCGTCTGCTTATTTCGTCCATTCCGATGCTTCAAAATTAATTTCTTAAGTGAAACATAAATCTAAACTAAAGTTGAAAGCCTACACATAGGAGTACAGAAGATCGCTGCGGCATAATTTTAACATCAAATAGGTCATAAGTTATTGTGGCATGGTAACAGCAGCATCTTATATATTTGTTAAAATAACAGCAGCATCTTATATATTTGTTAAAGCAAATAAATTTGAAGCTAATTTTTAATTGACATAAAATTGAAAATTATGAGAAAAACTAAAAATAAATTAAAGAGAAAAGCTTTCTGGATTACAGCAATCGAAAAAGCAAAAAAGCAATGTACAAATCTACATTTTGCGGTTCCATTATAATTATTATCATTCCTTCCAAAAAGCAATCCCCAACTTTTAGTTGTTTTTCAATACATGGATACATGCTTAATTTTTAAATTGTCGAGTTATATATCAGGTTAGTGAAGCTTTTTAGAAAATAGATCCTACAGAAATCATATGGAGAGGGGCCGATTTATTATGCATCAGAAAATCGAGGAATACAAAAATCTTCCGAGAATTCTTATAAATGCAAACAAAGATTTGCAAACCCTAGCCAGATCTTACAACTACATCCTTGAAATGTTGATAATCTCATGACGAAAATGTCAATTTTACGACAGTGTATAGAAATGACGTAACTTCTATCCCTTCAAGCAGCTTGCTTTGTAATTTATCATATTTGAATTAGACAATTTTATGCTAAGATGACAGCTAAATAAGATTTACTCTGAAGATTTATATAACAATATACCGGAAAGAAACAGATAGCACGGAACAAAGATATGAAAACAGCAAAAAACGACTGAAAACTGACTTAATTACACAGTCATATCACAGTCGAAATCAGAGTTAGTAACAAATGAAATGTATATGCTAATATAACTAAGTGGATGAAGAGACAGCTAGTTTCTTGAGATGTTCCATAAATACTTGTAAAGAAACATCATCCGTAAAGACTGGTGCACCACCTTCCTGCAACAAAAATTTCACGTTTAAATTATTATTGAATGTAAATAGAAATTGACACGGAAAACCTTCTGCATTCTTAGCGACGCTAAAACATTTACACAGGTGGAAATCGTTAAATTTTACATCGCAAAACAGTGATCAAACATAAGATTAAGTTAAAAACCAAGCTAAACTAAATTAAAATAAAAAAATCCATGTGGGCTCGAATTAGCTGAACATGATACATAAAAAACCTAAGAACAAAAAAAATAAAAAAAATAGAACCTTACCGCGGCATACGGATTGTTGTGTGTCAAGGATGGATTAACTTTGGATAATAAAAACCGGGCCTGAAATAAGTTTGAAGTTAAATGTCGAAAGGGTACAGCAAAGTTTATAACGAGAAGCATTTTACTTTTCAATACCATACTAGAAGTTTCAAAAACATTTGGTAATCTTCTAGCTCTGCCTTTGTGTTCCGAACCAACTATTTTCCTTAACTAGCTTTAGTTAATATATACCATAGCTTCAGCACTCAACAGAGCAATGGAAAAAACCTGAGATCCTTCATATTCCGTGACAATATAACGTGGCATGGGGAATCTCTCTTGTAGAATTGTTGTTGCGTCAGCTATTGGAGCATCCAGTAGCTGCTTGAAAGCACTGTACTGTGGGTCTTCATGATAGTTCATTTTGCGCCACGCGGCAATTGTCTGGAAATATGAAAGTCTTTAAAAGTTTAAAATCAAAAAGTATATGCACCGATCACATAAGACTACAAAAAAAATCTTAACCTGGCCATGATAAATTAAAACATGAAAATAATCATCCATCAACAAAATTCGGTCCGGAAGAATGGATGATGTGTCGAGTAAAACTGGTTCCGGTGGGCCATTGAAAGAATAGGCAAATAGCACAGGTTGTATCATAGTAGTGCTTTCCAACACATTTTCGAACATCAAAATATGTCTGAAATCAACGAAGTTTATCTTCCAGATTTAGAATATCAAATCTTATAATAAATAAAAGTACTTGATGATCTTGACTAATTCCTAATGAACAGATGTAATTATTCATTGACTTCGCAGCATTATTTTGGACACAAGTGTAACTTACCGATAGTAAGATGTTTCATCTGGTGAATTATTAAACACTTGCAAAAATTGTGATCGTCGTAAATGGAACATAAATTGTGGAAAGAGAGCAAATTTCTCCGATAGACAGAAAGATGATGGGTCATCCTAGAAATATCATAGTAGGTAAATTTTAAACTGGTAACATAGAAGTTTACATTTTGTTGGATTAAGTTCTCACGAGTACTTAGACCTAACTGGAAGTTAAGTAATTTTAAATGCTAAAAACAAGACCTGGCCGCTTATAATACCTAGAAAAAATTAAATTCGGAAAAGAAAAAAAAAACACATACCTTGTGATATTCACCAAACTTCTGACATAAACGAATTAAACTTCTATCTAGCCATCGCAATGCATCTGGCGTGTCGTTTTCTGATGATGCGCGCCAAGAAGCTAATCGGGCCATTATCACTGCTCCCGCTTCCTAAAATAATATTTTGTAGAAATAAATTTTTGAGAGAAGTAGTTTGAAAGAAAAAGTACAGCAAACATGTTAAAATACTTATAGGCAATTGTGAAATAGATAAATTGCTATCACTGCATAACTAAATTTCCTGATACGTTTTACTAATAAAATGAATCGTTTACTTGCTTTTCCAGATTTCAGAATGAGTCCAAAGAAATTAAAATAATAAATCAATAACCTGATCAAAGCCATATGCGATGCTTGGTTGCTGGCTTCCCATATCAGCCCAATTCCGGCATGTAGTTGTAACACGAATACGTTTGCGCCCATCTGGATGCTGATACTGAGTCACAAATTGCACCATACCATGTGAACCTTGTGGTATTCCAGAACCATGCTATAATATATATATAAGAAATAGAAAATACTTAATATTAAGAAAATGCAATATACATTTTAAAAAAATTGGAAAAAGTAGATTTCCACATATTCCTAGATTATAAGAATAAGAAATAAAATAATTTTAAAACAACTCCAAACGACAACTGCTGCAGAGTTGTGACCAAGAGTTGTGATAACTCGCGCTATTTAACTACAGTTTCTCACTCACTGGTGCGGAATGGCCTTTAGTTAAGATAAATAAAAAAGAGATAAAAATCAGTTAAAAAATCCGAATAAAAACGCAGGGTAACCTGAGCAACAATTTCGAATAATGCAGCAATAGTTGTTCTCGGACTGATTGAACAAAATTTCCACTGACAAGTACCACCAATGCCCATTTCTGTATCCGACACTGAAGCATTCTTTACACTACCATTTGCACAGCAACCAAGAACACCTTCGATTTTCAGACCATTACCAACTTTTACCTGCATATGTCAGTATATGTTTTTTTGAACTTTTAAAAGCTTAAAAATTTGATCTTCTAGAAACATCCTACTATAGTAAAAATTAAATATACACCATAGTGAAAACTGATATATAAAGATATTAAAATGTAGTTCAAATAAAATGGAATATTTTATATCATACTGTAACCAAATAAATCAAAGTGAAACAAACTTCTCCAAGACTGAGGAAAATTTTGGATCAATATACATATATCAAAATAAACTAGAATAAGAATTAAAGGGAATCTCTAAGTAAATACCCACTTCCATAGTTGCATTAAAGCCCATTTTCAGGAATCCATTGCAATCTTTCTCGAAAACACGCTGGTACGTTTGTTTGAATAGCGAAGACTTGAAACTATCGCCCATAACTACATTCCCTATAAAAAATTATTATCATAAGAAAAAAAGGTTTGCAAACAACATATTGGGCATATCTCAGCACAGCTGGACTAAATGTTGTCAAAAATCCATTTGATATATTAGATCATCAGAACCGCTATTGAAAATTCCATAGCGAAAAGACCCAAAAATACGAAGAAATAAGTTTAAAATTCTTCCTTTTTAAAGAAAATCTTTAGTTATCCCTTAGTATTTTCGCATCTTTTTAATTAATATTAAAATATTTAATTTAAACCTGCAGTTGTGTTGAAACAAGCATGCATTTCATACAAGCCTGTTTGGTCAAGTGCGCATGAATAAATATCAATTACATGACCGTTTTTTACTGCACGTGCAGCTAAACCATCATAGAATTTTGTCGCCTGAAGAATGAGATGTTCAGTACCAGTTTTGAACTAACGCTTTGCTATTTAAATTATAATATTTCCTATTAGAATTTCTGTTATCAATATGTATTCCATATTTAATCTATATTATTCTACCTTACCTAATGTTTTGCTGAAAAAGTGTACTTCTCCCTCCTATTATTTAAATGGCCAAAAATATGTATATATCTTAGTCAAAAAATATTATACACATCTATATGCATACATTAATACCTTTTTCATGTATGGTGCATTGTCTTCTTTAATCGTGTGCCATGAACGAATTGGGTTTTTGAGTTCTTCACCCACTACAGCTCCTGGTCCATGTGTACAGGCACCACCAATGAACAACATAATCCGAGCTCCAGTATTAGGGAAACACACCTACGAACAAGAAATTGCTAAGTTTCAAAAAGTTCTAAAAATAAAAGCACTTAAGAAATCTAATGTGTAAATTTTCAAGTTTCCCTCAAACTTCAAAATTTGTTAACCTCAAGCAAAGTGACAGCAACAGCAAGTGCACTACCCGTTGCACGAAGAGGACGATGTCCTTGCGGAACTGGCCAACGATCAGGTACAGTTTGTTCAATAAGATCATTTATTGATACTTCGCAATCACTTATCGGCTGAAATGAATTATGATTAATGAATTACAAGACGGGAACTCTCCAAAGCTTTTATTATGCCTTTGTTATAAAACCACCTGAAGAAACTTATTAAATGGAAGCAGGCAGCTTGCAACCATTCCTTGCACAACGGAAGGACCACTACCGGGAACACTAGCAGGTCCCACTGAGTAACCAGGTCTTTGCTGCGATGCTGCACATGGTGTTCCTGAACCCACTTGTTGATGATGAGTTGCACCAACGTTGACTGGTCGACCAATGTTCATTGTTAGAACATCTCGAATTTGTTTTTGATTAATTTCTTTGCTACCCTGTAACTTCATTTCATGATCATAGATTGTTTACAGCAAACTTCTATAATGCCAATATATTTACCTTAAAGACATAAGCTCTTGAGATTCCTTGCACGTTGAGCTCATGTATTTCAATCATTCGTCCAAAAGTAATCAAACCAACAAGTGCATCGGCAGGAAGGAGGGAAAGTGCCGTCTGGATGGATTCTTTTAGTGCTTTCAATTCCTCTGCTGATACGCAGGTGTCTACAACGAAGACAAATATCGGTGGTAGAGTTGTAGCCTTCTGCAACGGATTTATTGAAGAACGGTCTTATACAATAAGTACAGGAGCTGATGAAAGTTCTTTGAAAGTCCTAACTGCCAAGAAAATTCTCTACATCATTCTTGATTTTATTAAGGGACAACTAAAGACTGAGACTGAAAGTTCCTCGACAAAAAAATAAATTAAAGAAGGTCAGATATTGAAGTAGTGAACCACAAATACTTAAAAATCGGTACAAGAAACAGGAATTCTTTGCATTCGGTCAGTCATACCTACTTTCAAGGTGTATTCGATGGTCGTAAATTGTGGATACAATTCTGGCGGACGATTATCTTCTGCAATCATACTGTAATGTGGAGGAAACGGATTGCGCTGATTGCAAAACGGGCAAATCCACGTTTTATTACGAAAATCGACAGTACTGAAACGAATTTTTGTTCGTACGAGCTAACCGCTGAAACCATTTCAATTAAAAAGATGCAAAAAGGGTAATTCAAAAAGTCACTAGCCATAGAGCATTCAATACTGCTTTGCAGGATGTTTTCTGGCATAAAACAGGATCATATTCAAGTGGTGGCTGGTGAGGCTGGTCAGACGGACGCTCCTGAAAGTTACCGTAAAATTTCGCGTAAGGTAATTTGTCGGTGATCCAAAAAAAAATTAAATGATTTGCTTAAAGCTTATCTAAGGTAAATACTAGAATATAATTTCAAAATTTTCCATTTCATTCTGATAAAAGTGGCAGGACTGATTTTACTTTGAGAGGAGTGAAAAAAGCAGTAACAGGCACAACAAGTCTTTGTGCATCGATTCGTGAATGTGGCCATAAATTCCACGTCATCTGGATGCCATCAATATTAACTTGATTTGCCAGATATTCTTCCCAAACTGCCATTTCTTCCTCCTCTAAACTGTACTGTTAGTATGATTTCAATATAAAACAGAAAATATGTCACATCTAATGCGTACTGAAAGATGAAATTTAGAAGAAAAAAACTAATGGATTTATAAAGACCGCCAGAAGGATTTCCAGTTCAGGCACAACGAAAGGACAACGAAAAGAGAAGGAAGGTTTCAAAAGACAGACAATGTCAAGCATCAAATCGTTCTATGCGGTTTAAATCATATGACCGCTAACTGGTTAATAAATAACATCATCACATAATACATCACATGATGCACTAGACTTGAGATATGAAAACTAGTACAGTCAACACTGCAACGGAGGAAAGCACAAATTGTAAAATTGAAATTTCATAAGTAGAAAAAATAACAAAAACTGGTGAAGTCATACATCCTTATCAAGATCAAGATAAAACTGAATAGCATTAATCACTGGTTCCAAGAAGATTTAAATTGTAAAGGACGATTTATCAATAACCATATACATACAAATCTGTTCCCTTAATTAAGTTCACTTGTTCTAAACGATAGTTCTGAAGGATAATTCTGACTAGTTATTAATAATATTGCATGTATATTCTTTTCCCGAAATCTTTACAGCAATAACAAGATGAAAAACCACACCTGAAACACGATAATGCCCACGTGTACAATCCGGGATCTGGGAAACGCGATATGCAACTGGCGGATTTTTGGTCCAGTTTTTATTTAAATTTATTTAAATAAATGCTTAATTCGATGATAAGTGAATCAGTTAACAAGACATCTTTAATTCCTGCATGCTACATTTAGCAAATATATCAATTAACTGCCAATTACAAAATAGTATCACAGACAAAATTTGACTAGATGAAGGGAGAAAAAATCACGTATAAAGCACTTGCAACGCGTCCAAGGATGGTAGTGATAATAATAGAACTGGCAATGACAATAATATCCTTAAAATTTAAGTATAGTTCAACAAAAAATACATAAATTGAACAAGGAAACCAGAGATATTTGATGGAAAGAATCAACACTTTTTTTTATTTCCTAATTCTTTCCCCAATAAATACGATGAGGTGTCAAAGGATATTTATGCATGAGAAGCATACGACATAATAAATAAATGTCTGAAATAACTGCCATAAAGGTTACCGCCATAAAGGTTACTATTTTTTGATTTATGTGCAACTAAGACATTATTACCTATCAATGTATGCCATGAACTGTGTTTCCACACAAGAAACGCCATACTTACCTGAAGACTGCTATTTCCCCCATTTCCTACCATCACAACACTTTCATTTTACTAAAACAACGACTCCGAGTCTCCTTACTGTCTATGAGGGTTGCACATGTTTCATAACGGAGATAACTTTCATAACGGGCCACAACTGTGACATACAGTAGGTGCGTGCCTGGGAGTGTAAATTTGGTGGGTGTGGGTGGTGGTACTGGTGTGGGTGCTGAGATACATGGTGTTGATAAGGTAGCCATCATTCTTATTAGCTGTGTGTTTGCAGAAGGTTTGTTTATTGATTAGGTTAGTTCACAGCTTGGTTGGGTTTAACGGAGATCTGATATGAACGGTAGCGAGATACAAATTCTTTTTTTTTTTTGCAATTTTTATGTATCAGAAGGTAAGTGAATAACTGGAATGGAAGAACTGATAGCAAGTAATATAAAGTGAGTACCATTTTATTCTTGAAAATTACTTTTCTACTCTTTCATCCCAGGATTTTTATACTATCATGCCTCCAAAAACATCAGCGAAAGCTGGGAAAGGTGGAAAAGGTGATGCGAAAACTGTGGCGAAAGCACCTAAAAAGAAGGAAGGTGGAGGAGGCGGTAAAGCTAAGAAAAAGAAGTGGTCCAAAGGAAAGGTTCGGGATAAGTTGAACAATATGGTCCTCTTTGACAAAGCAACTTATGAAAAGCTATATAAAGAAGTATGTGTTTAAAGCTGTTTTGTCATACTTTAACTTTACTTTCTTTTCTTTTCTTTCGTAAAAATTTTTCTTAAAAAAAATCTTAAAAAGCCTACATGATGTCGCTATATAAAGGATGTTATGGCTGGATGATGTAAAGCATAATGAAGTCTGCGGAGTGCCAAATAAGGATTTCTGCCATGTAACGCAATTACATTTTTTGAATAAATACCAAAGTTCTAGTGATATTTCTCTCTTCAAAAACTTAATAGATTTGTTTAGGATGTTCTTATTGCAGGTTATTACATACAAGCTTATCACACCATCGGTAGTTTCGGAAAGATTAAAGGTTCGAGCTTCTTTAGCTAAGCAAGGACTTCGAGAGCTTCTTGCAAAAGGTTTGTATTATGTGGTTGGAAAGTAACTGTGGGCATTAAGAAGCTTGATGAAAAATCATGTAACTTTTAAGTAAGTAACTGAAACAGAAATTTGCTTTGAATGGACTTTTTATATTTGTAATATCGGATTAGTATATAATAGAGCGGTTTTCTCGATCAGCAGTCTTTTAGTAAAAAACTTCTGTTGAATTTGTTACTGCTGTCTGACATATGGCTTTTTGCAAAATTGTTTTTGGATGGTTCTGAATTTTTGAATATGCTATTGGGATAATTTTTTTTTCGTTAATAATTGATTCTTTTGTTCGATTAAAAACATTTTACGGTGTCAGATCTGATAACCGCATTTCAGTGATAGTTAGACAAAGGATGTCTTAATTTTTCACTTGTACAGATTCGTATAAGTTTTTGTATTCTTGTAGGAATGATCAAGTGTGTGGTACATCATGGCGGTCAGCTTGTCTACACAAGATGCACGAAGGCAGATGATACTATTGTTGAATAATTTTGCTTTGTTATTTTTTATTTTACCATAAAATTTCTTAGTTTGTACGACAGCGACATTTATGAACGCCATGGAGCAGATCTGATGGTTGCGCATAAAGACATAAATATATGTTATCCTAAGTTGTTTTATGCATTTGTTGTGTCAATTTAGTCATATTTACTTGCAGTGTTAAGTAGCCAGATTAATTACAAGACCTTGCCACTGGCTCTCATTTGATACAGCTAGAAAAATGAAACTTTAAAAGTCGCTTATTCATTAAACGGCTGTTATGAGGCGGTAGGTTGTCTACTAATATAGTAAGGTGTCGAGGATGATCTTCCCGCTAATTCTATGAGAGGAGAGAAAAAACAGCAAAGTGCTATCTTTTGGCTTGTCCTATTTATCCTTTTTGACAAAGTGTTGACGTGTTTCCTGTTGCAAATTTGTAATTTAAGTCATGGTTCTGTTGAAGGAATGTTTCATTTATTTAGTTCATTAGAAAAGTGATTAATACAGATTTTGATTTGATAATTGCGTGTGAACAAATATAGATTTAGCTGGACAACTGAATATGTTGTTAGGTCGACTCGAAGTTGAGCGACTTGACGATATATGCTTGCTTGGGCAAAACGGCATGTTGGAGTTGCCGTTTGCGGCGTCTTCTATTGGGCTGGTTGATTTTTTGACTCTCGGCTTCTAGTTGTTTCTGGAATATATAGGGCTTTCTATTAATGCAGTTTATAAGTTTGCAGTACAGGATTTTGTCGCGGTCTTCTACTAAACTGAATAGAAGGATAAAGGAAGTTGATAGTTAAGGTAAGACATGCTTTGTATTCGTCGTGGATAAATTTTTGGACTTTGTCCGCATTCAGGGTGAGAACCATTGCTTCGACCGGTATCGTGAGGTTCCAGTCAAACTTTTTGAAGGCTTTATTTCTCTTGAAAATTGGCGAAAATTAACCATTTATTAAATTATACTTTTTCCGACCAAGTTGAAAAGGATCAGAAAGAAGTATTAGTGACATCCATACTATAATATCCTTAAATTCTATCTCATTTATCTTTATCTTTGAATTCATTCAAGAAACATAATTTCATGGAAGTATACCTTACCCCAATCGCTTTAGTCTGTGCGAGTTGAAACTGCAGTATTGCAATGAGTACCTTAAAATTTTTTTCCTTACAGTTTAAAATTAGTCTTTGGGAATGTACAACGATAAACTGCAATTACAATGCAGCAAGAATGAAGTTAAGTAAACTTGTAGAACCGCATACTCTCAACGTTACAGTTAATTCTACTGGCAGTACTAATATAACAAGCATTTCTTCAATGCGAACCGAAATAAAAAAGATACGACCGGTTGATGACATGCCTGTGATCAAGACGCAGTGCTCTCACCTCTTTGATCTTTCTTATATATTAAGTTGTTCTATTACGAACTTTTAAGAAATGACATGGCTTCAGTGTTCATTTCAAATTTTAAATATTTCAGTCATTAAAACAGTTCTGTTTTATCTCTGCTTACATAGAGTTATCCGATATCTGCACCCCGAAGAAAAAGAAAATTGAGAAGTTAAGATTTTTGGAAAACGATTTTAAGATTGCTTCCGTTATTCTGTAAGGTGAATATGACAAATTTCTCTTTATTCTACCACATATTAACACTGAACAAAATTATCAAAAAGGAAAAAAAAAAAAACGAGATGAAAAACCTTCTTCATAAATCACCAAAAAAGTTCCTTATCCAATATCGCTTTATTGTTTATTCTACCTTTTTGTCGTATTTATTGATTCATGAATCTATAGCTCAGAAAAGTTAGGATAAACACTAAATTAAAAATACACAATTATAATGCTCGAAGCTGAGTGTCAAAACAATTTCAATTACACAATGGGACATGAACAATTAACGGAATAGGAGCATTACGGTAAACAGCATCAGATGCAGCTCTTTACCAGACAAAGGTATTTTAATATTTTGCGACAAAGAAAAATGAGTAATGCCTTTCTGAGTGTACTTATCACAAGAAGCTAATGCGTATAGAAGATGGTGTTCGTACCTAGAAAAATGTTAATATTCTGTAATCAGCTGCATCTCAGTAATACCTGTTATTATCAATGGCGAAAGTGCGATCCTTCAGACTTTACTTATTTTCACGACTGAGCGCAAGCTGTAAGTAAGCATTTATTTTGAACAAGAAAAATTTACAATTTTTTAGATCTAATGCAATGGATAAGCTGTTGAAATCCAGTAAGAAAACAAATGGAAAAGTAGCGCAAAAGAATCTTTTGAAAGATTGTCCGGTTACTTTTTTATAATTTTCATCAAAGAAAATTAATGACAGAAGAAATAACCTGTCGCCGGAACGCAACATTTCAAAGGCTGTGTTAATTTCTGTAAGATCATAATAGCCGGTGATAAATTCATCCAGTTTTATTTTACCTTTCTGATATTCATCAACTAATTTCGGGATATCGTCGACGCTTTTCCAACCTGTGATTTAACTATCATTTTAGATGAAAGCGAAGAATATTTTATTTCAAAATGATCCGCTAAATTTAAACAGTATTGCTTTTAAATTTGAATTCTTCCAGAAACGACAACAGTGGGTGGAAATCTCATTCATTTGTCATTTTTTTGTATCCTACGATAAAATTACTGAACCTCCAAAGGCTGATCCTTTCCAGGTACGACCAGTAACTAACTGGAACGGACGTGTTGATATTTCCTTCCCTGAAGCCGCAACACCAATGATACAAGATACACCCCAGCCTTTGTGTGCTGCTTCGAGTGCTTGACGCTGAAATGAAAAAAACACACAGAAAATACTGTATTCAATAATAAAAGACTTTTCGAAAAATATTGGAATAATCTACCTAGCAAAGAGTGTTGTTGCAAATATGACATAAAATACCCCAAGAAACTTGACACATTAAAAATACTGGTAGAAGAGACCATTGTTTCAACAAGTCCGATGCATTCAAAGGTATAATCGAAACCACCATCATATTTGTCCACAAGAAATGTTTGCAATGGCAGATTCTTTGGGATATCATTTGGATTAATGCACTCATCTGCGCCAAATTCAATAGCTCAAATATATATTTCAGATTAAAATTACCAAAAAATAAATCATCTATTGCCAAGACTAAACAACTGCATCGTTACCTTTCTCAAACTTCTTCGTATCTTTATCAATTCCCACGATCAACCTGGAACCAGCAATTCGAGCTCCCATAATAACGGCTAACCCAACGGTACCAAGCCCCCAAACTGCAACAGTAGAGCCCGGCTCAACTTTGCAATTGTTTACCACTGCTCCATAACCAGTTGAAACACCACAGCCAAGCAAACAAAGCTTGTCCAATGGTGCATTACAAGGTACCTTAAAATAAATCATATGAAATAGCTAGCTTAAATGTTTTAAAACAATTTAAAACAATCAACCGCTATAATCTTATCTTCGGAAATGGAATAATTCGATTAGGTAACAGTTTAAGCAAAATTCCTTGAAGTTCACGCTTTCAAAGTTCGCATAAGTTCGATTTCCTGTAATCCACTTATTTCGAAAGCAGTTTGAAAATGGAAAATACCTTTGCAACAGAATACTGTGACACGACAATATATTCACTAAAAGTACTGCAACCCATAAAGTGATATATTGCATTTCCATGTTGCGAAAAACGAGTCGTCTTATCTGGCATCAAACCCTGTCCCTGTGTTACCCTTAATAAGTTTAAAATAACTTGTACGATTTAAAATTAAAGCATAAAGATTGATGAAATTATTAGATTTACAGTTCCATGCAACAATAAGGAATAACAAGATACAAATAATCGATAGATTTCATTAGTTTGACACACTGCAAGACAACTTCAATACTTCTCTATTCTAGTAATTTCAGAAAAAAGGATCTTACCGAATACGTTGACACAAATTTGTTTTCGGATTAAGACAAAATTTACACTCCTTGCATTGTGCTGTGTATAATGGAATAACATGATCCCCTTAACTAAGAACGATTTTGAAAGTAAAGAGACAGTTACACAAAATAAAACAAAGTGACTCTAATTTGAAATAAAATGACTTCAGAAATTATCTGTACATTTTAGTTTTCTGTTGTCAAATGTGAACTTTCATCAGAACGTTAAAACGCACCAGGTTTCACACATGTCACGCCACTACCAACACTTTCCACTATGCCAGCACCTTCATGTCCAAGAATACAGGGGAATACTCCTTCCGGATCATCACCATCCAATGTGTAAGCATCCGTATGACATATCGCAGTATACAAAACCTAGACAAACCAACTACAATTCAATAAAATCATTAGTACGAAACTCAGAAAAAACATCTTTTGCACATTGCTCGAATCAAAATTCACCCTAAAGTAAGTTTTCGAATTTACCTTTATTCGTACTTCATATTCTCGCGGTGGGGCAACTTCAATTTCTTCAATTTTCAGTGGTTTTTTGGGTTCCCATGCAACCGCTGCTCTGCATTTTATAGTCTGCAAGATTTGTTCATATATGCAGCCTATTCAGCCAGAATTGATCAAGAAATGTTTTAAATCAAATTTGTTTTAAAAGTTATTTGAGAAAGCATGCTGCTACCCTTTCTCTTTTAATGCTGCAATTCGTGGTGAAATCCTATATACATTCCGTTAACGTGTACGAATCATAAAAAGCCTTTCAGTGTTATGACAACACCAAAGAAAACTCCATTACATCTCATATTCTCGCCAGCTGTTTCCACCGTAACACCAGAACAAAATGTCCTGGTCGACTTTATGTAAATATGTCTAAACCCAGCTATTTTCTAACCAACTCTTAATTTAAAATAAAATTACTAACAGTCACCTTGCAAATGGTAGCCATGATTGCTTCAATATCAGTCTCCTAAAAGAAAGGAAAGCAAAATTCAGGAAGCACATTTCAGAACACAATTCTTATCTTAAAATTTAGAACTCGAACTGACATATAGAGCAAATCTAATGAGATTCCTGATAAAATTGTTCTCAAAACATTTAAGCTTCCTAACTATTAAATTCGAATACTTAATTCGTCGCCATCCAGTAGCAAACTATTCTACACTCTTTTCAGTGCAGTAACGACCCCATTTTCACTTTCTACCAGATATTTCCACCGTCAAACATTCAAAACAATCCTGTCTTCTGTCATAGAAATCTTTTCTTCCAAAAACTGGATTTAAGCTTTCTATATCCATTTCCAAATAATTTCAGCTTTTTTTAAACACAAACTGTATACTGAACCAAATGAGCAATTTGAAAGTAAACAGAAAACTAGTTTCAGACAAAATACAGAAACTTTTTAAATATACATAACTTATATTGCTTAAACAATTTAAACATACCATATTTTTTCTAAAAAAACCGTTGTAGTGATTATTTTTAGCTTCATCATGGGTACGAAAATGTTCAACGTACAAAAAATATGCAATAAAACATGAAACTGAATGCCTCGAAATGCATCATCCCTTATCAGATAACAACCGTCAAAGAAAGGAAACTTTTAACAATAGCAATGAAAAATTTTCATAAGAATCGAATTAAAAGTGAAAAAAGAAATGAAACAGTTTCCAATACCAAAAAATCAATGACAGAATACAAGTTTCAGAAATTAATGAAAACTCGACATGGAATATAAAAAATATTAAGAAGCAATGAAGAGATTCATGGAACACCATCAAAGCTATCTCTCGAATTGTACAACCCATTCACAATGAGATGTTTGCGGAAACATGTCAACTGGTGTAATAGAAGTCAGCTTGAATGGTTCACCTGCGAATTTCTTGGATGTCGGCCGACAGAGATCAACCATGTTTTTCATAGCCAAAGACGGGTTGCACGAGACAAAGGCAATTTTTTTCAGCTGTGTAAGCTGAAATACCGAGAAGTGGAATCAACTACATATACCTTCAATATTTCTTTCAAATTCAGTTTCATCGTTCAGAATTTCGCAATTCCAGAAAATAAACATTAAGCTAGTTGATTTATACACGTCACCCTTCAAGTGACGGATAAACATCCAGTCATTTTTAAACAAAGATTAATGCTTTATGTTTAAAGATTAATGACACCTCAACTCCAAGGGAGAGAAATTCATTAAATTCGAAAGTATGAAAAATCAGAAGAAAAAATACTTACTGCCCGACATCCAATAACTACTTTTTCGTGAATACCAGCTCGTGGAGGATCTATTACACCTATTATATTTACTGTTTTCAAATCAATCCATGATGGTAATAGCCGTTCCAAACGAAAGAAAATATTTTCCGCTTTACCGACCACAAACTTGTAGCTAAAAATCCGACATCAGCACAATCAAGATCAGGATTATGTATATTCTTTTATCTATTCCGGCTTAAAAAAATTTCTTTCCCACTAGTTTATGAATCTCCATAAATTCGTAAAATTATTTTTTAGAAGGAATACCTGTCCGATGGTAAGTTATTATCAATTGCATTTATTGTTGCGTCTTCAACAGCTTCCGGGATAATTTCAATGCCTACTAAAAATTTACGACTAACGGTTTTTGCTAATTTCATTAAACTAATTCCGATCGTTCCAGTGCCACAGCAAATATCTAAGATCAAAGTTGCCTGCTGCTCAAAAGTGTCTACCTAAAAATATATTAGTAATTCAGATATAAAAGAAAAAATATATACAACAAATCACAATGCCAGAATAAAGATATCACTGCATAAGCACAGAGAGGATAAGAAGTTATTGAAATTGTTGAAGATTAAGATAACAGTTCCAATTCAAATTGTTCAAAAACTTCACTACCTTCTCAAGCTTTCTTATTTTCGTTTTTGGTCCGTCGATATTTTCGTATGCAAATTCTTCGAGATCTTTTTCAAAAACTGCAGTAACTATATCAGCATTGATTGCTTCCTGGGCAGCTGCATTATCCACATTACATAAACCGCACTTTTCAGCAATTGTTTTATACAGTATTGCGGCACAAGCAGAGTTTGTTTGGAAAAACGATGAAGGGGAAACTCGAAACCGGGCATCCAAAATTATCTCATAAATGTAAGGAGCACCTGTTAAAAATTAAAGAGTTTACAGCTCAACAAAATTTTTAAATCAGCTATGATTCAATCACAAATAAATTGTCTACTACTTTGTTGGAGATACCCAGGAAAAAATGATACTACTCTGATGATATATAATTTCAGGATTTCTAAAATTATATAAGATAAACATCACAGTATACATATTATATTGACCATTGAATTGCAAAAAAAAACTATAACAATCATGGCTAAAATTTTAATATCTAAAATTACACGGTTTGAAGTTACAAAATATTTACACAATAATAAATGGAATATCAAGTAGCATAAGTTCGGAAAAACGTAAACAGTAACAATGGATTACCGAAGAAAAACAAACCTAATTTTTCTAATTAAGATCGAGAATTCAGAAAAGACTGCATGACAATCTAATTACAATATTTTTGAAAACAAAGAAGTGCACTTAAAATTATGGAACCATGTAAGTTTTTGCAAAACTGTCCTAAAATTACAAAGCTAAAATAAAATCCGAAAAAAGAATATACCTGCAATGTGCTCATAGATAACCGGATCACTAGCATTCGCTAACCGCTGCCAATACAATGAAGTAATGCGGAAAAAACTATTTTCATCAGAGAGATTACCAAGCTGAAGAAATCGTTCTTCCACAAGTTTTTTCAAAGCATTTTCGCTCTCTTTGTCCTCCATAGGAAATATCGTTACAATCATCATTACATCAGAACCAAATTCACGAATGGAAAGCATTTTCCATACACCCTTCCTTTCAAACTCATTGAATGGCTGCAAAAATCCATTTGTGAAACTTATATCATGCTACCAACTAGTTCCCAACAAGTTAATAGACAAAACTAAAGAGTGCCCAACCTACATACTGCTTTTTTTCCAAATCCAATCAGTGATGAATAGTTTTGAGAAAAAAGACTGATGATTTAGTAATGGGAAAAATGAGGCTTATACCTGGGACATGTTTTGTAAATGATATCCTTTTGATCATAAGCCAAATGACAATGATCCCCGAGACAATTATACCTACAATTGAATGTTTTCAGACTACGGAAAAAAAGAAAAACTCAGCATTGAGCAATATGCTCTATGATTCTACAAGTCGTTTAAGGTAGCAGTGTAAAACTTACTGATTCACCACTTTCCAAAACCAATTTTTCGAACGCTCCCACAATTCGTTTCATATGGGCTGATATGTTGTCACATGTGTCCACAGGTACTACAAAATGTTCATTAGCCGCAAATCGGCCGCCAACAAAACCAACACAAATATGACCATCTATATTATGACCAATTGTAAATTCGCATTTATTTCGATATCCAGTAATACGAGGTGAAGGACGAATCTGAAAATATTAATGACAAATATACCACTACAGCTTTAAGCTGAACATCCTGTACCTTATTTCCAAAATCACACAAAAAATACAACCTATTTCAACATCCCTAATTGTTCAAGTTTGCTAATCTAGAAATTACAGTTATTCCACGAAAAAAATCCCAGGACGACTAAATTTGGTACACTCTGTCAATACCAGAAATGTTTAGAACACATAGACGTAAAAGGAAGATTCGGTAACAAGCACCTCAAAGGAAATTGGCAAGTGAACTCACAGATTCAATTAACGATTCAATGTCGATTCTGTTGGCACCATTTACATGAGCAACAATCATCTCTTTCAAAAAATTCATCGCAATTCGTTTAACATCTTTCATTTTAATTTCGAGTTGTTCACTGTATGGTATGTCAGCCAGTGGCGTTACACGTTCGCGTGCTGTACGCTTTATTTGGTCGTTGCTTAGCGGTTTCTATAAATTAAAAAGTATGGCTGGTCACACTCGGTTTTAGCTGCTGGCTAAACATGTTTGATATGACATGCTTTCAATACTTTTTCCTACTATTCTGTTTAGTCACATAATATGAACAAAAACATCTTGTGACTTGCAGGACTAGTTTTAGATTATCAAAAATAACCTTCTTTGGCTTTGATAAGCCATAAAAAAGGGAAACTTAACAGAAAGTCATGTTAAAAGCTTAAAGAACGATATTCACTTACAGCTTTTAGTTGTTCCGGTTGTGCTATTCTGGCTTGCAAAATTCGACCTTTCATTTTAAAACCATCAAAAATTTGCACTGCAGCAGCAGCTTCGTTCGGAGTTGGTAGTGAAAAAAACACTGTTATGCCCGTATGTCGAATGTTTTTCACAACGGACTTGTTCAATTGCCTGAAAAGAAAGAAATCAAAAATAACATAGTATTCCCGAACAATCTGCATGAAAGCAGAAATGAGACTTATAGAACTATGGCAAACTCACTATCTGAGTTAATTTGGCAAAAAGATTCCACATACTTCGAAAGGAGTTCCTTGACTTGTTTGTATTTCAAATAAGGTGGAATATTTCGTATTTGCACACGTGAACTTGGTTTTTGGCCAACTGCGCCAGCATTTGTAACGCATCTCTCAGCGTCTAATTCTTCTGTTTCCGGAAGTGCATCGCCGAGTGTACTATTTGCTGCAGATGGTACTTTCTCAAGACTTGTGAATCTCTCTGAAGCTGACTCCTCAACATTTGGTGTTTCTTTAGCTTTTGAAATGGATTGTTCTCGTAGTTCAGCTTCACTTACGGTAATCATATTAGGTGCTAATCCTTCATCCAACATATCTGAATTCACGTCACTGCACTCAAAAGTTCCATCGATCATTACAGACCTGAATTAAGAGGGTAAAAACATCGTAATTCATCCAACACTAGTTTCAACCAAGATACTAAACGTTCCTTTAAGTTAAACGAGTCGAGATCTTTTCAGACGATAAGCCTTCATTATAACCTTAAAATAAACGGTTCTTAACTGGAATCCTAGATAAATTACAGATCATATGGGAAATATGGTTGTTATAACACAAAAAGATCTTTCACAGTGGTACCAAAGAATTGAGAATTGAGATGAGCGGTGGCACTAGCAAAACTAAAAGGGTAAAACTGACACTTGTTAGGTGCATACAGTGAGATAAAGCTATAGAAATAAGAAATAATTACAGAAGTAATATTAAAGGTTGGCTAAATTGGCCCAGACAATTAGTGTGTAGAGGTATGGATGAGTAGAATGTGTGAAGAAAGATGAGAGGTTAGTTTATGAGAGACTAAGAAAAGAATGTGTCACTGCTGTGACAGAGAGATGAAGAAATGAGATACAGTAATTAAGCGATGATGTGAGGAAATGAAGGAGGGAGAAGCTAAGAAAGAATGGCAAACATGGAGAGACGTGCAGTAGATGACACGAAGCGTCGAACGTGAAGACGTCTTGTGGAATTCAAAATTTGAGATGTAGCTATATGAGTGAAGTTTTGGGGTTATGCGAATGTCGAGAATGGAATTGACGGTAATGAGAAAGTGGGTTGAAAGTGTGATGGAATGAATTAATGAGTCCTGAAATTCAAAATAGGGATGAATTGCATTCGAGTATTAAAGACGTGACTGAAACGCTAGATGGAAGGAAGCTTATGCGCATAAAACACTTAAAATACATTGGTTAAATTCAGATAAGCAGCAATTATCGATGCTAAATATAAAGAAAGCTAGTGTTGCTGAACTGTTTTCAAAATTTAACGTGACACTGAAAGAAGCTTGGTTAAATGAAGTCTTGGAATATCTTCAATTGGAAAGAGCAGATGCGGTATGATACCTCTAACCCACTTTTTTTAAAGTATCATTATGAGTCTAAAAAGAAAAAGTTTCTCTAGTCTGATTGCTTTGAGCGAAAGTAACATCTCAGCCTCCATTTCTGCTGCATCATCAGTAATCTGAATATCAGTAATAAACCAACTTTCTATTCCCAATTTCCCCTGTTAAAACTTCAGGCTTATTGAAGATAACTGTACTTTCTATTTTCAGAAAGTTGCTTTACAGTTCTGATTTTATCCGCTGCCTTATAACAGGTTTGGTTTTTACATATTTCGAAGTTCGCTTCTTTTATCTTCTCCCTACTTCACTGCAGGATATTCCCACAATAATTCAACTCGTATACGAACAGTGGCTTTTTTCGGAATTATCGAATAGTACACGCCCAAAAATACGTCTGCCACCATTCGAGAAGAAAACAGCTTTGGACAGTGATGTTGTTGTTCAAGTAAGATCTGTTAGGAAACGTTAACGCCATTCTAAGTTTATTTTTAAATTTCGAAATTTAAATGCGCGTGTTATGTAATTCAATATTTTTTGTGATGATGCGTAACGCTGCTCTATTTTTATCACAGCTAGATAATGCTGTTTCAGATAAACTGGCTGGTAGATATACACACCTCAATGTACTCGAAATTAAATCAATATGTTGGCTGTAACCTAGATAACATTTCCTTCCACTGGGAGCCAAATGAGGGAGCAGAGGTTATTTGAAAATTTCCTGCACAGATTTCAAAAGATAATTTTTTGACTGCTGAGGTTTTTTTCAATTTAGATCACCATTTCTGCTTTCATTCCTAGTGCGGATTTTTTTTATTTTGCCTTGTTTTGTTCTGTTTTTTTCAGTGTTAAAGGTTTTTCTTGATCATTGTAATTTAAATTCGAATTTGGGATGCGAATTTTATGCAAGAAAATCAAAAACTTGTTCTTTGTCATTTGCTTTTTGAGTTTTATGTCTAATTTACTACATTCATCCTAATTTTCACCAAAAAAAAAAAAAAAAAATCTTTTTTAGATATAATCTGGATATAGGACCTAAAACTTTTTTTAATAAAAATTAGGATCTTTATTAATAGTAAAAGAAAACATAATTTTATGTTACGGTTGCCATCTTTGTTAGTTACGAGTGAAATTATAGTTTGGCGCGAAAATCTGATATGGACTACTTAGATAATTCTAGATTTTAGCCCCTTTGCGATTTATATTTAACTTCATTTATAGCTCTGGCTGGCATATTTTGCCCTTCTTATTTAAAGGATTTGGATTCAGTAAATCGAATGTATCTGATGGAAGTAACCGACGGCCAAAGGAAATTGCGTGCTGTAGAATACCAAAAAGTTGATGAATTGTGTGGAAAATTGTCATGTGGGACAAAGGTTTGTTTGATTTACGTTGTCCAGGTTCTCTAATTGTTTATCCAATCAACCTAATACGTTTTATTAACCAAGTCTTATCAACGATATCGTCGCAATTGGTGATATGGTTTTGTCTTCTTTAATTAATACTTTTCACCGCTTCTCCACTGTATTTTGTCATCATTACTTTGTCTGATGTGGACAATTTCTTATAAGCATAAACTTTCATGTTTTATTCAGAAATGTTGTATAATTGGATATAATCTTGTTCTGAATTTACATGTTTTCAAGCTCCTAATTTACGGTGGCACGATTTGTCGTCGCAACGTGTTGTTGCTAACGCCAAATAATATGATGATATTGGGTGGTGAGAGCGAAACATGTCAGCAGAATGTTTCAGTTCTTGCTATTGCACGACGGTTAGGAATTGATGAAAAGAAGCTGAAATTGCTGGAATGGTAATCTTATTTATACTTCACAAATTTCGAAAAAAAAAAAAACATTATTACAAAATTTGAGGAAATAGCATTTAAAAAACGCTCTTTTGGGGATATTTAAATATTCCGTCTTCAAATATATCAATGTACTTCTTTTTATAAATAAAGTAGGTTTTTTCTATTATTCGTCGCTCACTAAAAGGATTTAGATTTATGAAAGTACTTTTCATTGGAAAATGTACCCTTCATCTTTGTGAATTTCTTCTTAAATCTTAGTTTAAGATTATACGATCTTTTTAAAGTTATTTAGTTTCGAAACTTTTTTAGCGCGAAAGATAAAGAATATGAAAATTCGATGAAGATAATGGACGGAATAGAAACGGAAAAAGTGGAAAAGGTGAATATTGCTGTTTGCCCATAAATTGGAAAACGAAATTTTTTTGAAATCAGTTCCTACCTGTAAATAGTTCATAATTCGTTTTTTACAAATTCTTCATCTTTTATAGATCCATACTACAATGTCATCAGTTCTCATAAGTGGGAATGTTGCAGTAAATTCAGATCAACAGCAAAGTGCAAACATGCGTAGAACAGGAAAGGGAGAAAACGCTAGAGCAAAAAAACAGTATATTATTTGTTTTCAAGTTTTGGAAGAATTTAAACCAAAAGTGCCTGACTTCAAATTTTCAGGAAGAGAACTGTTTTGTCACGCACGATAACATCCTATTTTCAACCTCAGCATAAGGTTACTACTTCCAAATTAAATCCAAAAGTTTCAACGAAATCTCAGACACCATTAATCGGTCAGGAGATTAAAGAGGAACTTAAACCAGGATACTTAGCACGAGGTCCACTTCAAAAACAGCGAGAAATGCAGCCTCCACCAGTATTATTTCCTGTTTCCGATTCGAAAAAGCAGTCGCAGCATTCTATCGAAATGATCACTTTTCCGCAAGAATCAAATGAAGCATTAGGAGAACAATTGGCTTCACCTGCAATAGCATTATCACAGGTTACCCGCACAGAGAAGATAATAAGTGACTCAGGAATGCAATCTGAATTAAAGGAAATAACTGGAAAATCAATAACCATGATGCATTACCAATCTCCAAATGTAGAAAACTTCAATACCTCTTCAGAATTCAGAATACAGCCGGAAAAGACTCCATTTTCAGTTAGTTTATGGACAAGAAATTCTAAAACTGAGTCATCGATGGTTGAAGCTAATAGTCTTCACGTCCGAAAAATAAATACTATTCATGGCAGTGTTATACTTAATGGAGGAAGTGAACGAAAAGATGGTGAAGCAAAACCAATGATTCCTACGTGGTCTACAGACTTACAACGAAATTCCGCAGATACGATTATGCATGAAGCTATTATTTCCTCATCAAATATTCAGGAACAGACAATTTGGGCTGCTAACAAATGGTATTTATTCCTTATTCATCAATCATATCTCAATTGTCTTCTTTTTGAATGACCTTTTCCACCTTTTTCATAGTTTTAAAGAATTTTATCAGATTTTTTTCAGATTCACTAAATGAAGACATACAGCAATTTAAAGCCTTCAATTTATTAATTGATTATTTTCACATCAGTTCTCAAATTACAGAAATGAATCTTTAAAAAAAAAATTACTATTTACAGAAAATGTTATGAAAATACATTTATTAATAGGAAACGTGCAACCAAGGAGAACAATAAACAGTTTTTGGTAAACGAATTTCATGTGCCTGCTTCAAAAGTAACTTTTTTAAAGAGCTAAAAGGACTTTATATTAACAAACGATAATATAGATATATGCAAACATTAGGTCCACTTTTATGCATGGGAAACTGACTAGGTAGAAATTGTTATTAAAAACTATTATTATTATTTACCTCATTATTTTCATTTAAACTGTGAAGGGTGCACACTGTAGACTCCAAGAAGATTAAATAAAAACTGAAATTTGATAGGTTGAATGTAAGAATGCTTACATTTACATTATTAGTTGACAATTTTAAGGTGCAAGTGCAAACAAAGCATAATGACAATGCTTTGCTGGTAAATTCAGTTTCAATTCATAGTGTGAGATACTCGCCGCAGAACTCTTCAAGAAAACAGGCATCTTGTAATTTACAAGAAAAGCAAACCGTCAAAGGCAAGTTTTTTAAGGTCATTACACGGAATGATAGGGAGTGTAGCAGCGACTCCGTGGCGCAACGGTAGCGCGTCTGACTCCAGATCAGAAGGTTGCGTGTTCAAATCACGTCGGGGTCATGCCAACACTCTGTCAAATTTTGACAAACTTGATAAATGGAACTTGTAAATTTATCTCACTTACTTCGTCTCTTTTATGTTACTGAATAACTGCTGACATATTTTCATAAATAAATATATTGTAAAATCATTTTGCTTCACCGTGATTTGAATGAATACTGAACTTTCTGGTTTATTGTTCGAAATTTGATTCATTTTCTTCTACTTCATTAATTAATATCTAGTTAATTCTATTTTAACATTCTGTTTGATTTCTGCATGATCGCAGTTATCGATTGTTTGAAATTAGGTTCTTTCTCGGAAAAATGTATTAATGGAAGTACATTTTTTTACACTACTATGAGATCCTTATTTTGTTATCATCCCTTACTGTTTGGCATGATTTGGAACTACTGAAAAAAAAAAAAAAAACTTCTATTCAGGGATGCATATACCATAATTAGTTTGGGAGAAAGGCACAGATTTTATCTTTGACAGAATGTAAAAACATAAAAAATCGAAAATTCTGGGTTCATTTCCTCTGCCTACTTTCCTTTTCTTACAAACATCTGAAAATTGGAGCAAATATGCAATCCGAAAGCGAATGATCTTCATGTTCTTGAATGAGAAGAGGAAAATATACAGAATTTTTTTAGTTTTTATCAATGAAGTAGCCTGGACGTATCTTCTGATTTCGTCTATTAGATATTCTGAGGCACTCATTTCACTGTTTATTAAGCTGGTTTACTCTTATATTTAATTTCAGCATCAAATGTTGCTTTCCAACCGGATGTGACACCATGTCGTTCCGGCTTACTATTTTCCGCGTCAGAGCAAAATCTTTGTAGGCCGCCAGTTACCGATATCCAGCAGAATCCTGTAAATATCCATTTTTTTATTAGCTATTTATTATGAAAAGGAAGTTAATGTATGGTTTTTTTTTTTTCTGAAGATTTCCAACTAGGCAATAGGAAATCGACCATGAATCGATCCTTTCTAGTTTTGCGAAAGCTCTCAGTGTATCTAGAGCTGATAGTCACGATCTTTACCTAATAATTTTTATTAACTAAACTAAATGATAAAAAAAGATCTTGATGTTATATTTTTCCTTAACTTATCCTTAATATTAACGTTTAGTTCGATTCGTCAAATTTTCAGATTCTATTTCACGCTTCTCAAAACTCATTCGTGAATACAGAACCGCAGCAAGTTGAAGGACATCCTATGTACTGTAATACTTCTCTTACAAATCGTCCGGCAACATTAATTTTGCCTGACACAACGCTCCAGATAGTACCACATGTAAATATCATACAACGATATCGTGCTTTGAACATTGTGTCGATAAGGGAAGCTTACCATCAACGAAGATTTTGTCTGGTCGCACATCGTAAACGAGTTCAGGTATTTTGCAGTATTTTGCTCAGTTAGATTCTTCGAAATGTGATACTTTCAACAGAATAAATTCTTATTTAATTTTAAAGCATTCCTAGTAGCATGCTTAGTTATTGATCCAATACTTCTAGCCAATTTTTTGCAAATTGCATGCTGGCTTGCAATTTATTGGACAAAGCTGGACAGCAGCGCTTCGGATTGCTGACGAAACTTGCAATGCACTCGATTGCTTAGTGGATAACAATGCAATCAATAATCTGATCGGTTTCACACCGCAGGATGCACAGGTTTGTTTATTCATGAATTTTTAATGTGAAAGTTTGTGGATACGTACTGGATGTATGCTAAGATTGGAAATCTAAATTTGCCTCAAAAAAAAAAATAATAAAAATAAAATAAAATACGAAACAATGAAGAACAGTCGGGTGCGAAACTGAAAGTGAACGTGAGTTAACCCTTTGGACATCAAATAAGTCTAACCAAATCGTTTACAGCACCGAAAGATTGTGAGAAAATCTTAATGAGAGGAATATTTTACAAAGATCGCGAAAATCTGTAGCTCTTCAAAAGTTCTATTGCAGTCTTTTAAATGAAAATGAAAGACAGCATTTTCGCTTTATAAAAGTTTCTTCCGGTTACCGAAAGATAGCGATTGGTCTTTGGCCGACGATCGATTAAACACCTCGTCATATTTCTATACTAACAAGCCATGAAGCAAATCAAATATTATACGAATATCTCTTGATTTCCCATTTGATCGTATAAATCTCTCGTCCCTTGCTGCAGATTTCCGTCAGGGAGACATATTTGAAAATTTTGGGAAGTTCTTCAAAGCTGAGATGGTTAAAGTGGTGGAGTGAAACATACCTTGGTATGGTGTGGCAACAAGTTCTTTAAACATTTTCTTCTATCATACATCGCTTGAGTCATGACATAAACAGTGTAATTAAAACTCACTGTAAAAGCTAATCGTTTTAAAAGGTTCAAAGTACGCAAATTTTTAGACTGCACTGAAATCTGAAATTTGAATTTGAAACATCTTTTGGGCTTAATAATTTGATTTTACTGGAGAAGAAAAGAAGCCAAAATCATTGCAAAGCTTAGGAAAAGGATTATCCCAATTTAAAGTGAATTGTTAAATGGGATGGTCAGGAACCTGATTTAGAAGCCGAAATTTATGGAAAATATAATATTGTCAAAAATTTTCCACAGATTAAAATTATCTGAATAACACTTTTTCCATTACCGGCTGGCCTTTGTTGTATGGTGCATAAGGCTTAAGGTATAACTTATCAGCAGCAAACTTATAAAGACAGGATGCTAAATAGCAAGGCCATATCACAAAAAAGGAATCCAATTAAAACAACTTAATGATTTTAATCTCATTTTCTATTCTAAACGCCGACATATTTCTATTACTTCCCGCAGATTTCTCTCGCAAAATTTAATTCTGATCTTAGCAAGCGGTAGCAAACAGTGATCGCGTTCGCGTAGCATACTACAAAGGGCGTGCTCAAGCGATGCTTGAAACATTCAAACGGTTGGATCTGGTGTTAACAATCGAATTCTCGTCATCGTCAGATATTCTGCCGCTCATCGTCCACATTACCAATCTTTCAACAGCACTTGGTTTATGCTAATTTATTTCCTCAAAGTATGTCATCCTGTCACACTTACTATTCGTTAGATTCTATATGATGTTGTTTGCTGCTTACATGTTTTGTCTTTATTCATTATCATTATAATTTTCCCCCACTTCATTTGGTGTTACTTAATCATTCAGTTCATTTATTTATTTTTCCTTTCTTTTTTTGTCATTTTATTTATTTATTTATTTTTTCAATACTTACTTGGTTCTGGAAACTTTTCTTACTTTATTTTTATTCCTTTACCTTCCAATCTGAAGTTTTTCCATGTGTTTTATCTACTATTTTTTTCCCCTGTTTTATCTGAAAATTGAAAGTGTTTTTGAACTTTTGTCAATAATTTGCGAAAGAAATAGTTTATTCTGTCCCAAAAATGTTTACTAGTTTATTATTCTGATTACAAAAATTTGTGATGCTAGCTTGGAGTGTTCAGGTACGAGTGCGAGGATTCGCGATATTATGTGATCGATGATTCTGACTAACTTTTACTTATTTCAAAGTTGCCCATTCATAGCGTTTCAGAGCTTTGATCAACAAATATGCTTATGCTTCATTTATTTCTCTGACCATGTTGTTTTGTTGAAAATTGAAATTGTTCATTCTGTATATATTTTTAAATGTTCTTTCGCCCTCAAAAATTATCAGTGCCTGTCCTGTGATTTCTATGCAAACACGAAAGTTGTTTTCCCCATATATTATTGTTATATTTAAGTTTTCTCTATTAAAAATTCTTAATTTTGATAATTGGTCTTTTATAACGAAGAGAGCATCATCACTGCTGATTGAGATTTGTGTGACTTAAATGAACAAACTGATTAATATCTCTGTCAGTCATTTTTACGATTATACGACTGAATGAATTAACTTCATACTATGCTTCAACATACATTTATCTTATCAAAAGAATGTTGCACTTGCCATTGTCGAAGAAACTGATATATTTCATATTTGTTATGTAAGCAAATTTTGAAATTGTTTCAGTATTCTTTAGCAGAAAATTATTTATTTTTTTGTTAAATTCGAAAAATATTTCGTGTTCTTTGGACGGAAACTTAACAACGATCAATAATATAAAGTTTAGTAGGTATATCTCTTCCTTAGCGTAACTTATGCTTTTCGGAACAACATGACAAACCATTTCATATTGACTGTTTTATCAAAAACAGCTGGGATCAATATTAACAGAGATTTGTTTCCGTAGGAAGAAAATCACTTTCGAATCATGATTAATTGTGCCTTATCTATGTATCTGATGGTCGTACAGATATTTGATCAGTGATATGTTTTATGGTGAAGTTAGCGGCTGGTGCTATAAGCTATTCATTTGCATTGATAAATTCTTTACAATTAACAATTCAAATGAGTTTACCAAATGAATCATTTTTCTTCTGTCTGAATAAGGATAAAAGATTTCTCGAGCAACATTTCTTTTTCTAATTTGCTGAAATCCTTTTCTGATAGTGAGAAATAGCACCTTACCTTTTTTTTTCTCCTTTTTTTTTCCTTTTTTCTTTTAATGAGAGGAAATAGAATCCAATGAGAAAATGGCACCTTCTCCAGGCAAACAAGAACAAAAAGTCATATTATGGAATGGCGGTAATGCTGATTTTTTTTGTAAATACAAGGTACTGACTCTTTAAGGTAATCTTTAAGGAGATCGTCCTATCATTTTCTTTGTATTTCATCTTTAGAATTAACAAAATTTTACAGCACGATTTTCTGTTGTTGATTGCACCAAAGATAAACTTTAACAGTAATCAACAAAAATATGTCTGGCATCTTCTAAAAATATTCAATTAGTTAATCTTTAATCATGTCTTTCAAAAGACTGCAGTACCTTTAAAATACCAATGCTTATTTATTGATTTCAAAAGTCGAGAGACATTATGTCCTTTTCACGCTGATTTTTCAAGAGAGCGTAAATGAATAATCTGATGATCCGAACTTATATTCGAGTAAAAAAGATAACTACATTCAGCATTTAATTTCATTTTCCGAAGAAGACTAACTCGTAGTTAGTCTCTGACTTATTTATTTTAATTTCCCAAAATGTGATGTTCCAAATTGCAATATTTAACATGCCTCTGCGAATTAAAATCTTCCGTTGTGCTTGCTGTTACTACCATTCTGTATATTGTAGCTATCCAAAATTCCAAAATATTTTAGCAAGAAATTAATAAATGTTTCAAATTGTCAAGCAAATAAAAACCTTTTGTTATCTCGTGTCAATCAGCTTCTTATGGCCTTCCAATTTGCACTAACAGTCTAAAATTTTCGATGACAAAACTAAATGACGGTGTGTTTACTTTCATCTTCGCACTTCTGAGCCATCGCCGTCAACAAGACCTTTCTAATCCGATCATCTATTTTCTAGTTACAGTACGACCTGAAATTCGTGTTAAAAAATTTTTTTTTCGTTAAAATTTGTTAAAATTTGCTTCAAAACTGTGTTATTAATGCTTGCTTTGTGTTGACAGTTTGAATGATATTATTATTGCTATCAGTTTGGACTTTGTATTTGCTAGAGTATTAAGGCGGTATTTTGAGTGGTTTCCGATCAAATCACATCATGATGAAAAGCACATGACATTTGAATTATCAGTTACTCTTTATTCTTGTTGGAGAGAAGTAGCATTTTCATCATTTGCAGAACCCAGAAAATGTTCATTCAACCTTCGAGATCTACTTGTTCGAGTTCTACCCATTGTTATCATTTATCAATACATGTACAGACTTCTCAATATGATTTTATAGTTATTCCGCTGTTATTTTATCCGAACCGCACCCCAATTTTTTCCAGTTTTTTCGAAAAAGGTTACGCCAGTCAGAGCTATTACCATTACATATCACTACTCAGACAATAGCTACCCGTTCTACAAATGCTAAATTTCTTATTTTCAATTTATTCTGATAAGTGCAAACTTCATTTTTCATATATTTCTGGTTAGCTTGCATTACTCAACAGGTAACAGTACCTATTGAAGATGTAAAGAAACTAGTTGTGCAGAAGCAGTACTTGTTTAAATTTGTGCTGTAAAATATGTTAGTATCGAGAATTCGCAGAAGACTTTTGCTTAAAACAAACATCGATAGAGTCACTAGAGTCGATTCTGTAATTGAGTAATGTAGTGATGGGATGAACGATGAAAATTGTAGGGGTGGTCAGGTGCCGCAGAATGAAGGTATACTAATGGTCATTTGTGTTACCTTCATGAATGGAAAGACATTTCAATTTCTAAAGAAATGGTGCGAATCGCTTCTAATACTTTCATATACACACTTTTATGCAATTTCATACCAGGTGAGACTGATAAATGAACCGTTCTTCAAAAATTTCTCATTTATTAAATTCAATAATTTACTGATCTTTGAGAATTTTCCAAACAAAGTATATCTCTAATGAGATAACTGACAAAAATAAGCCGAGATTAAGAGTAAGTGTGCGTTATAACAACACCTCGTAGTTAAGGTAGTGTGAAAGTTTCTTGCTTCACTTTGTTTTTATAATCTCATAACTTGGCCTCCATGAATATTTATTATCTTAGATTCATTAGAAACTTAAGACATTAGTTGCATATCTCTCCAAAGTATAGAAAAAAGTCTTGGGAATCATCAAGTCCATTTATAATGGAACAGTTGATTTCTATGAGAGGTCAAAGGTTTTCTCTTTTTATATTCAGAACGTCAACAAAAATAAAATTCTATGAAAATCAGAGGTATTCAATCATCTTCAGCAAATTTCTGTTTTCTTTCCTTTATTTTCATCATTTTGAAAATCGTATGCTATTAGAAGAGCAATTTATAGTTTGGAGCGCAGCACATTTCCAGCGAAGAATGAAATCGGCTGGTGTTGTTTTTGGAAAGGTACGTTAATTATTTATCTTAGATTCATATTTGTTTCTATCGACGATGAGACAAAATGCCATTTTGAATATTTTTGTTTTTTCGAATTCTCTTTTGAAGCTAGTCCAATCTTATAAAAATTTCTCTGTATAGATCGATATTTTCTAATACATATTCAAAATATCAAAACATGAGTTTTTGAAGCAAAAAACTTATTGTTTAACATATATGATATTGTAACAATTTTTTTTGAATGAACCTTCTTAATTAAATTTAAAAATTTATATTTTGAATATGTATTAGTTCTTTCTGCAGCAAGTGCCACTATCCCGTAATCCAAAGATACAACACGACAGTTCATCATTCAGATATCAGATTGATATTCTAATGGTGGCCGATTATTCAGTTTACACCAATTTTATGCACATTGTTCGAGGTGACGATTACTCGGCGCTTTCGGCTACAAACGACTACTTGTATGCAATTTTTGAACAGGTAGTTGTTTATAGATCGAGAAATAAGTGATGCTAGCAAAGCTGAAAATATTAATAACATTATTAATGGAAAGATTACTGATTTATAATGATGGTTGTTGATGACATTTGTAGTGAGAGTAACAACGATATTAAATTCTGATTATCCTGTCATGAGGAGAATGTTGATGATAATGATATGAGAATGATATTGAAGACGATGATAATAACATGACAATGATATTGAAGATTCTGAATAACCCAGGATCTTCAATAATGCAACAAATTGCTCTAACTTTGTCTTCTACGTTAAATACTTAATGTATTCTCAAAAAGCATGAATGACAGGTGCGCTCAATTTACGATGGTAATGGTTTGTCCGAGAATGTTCCGGTAACTTTGAATATGGCATCAACGATGACAATAATCCGTGAAGATGATTGTCCATTTGCGCCATTTCTAAAACAGACTGAATTGAATAATTTGGAAAATGCAACACAGTAAAATCATTTTTCCTTCTGTCTAAACTAACTGCAGAAAATTTCAACGAAAAAAGTCCACGAAATGTTAACAATAGAAGAAGCCGAAATACCAGTCAATAAGTTTCAAAATCTTTCACATAAGCTTTTACAGCATTATTCCTTTATCAGTGAATTTTAGGGGAGAGAAATACACTTAAAATAATATTTTGCTATTAGGATGAATGGAATAGATGCTGTGAATTATGTGCAAAAATGGGTGGCTGATTATTCACAATGGATTCCAGCGCATAATCATATCATTGTTTTGACAAGGTTTGTGCAATGTATCAATTACGGTTTTGGTGCGTTTGAAGTTAAAGTTGATTCGAATTCTAAGTGCTCGAATTTAAACAAATTAAATCGATGATATAAAAGATTTCTTTGATTTTAAATAAAATTTACTTTTCTTGGCAGGATCGATTTACTCTCTTCTAAAGGTGACTCTAGCACTCAAGGAATGGCATACGTTGGGGCGATGTGTCGAGTTACCGAATCAGCAAGTGTAGTAGAGGACATCGGCGGTATGGCTACAGCTGTAATCGCTGCTCATGAATTGGCTCATAGGTACTCACTCACATGCTTGCTTAGAAATTTTATTGCTTAAAGCCAACAATGTAATTTAATAAAGAAATTCTCAAAATTTAAACGTTTTTCTTTTTTTTTCAAAAATTCAAGAAACTTTCTTACAGCCTTGGCGCATTTCATGACGGTGCTGGTGGACCAGCTGAAAATTGCGGAAGAAACTATTTAATGTCTGCAACAGTATCAAGTTCGGACGATGAACAAAAATTCTTCAACACATTCAAATTCTCACCGTGCTCAATTCAACAGATTCAATTATTTTTTGCGTAGTTCTTTATTGAAATTTGAATAAATAAAAGTAGAAATAGCTCTGGAATGGTCAAAATATTTTTTTGGAAAAATAATTTACACTCTTTCAATTTTTGTTATATGAATTGTTGTAACATTTTTAGAACTGGATAATTGAAAAAGAAATTAAATTGCAGAAACGGAACAGCTGATTGCTTGCTGCGATCAAAGAGTCGTGAAAGGCGATTGCGACGTACTTCTCGACGAAAGCATCGCAAACCCGGCGAATTGTTAGTGCAACAGAATCAGTGCAAAATAGCATTTGGAGCCCATTATAGTGTCTGTTTGGTAAATTAATTTTTTGAATGAAAAGTGAGGGATATGCTGGTGAAAGGTGATATATTTAAATTAGTAAATATTAAAATTGAAAACTCAGGATTCTTTCCAACAAGGTTTTAATCATAATACATATTTGACTAAAGGTTAAGAAAAAGTCATCGGAGAAAAGGGAAAGCTTTTGTAAGGACTATGATAATATCACCACTATATTTGTTGAGATGCAGTCAGATCTTTCGCTCCCTAATAATTTTCCCGTGATTTCTGCATTATCGTCTACCATTGATTTGACTAAACTAAAGATTTATCTTTTACTTTCCCTCTAAGTTTAGCTTTATCACATGCACTTTATTACATTGTTACATGCGAAAGAATATATTTCAAATTTCATTTAAATTAAGAGGAAGGAATATTTATCGAAGGATCCATGTCGACGACTTTGGTGCAAAAATCGACAGCTACGCAAGACAGAACCATGTGAAACCAAATTGTATTTACCTTTATTAGACGGAACTAAATGTGGACATGATAAGGTTAAATAACTTTTATTAATTTTATCGTTGTCATTAAAAAACAAGTAATAAAAGTGTCTCACTAAAAACAAGTAATAAAATAATTTCAATTCAATTTTTCACCAAATCTTGGATAGAAATTATGTTATGAGAAAAATCAGTAGACAAAATGATTAATTTACCATAATTTCAAACATTTCAAATTAATTGGAAATTTCTAGACTAAAATTTGTGTATTAAAATAAACACAGCTGATAGAAAAACTGAATATAATGTAGCAAAAATCAGTACTGATTTTAAGTGCTTGTTTTTCAGTTCAATTTTTCACCAAATCCCAATTTTTTTTAGTGGTGTCTTGGCGGAAATTGTGTAGCAACCGACAAAGAAAGAGAAAGTGAGCTCATTTGTAACTATTGCCACATTGTCTTGAGAAATTTTTTGTGGTGTTTCAGTGTCATTTAAAACAAATACTCTCAAGCATCCAAAAATATACCTGTGACCAACTCAAGTTTTCCAAATAATTACATAATGTTTTCTGTATTCTGTAATGTAACCACAAATGTATTCTACTTAAAACAATTTTCAGACTGCGATGATTTGAATTCATCAATGTGCCTTGAATTATCTGATGAAAAGCTCCACAAATACTGCCATTCGGAACAGTTCCGTTCGTTATGTTGTGTTACCTGTTCTCAACTTGTCTATCGCAAAATCTTCACTACTTCATCCCATAACTCGTAATTATTATGCATCTAAAAAATCTTTTGTTCCACAGTATCGTCAAACAATTAAACTTCTTGTTCAGCAGAAAATTTAAAAGCAATTCTAAGATTTTCCAATTACAAAAACGAATCTCCAACGGTTATGGTATTTCCCTGACTTCTTTAAAGAAATATTACAGTACCACACCTCCCGCACTGTCCATGTGACAGATATGCTATAAACTATGACAAACTGAACTTTGAGTTATGTTCTCCAATCTTATAACAATTCTTTTCTTTATTTCTATTATTCTTACTACTGCTGGAAATGTTTCGACTATTTTTTTGATGTCAATAAAACCATGAATTCTTGTCAATAAAATAAGCAAACCATGAAACATCGATAGTCTGGCTAGTCAATGCCACCTACTTTGGCATAATTTTTGTCGGAAGTTACTGCAAACAGAATAACTTGTGCAACATTAAAACATATACGTACATGTTTTTCATTGGTTTCAAAAAGACGACTTATGGAAAATGCTGCCGCTAACAATCAGTCACAAGAACTTTTATGCTACAGAAACATTCGCTTGAAAAATTCTTAAATTTAAAATTTTACAGAACATTTGACAGTTCAATAAAAAAAGGCATCAATTTTAAGTGAAAGTAGCATCAGAATGAAGTGAGAATTACATTATTTACTGCACAATAGCAAACAAATGATATTACATTTACATGCCAAATGCTATAAAAAAGGTAATTAGAAAAAGCCGAAAAGTACAAGGGAGTAAAGAGCGAAAAAAGGATACGAATACCTGAGAGCAGTAGGCACAGTTTCGACCAATTATGTCGACTAATTCGGATAGAGTTTGAGACTGACTTCATGTTTCAACATTTTACAATGAATGTCTTACAAAGAATAAACTCTTATACCAAGAGACCAGTAAAACAATTTACAGAAGAAAAAAGTGAGACCAATAAGTGTATGCAATTTCCAATAGATTCTTTTATCCTATAAGAATAAGCAATTTCTAATAAACTCTTTTATTTCTGCATGTTAACAGAAAAAATGTTATGTAGCCATTAAACCGTAAGGAATGTCGAAACAAAGATATCAATACTGAACATCAAAACCAGGAGCAGATAACTGTTCTAGAATCATGTTAAAAAAATATATTGAGGTAATCAGCCCATGAAAATTTGCGGTTTCAATAAATTCTGATGTAAAACAAAAATGAAAGCAGGTAGGAATAGGATAGAACTTGAATAAGTATGCATACCTCAATATAGGATAGAACTTGAATAAGTATGCGTACCTCGAATAACAAACAAGCACTTTCTTAAGATATTCAAACGTTACAACAGGACTAAACACCAACTAAAAAAAATATAAAAGATTTTCAAAATTGTTTACCAAAAATAATTTTGGATTTCACATGTTTTTTGCAGTTAATGTTATAGGATAAAATCCATAATGCAATTCACAACAAACAGTTATTTACAGCGCCTGTATTCCGAGAGATCTGAGGCAACCCATTTGGCCATGAAAGTTAAGTAAGTTAAAAAAAAAAAAGTACTTGTGAAAAATAAAAATTAAGCGAAAAATCATGCAAAAAAGATTGGTTACCAGTATTATACATCACTGCATTCAAAATAAAAAAATGCACAGAAATAAACTTAATAAGTTCGTGGTGTTTTGCTGAAATACTGATCGAGCGTTAGTTGTGTCCCACTCTTTTTTCTTGGTTTTGGTGTTGACTGACGAATATCAGTTGAAGAATTTTGAGACTGCAAATGCCTTGAGTTTTGTAAATCAGTGCGAGATTTCGCTGCCATTTTTGGTGTTGACTGCCGATGAACACGATCACGTGATTTATGTAAACTTTGTTTAACGCGAATTTTACGAGGAGATGTACGGTCGAAACGTTCTTTCAGCGAAATCATATATGAACAGTTAGATGGCCTATAAAACAGAGGACATTAAAAGTGCAAGAAAAAAAAAAAAAAAAAAAAAAAACGTAAAGCAAATGAATAACAGAACATATTTCAATATCCTAGTTCAGCGCATTACAAGTTGTTCAGAAAATTTGTAAAATATTAACAAATTAAAAACAGTCTTACCGATCGGAATTGGATGAATATTCATCCAGTTCTGGACTTCTTCCTTTATTTAATATATTCGCTTGTAACTCTGGATTCATGTTCGACATTGCAAGTTTTTCTTTGACAAAATCTGGCAAATTCATTGTTGGATACCTTAAATGACCCACAATTTGCTCCCGCTCTCAAACACACTAACAAAAGAGTAGTTAAAAGAAAATCAACAGATCAAATCAACATTAAAAGCATACTTAAAGTAGAAAGCACATGGAACTCGATTTTTCATTTCGATTCCAGAAAAATCAAGTTTTCGTGCAGCATGGCTTGATTTGTTAGTTAGATCACATAGTGGTGGAGACATCGATTCAGTGGCTCTTAAAAGAAAATTATTGGAAAAAGCTAGAAGAAAACGTTATGCTTCGAAATTTTTTGGAAGAGTCACAAAATGCGGAATAAACTGAAAGGAACCATACTTGAACATTTTTTTCACAGGTGATCCACTTCCACTTTTCGTTTCCATACCAACCCGGTTTAGCGGACTTTTAAATGGACTCTTGAAGGGACTACGTTCTGTGTTTTTCTTTTGAACTGAAACTGACACATTCAACTGTTTCCTGCAAAATATGCAGATATATACAAATAAATGGTTATATAAATAAATGACATAAAACTGCGTTCGATATATCATAAATTGCATCCGTACGTTATGAGTGATGACAAAGTGATAAGTATAAAGCATACATTGACATTTCAGCCATAGCTGTTTCAGGTAATTCATATAATTCGACACGGTCCTGTATTGTAATTGAACATAAGTCTTGATTTCCAGGGCTTTTCGTAATCCATTTCCAAATTTTCAAATACGAATCATCCATCGTAGCAATATATTGTCCACAGTTGCTGAATCTTGCAACAGTAACCTGAGTGAGAACAACCTATTTCTTTGATGAAAATTTTTATATTAACAGCACTGAAGTTACAGAAGCTACCAATGAAGTAGGATTTAAAATAATAATGAGCGGAAATGCATCAAGTTACAGAGCAAAAATTTCACGAGTGCCGGTGTCATCATCATTAAAAGAAAAATTTAATACATATTATACTGGAATGCATGTGTTTAGTTTAAAATAAAAGATAGAAATAACAAACCTCATAGCGATGACCACCTAAAGTATATTTCGGATAAGGCAAATGCTTCAATTTGCCTTTGTTAGAATTGGAATATTTTTCCTGCAATAATTAACTGACAAAATAAAAGCATTTCAGAATCAAGAACACATCCAATTAATAAATGAAAAAATCTTTCAATGCTTAAGAGCATTGAAAACTAACATATTCTAAATGCGGAAGTTTTAAAATACTAACTAATTAATAACCTGTAAATCCCAAATAACAGCGAAGCAATCACCACCTCCAAACATTACATGATCAGAAGTTGGAGATGCAGCAATTCTAAAATCATACGTATTGAAAGACGTTCGCTTCACTCCTTGTAAAATTCCAACTGAAATTTTCAAAAACTTTAATCCTTCATATAAATGGGGAACGAAACCAAACATATGATGATACTCTAAACAATATTAAAATGAAAGAAGTACCTGGTGTGTCATTCAATCCCTGTATGCTGTACTGATAAATTTTCAAGTCTGTGGATGCAACAAAAAGTGATGAGCTAAAGCGATCAAGGCATATCGAAGCAATACCTCAATAAAAAAGTGCGATTATTTCTTAAAAGTTTATTTAAACTAGACAAAAAATAATCGAAATTGTTAGAAAAAATATTCAGATTTGTTGTGAGATCATGACATAAAACTTAAATTGCTTCTTTCAATTCTTCTTTTTTGAAAAATAAATGATAATATAATTTGTGTCTTGTAAATTATAACATCATGTTTTTGTCCTACTGGAACAAAATTACACAAAGTAATTCCAGTTAATTGCTTAAAATAAATGCGAGTTCTAGAATATCAACACACCAAAATCACGAGTTGAAGAACTATTTGGATCTTCAAGGATACGAAATGGACTATTTTTGCCACGATAACGGAGATCCCAAAAGCGAATACCTCTGCAGTGAATTTAGCATCAGAAGAATCATGTAGCACCAGTATGAGAAATAAAAGAACCATTAGATGAAAAGCATAATACAAACGCGTATTAGCCGCAAAAACAAAACACTACGTTTTGAAAGATGAAGATGCAGATATTAGGGTATTTCCACCATAATGTACTAAAGAAGTGATTCCTTTTGAACTCATCGAAACTGACATACGCGATCTTCGTTTTGTCCCAATACTTTGACCTGAAAAAGCACGAATCAGAATCGCAAAATGCTACCAGGACTTACGAACTGGATTGACAAAGCTGACAAAGACAAGACCGAGATATATTAAGGAAGCAAATAAGACCGGTGACTCCTGCGTTTTGATTCGTTCTGTACGTTAAAGGATGTCTAGATCTCAAAAATCTATAATGCCAAATTATCTAACCAAATTTGTCCTACATTTGTCAAATGATGGCACACTAGTACGAAAATAAACTAAAAAGAGGGAAGAATACCACGATCTCTCTTCATTTCTAACAGCTCATATTTGCTCTGACATATCTCTTTTTAGTTTCTTAGAAAAAAAAAGGAAAGTCAAGAAAGGAAAATCAAAAAAGTCAAATACTCCATCTTTTTACCAAACGCTTTTAGGTATTATCAGTCATACTTCGAAAATTAAACTTGCTGGAGTACTGTTGCATATACATGTAAATATTAACGTACGTTTAGAAGCTAGTAAAGGATGTGTGTTTTCGAGAAGACTGAAAGGACGTACAACAGAAGCTTGTGGTTCTCGCTGATCCCAAATGCAAATTGTTCCATCTCGAGCTCCTGTTGCAAAAAGATCTGAAATCTGCAGTTGTTTTTTTGAATGAAAAAGTCATAAAACACCAAAAGCTCTAATCTGCAATGAAAAGTTGATGAAAAGAGGATTACGAAACTAACCAGGATTATCGTCTGATACAGAAAGAGCGCGGACGGAACCTTCATGACCTAAAAATTGCTGCAACGCAAGTTGTCGCTCAATATCCCATGATGTTACCTTTGCATGACCAGATATTGAAATTAAATTGTTCGGCCGATTTGCAACAAATGACACATCGATTACACAACTTCGATCAGCAGAAATTGCTAAAAATAGTTGGAAATGCTACATGAATGAGCTGCTCAAATCTCCTTACCATAAGTTTAAGCTTTTACTTGGTTTTCTTCTCTCCAAAAAAGTAATTTCGCGCAGCAAATATTAATTCCGAACAATAATTTTGAACAAAGTAATAAAGTAAAAATTGAGATAAAATGGAGAAACAAAGAGACAAGAAATAAATCAAGAAAAAAAACGCTATTTGGTTGGAGATGCATCAAAGTAAGTGGACTTACATAAGTGGACTTACAATTTGTTATAACATCTTCTCGAGCATCCAAGAAGTGAATAAAGCCATTTTCATCACCGATAGCCAGCAAATGTTCTACAGACGGATCCTTGGCAAACTGACAAACCACCCATGCGTTCTGAAATTAGCGACAGTTGTTCCAATACAGAATGATTGGTAGTTTGGACTCATTTTCATGCTTTTCATTTCAGGCTTTGGAATTCTATGTGAAGTTAGATTCCACAAAGTGAAAGGTTTTCCTAGCATTGAAAGCGTATATGCATGAATATATTGATACGATTTCCATGTTAAATTTTAACAGAAAAGCCAGCGTATTTAGAAATTGGTATTTAGAAACTGGCTCTTTAACTCCTTGAATTTGTCAGTTCTCTTGCATCATTAAAAGTTCATCAGTCCTTGTTTGAAAGACATGAAATTCGAGTTCTTCCTGCGACAAATTCTTCCTTCTAAAGTAATCGATCGAGTAGAGGGTTAGAAACAGTATGAGCTGGAAAGGAAATAGAGGAAAAAAATTACCGAGGAAACGAAGCATTTAGTAGAAGAATAATTTAGAAAGTACGAATCCGGTACCACTCTCGACACCCTTTGACCCCAGTACATGCAGCGAATACCCATCGATCCTTGACATTCGGTATACCTTCACCACCCACCTGATTAGTTCTAGTAGTTTCAAATCCCGTTCTAATTTCCAAATCCTGAAAGTCATTGGCTACGATGCAAACCAATATCTCACCCAAAAGACTTGGCTTGTATGATTTCGACGAGATGTAGTATGTACTATATAGGTTGGGCAGGGTACTTTCCCGTGGTAGCTCTGTTACTCACTACACCATTGTTTCCCAACGGATCAAAATATTTGAAGGAGAGAAAGGGATGTCCAAGCAAAACTTTGTAACAGCGTAGAATATAAATTTCCTTTAGACCCAACAAATATGAAGTTAAATCTTAACTCAGAAAAATTTTAATTGTTAAGTTAGACGACTTCTCTTATTAAAGTTTTCTCTTCTTGATAAAAAGAAGAGAAAGAGAGCAACCTCGCACATTACTACTTACTGTTCTCATTTTCACCTACTCTGTTCCTACAACTTTGCATTGTTTGAATGCGCAAAAAATATACAAATTAGAAAAAAACTGTGCTAATATCTTAAAAGAAAAAACAAGAAAACAGAATGCAATAATGTATTCAATAGAATAATTCTGTTTATTGAGTAAAAAGTGATTCGTCTTTTCAAATTACAAATCATTAATAATACACTTTTGACTTTCGTTTCAACTTTCCATTTTGATTAGCTTATTAGTGAAATGCTATTATCATCTATTAGTAGTCCTCTCTAAGTTTAATTACTACTTCTTACAAAGAATTCAGACTAGTCTTACAACAGATTGTGTTACTTTTTTCCTATGAGATATTTTTTCTCACCAAACCATCCATAACAAATTTCATTCAACTATTTAACAAAAATGGATTTAAACTATCACCGCTGACTTGACTCTTATTATTTATACACGCATGTACGTCACGTGTCACGTTTATGTTATTTTAAAGCTTCATGGGATTATCAACAAACATGAGTACATGCAAGTATGCATAATTACTTATCACTCCTATTCTATCGTACGCACCTGGCTCCCCAATATATCTTAAATATAAGAAATATTCTCTATCCTGTTACTTTTTGTTGATCCCATTAATTTGAAAATTTCATCAGAATATTTCAATGCTTTTTTAAGGACAAACACATTTTGATAGGTGTTTCTAATGTAGACAGTCTATTCTTGCTACTATCAAACCATAATCTTAATTTGTTTTAATATCGTGAAAAAAAAAAAAAACTAGGTAATAAACCTTATGAGAATTATTTATCTCATGCATTTCGAAATCACTGTTTCATACTTTTTCTTTAATGCATTAATTTTGCAGTTATTTTTTATCCAAAATTTGTCTATATATTACTAATCTATTACCATTCAATATGAAGAATTCGATATGCCCACTGTATCATGGTCTTCCAAATCAGAATTACGTTATTTTTGCTTTTCTTAAATTGGCTAATTTATTACTAGCTGACGAGATTAACGAGTATCTGGTCTATCCATATAATTCCTAATTTAATTTCTTATTTATGTTATAGCTTCTACTACTATCTAATTGTCATCAAATAAATTCCTAGTGAATTTCACTTCGTTTTTCCTCAACCAAAATTAATTTCGGTGCAACATTTTCAATTTGAGAAGTAACAGTCAAATTTGAATATAATTGATCAATTGAATTGAATAGGTAAGTACTTATTCCATTACATAGTTTTAAAATATTTTTTTTTTTCGTTCGATCAATGAAGTCATAATTTGACACATATTTGTGTTGACATTTTCCAACTTTTGTGATTGTCTAATCTCACCCTGCCACTCTCAATGACTTCAAAATTGGTGTGTATTCTTTTTCTCAATATGCATACACTTCACTCAACAGACATCCTCAAATTTCTCAAAATTATGTTTTGTTGTATCAAATTGGTCGCTCTCTCTTATTTGCTGTTTGCTGCAAATATGTATCTTTTGACACTTTGTGCATAACTCAGTCCTTTGTACCTTTCATTATCTTCGAACTATTTATTAAATTTTAGTAGATGAAATTATGAATGTCCTAAATGTAGTAAATAAATTTTAACACAATTAATGTGCATTTTTGCTATTATTTTTTTTAATCTTTTTAAATCTTTTTTGAGCCTTAAAAAAATTTGTTAAATCTTTTTTAAAACGTTCAAAACCACTTTTTAAAAAAAAATGGTTAAAAATATAGGTTGAAAACCTTTAACCAAAAAAACGTTTGAAACTAATTTTTTAAAGGTTTTGACAAAAAGTCATAATAAATCACATTAAAAAAAAATAATTACTGATTTGACTTAACCTTCTAATTTGATACTGAAGTTGAGGTGATTATCGTATACAATTATTACATAAGAGATTTGCTTTATTATTTCCTCGACATTTCTTTTAGAATTTTTTCAAATTATTATATATATATATATAACAAATTTTTGGAAAAAAGCATTTATTTTCTAAATATTTTATTTTTTGTAAGTGAAGGAAAATTAAAATTTCGTTTTTCTTAATGCTAAGAGCAGTCGAATACTCATTTTCTATATTGTCATTAAAACATTACTGACGAAAAACAATGTCGTTTTTCCATAAATTCGGAAAAACGTTTGATGAAACGAGCTTAGGTAGTGTTAATTGTTCAGTAAAACTAAGTTTATTTATCGTTTCAAAATTGATTTTTGTTTTGCTTAAAATGAATGCCTCGAACTAATTGCCAACATATAAATCATAAAACATTTTGTTTTATTCGTGGAAATTCTTTTTAGTCCAATGATAGCGAAGGTATTCATAAACTTTTACGCCCATATATTCTTTTTATTTCGAGAAAAATAATGTATCAGTATTGCTTGTAAACGTTTAATATATTATTCTTTTTCAAACTATTTCATTATGTCATAGAAACATTTTTATTTACTGTAAAAGTTTCAGTCACAGATATGTCCAGTTTTCCGGTGTTGAATCCGACACATGTGTTAATTATTTATGGTGGACTTTGTGGTTTGTTATACATTGAAACAGATGGTTTCCATCGTGAAGTTCCGTACGTGAATATTATGCCAACGCTTGCTTTGACTGTACTTGCGTTAACATTACGTATGAAAAGGGAAATCAAACTATTCACTTCTTTAACATTTCTTGTTTTTGGTATGTATAACCTGTTCACTAAAGTTAGTCGTAAATCAAATTTATGTATTAAAAAACTGAATCTTGAATTGAATTGAATTGAATTAAAACATTAATAGACTGCAAATTAAAAAAAAGAAACTTTTGCATCGTTACTCAAAAGATAAACTAAAGTACTGGGAATAGATGAAAGTTCAAGACTTAGAAGTAAAGTCATCTCATTTCACATCATCGAGTGATCTCTCATCGTGTAACTTACACTTCAATTGCCACAACTTCAAACCTATCGAAATTATATTAAAGCTCTCTTCTTAGCTCTTGGTATATATTTAAATTCATCGCAATGGCATAATAAATTACAAATCGTTTGTGGATTATTTACAATCGCACATATTTTATACATATCATCCTTCACTTTGTCTATTCGGCGGTTATGGCTTGGATGTGCGGTAGTGGTAACAACATACGTCGTCGCTTTTCTCTATGTCTGTTTTGTTGATTTATTCTGGTCCGTACCGATTCTAATCCTCAATCTCTCACTTCATTTTATTATACTTGGAATTTCTTTGATTGCGGCCGGATCCATTTGGCATTACGGATCTGAACGAGAAGATGTACGAGAGGTTTGTGATTTTAAATCTTTTGGTTTTTTCTTTTTTTTTTGAAATGAAATTCGTAATGTGAGATTTGTTCATTATTATACAGCAGTTTTACTCACTTTCTTATTTTTTCCATAAGTTTCTCGACATTTCATTCGCAGAATTAATCACAAAAATTTGGGCTCGCATATGTTAAAATGTTAAAATCTTTTGTGTACCGATTCTAATCCTCATTCTCCCAGTTCATTTTATTATACTTATTTTACTAAATGAAAAAGCTTTGAACCATTTGCTTTTCCCGTTAGCAAAGAAGGAAATCTGATTTTCCTCACCGATCTATTTCAGGCTGCACTGTTAAGATTTCTGGGTCTGTTATCGCTTATGGCTTTTGCCAGTCTGTTATTACTTGATCGATTTGGGAGTCGAATTAACGGATTCAATTATATAAGCACCGTATTATTTTATATCGGTCAACCGCTTTTATTTGTTGCGAACCAGCGAACCTTCTAAATACACTTGTGATATCATAGCATATAGCAATGTTACACACACACTATTAATAGAGATTATCCATTCACAAATATTCCAATAAATCGCAATACTGTTTCATTTTATGTAATTAAGTTAAATTCATTTCTAAACCCAAAAATGCAGAGTATAATTATTCTGCACTTCATATCACTGCAAAAATCTTCGCAGTGATAAGTGATTCCTCAATGAGTGGCACAAGTTCTAGGCACTTCTAAACATCCTATCAAATTTTGTTGTAACGAAGTGCACTGCAGAAATATCCATCCTATTTCGGATTCTTAGTGAAATAATCTTGAATGTAACGACAGGCGCACTGCTGAGAAGTTATTATTGATTTCTAAATCTCGAAAAATGCTTCTGGAGTTCTCAAACTGATGAGAATTTTGATGCTTAATAAACGGATAGGTCAATGTCAAAATTATGTCTGCATTTTGACAATGTAACATTTTATTTTTGATATTTCCAGAATTTAAATTCAACTTTAACAGCATGCAAATTTCTGTCATCACCTATATAAAACATATAGGAACAATATCTTCTGTTATTTTTCTAAATGATATCAGCTGAAACGGTGAACTGGTTTTTCCTTATGGCTGGACAAATTTTACAGAGCCAAATGAAAAAGTCACAAAATCAGTCACAACAGTACAATCTGGCGAAAGAAGGGAGTGTTATAAATATCAAAGCCATATCATCAGGTAAAGGCAAGATGGAAACAGGCAGATCACTTACGCATTTACCACTTGCGCCTTCGATTTTCCAAGCAACATCCGTATTACCATCTGCAACCGTGCCAAACAGTGCCCCTTCCTTTCGGGAGGTAATTTTATATCACATATGACATTTAAGGCATCACTAGACATATATTTACCTATGAGAATCTCTCATGGAACTCTTATAGGAATATGTTAACTTAGACTTTAGGATAAAATTACTAAACTGTTGTGTGGGCGGTATTTCAGAATACTTTTCTCAGTACAGCAAAATTGGCGACACGAAGCAAAAGGAAACAGAAAGGTGGTGGGAATGGACTAATGATAATTGCTATTATGCATGTAATTATTCCTTATATTGATATTACGAATATGGCGCAATTGTCGATCTTGAACATTTTGTACTTTCCTTTCAGCTGAACTTGTTTCCTCTTATTCTTAGTTCTAAAATCCAAGAAATCCTATAATTTAAAGAATAAAATGGATCGATTATTTACGTAACATTGCAGCTTCTTCTTGCATGTGGTCTGATAGACTTAGGCATGTTTCTTGCTATTCGATTTAATCACTATGGCCATATATGGCCTGATAGCTATGCAAAGTTATCAGTTTCCGAATATCGACTTTACCGTAACCAGGTAAATATTTCTTTCCTTTCTGAATATCACAAAAAGAGGTATTCTAAAACTCGGAAGAAGGAAATATTCACCAGTATTTGATGAGGAAAGAAGAAAATTAAATAGAAAGACAATATGAGTTATTTTACTTTGAAATTAATCAATTATTTCAGATACTTTCTATTCGTGTCCTTTACTCGCCTGTAACAATAGCTATTGGCTTGATGATATTTTTCCCAAAAAGCATTTATTTATTAATTATTTTCATTTCCAAAGTATCATTTTGTAGAGCAGCGATAGTTGATGGGAGTATTTCCTTTCTTGCACTTACTTATGCGTGCATTACAGGTTGTCCTTTTTTTTTAAAAAAAAAAGGGGATTTAAAAATGAATTTAACATGTTAGAAGGGTGAATTTTGTGGGTGGTTAGAATAGTAGGAAATCATTGCAAAAAAGTTGGTCAGATGATTCAGAGCTCTTGATGGACTGAACTCCATGAATGACCTCTGACCAGTTGCGATTACATTACAGGCACACATGCATATGTTGTATTGCACAATATTTCAATGATTGATATCGAAGAAAGCAGTGATATTCTTTGTTATGCTATCAGGTACTGGTCTTGTTCCTTTGAAGTCAAATAAGTATTATCGACTGAATTAGTAAGTTTCGAAGTTGCAAACAGAAACAGTAATGCATAATTAAAAGTCAATAGAAACAACTTGGATTAGTTCCATTTTCAGAGGTCCACGTGAAAAAGCACCTCAAGAATTACGTGATCGATGCTTACTGGCTGCATATAAAATGTTTGGTAATCACTTATCGTTGCAATCCATAATTGCTATACTTGTAATCATCGTATGCATTATCGATTTCATTTATCTTTTTTGTGAAACGGATTCAAATGCAATGCAAGTGCAGAAGAAAATTCAACTCCAATCAAAAGCTCATAAAAAATGCTTTTAATTATATCCAAATTGATGTTCAATTGAAGTTTTCCAAAGAAATATTATTATTACTAATACTATAAACTCAAAGTTTGGAAAACCAAATTTTATATAATTAAAAAAGAAGGCAAGAGAAATGAAATGCAGAAGATTGTTCCTTTCAGTATGAATCGATGTAGCATGAAATATCGTTTCTCTTATTTCACTTCAATAAAAACCTTTATATTAATTTCAAACGAACCTATCATCCATAACTCCACATGTGAGTGAGATGCTGGATTGCAAAGCGTCTCTTCTGTCCCAGAAGACTAGTGGACAGGATGCGAGCATATTGGCATGGTTGAGTATATCAGTAGTTGTGGGACGTTTGTGCACTTGTCGGTGATACCGTTGTTGACATTTGTCGTGTTATACGCGTGGTACGTCAAGCGACACTCATGCGTGAACCACAACATGGCGAAAGGGAAGCGTCCGTCAACGTCAATACGAATGTGCTATGTGTTTGGGTCTGGTATGATTTTGCTGCAAATTGCTTACATATTATATTTTTTAGCAAATAAATATGATGCATTTTCTCCACTTGAATATTTTAATGGAAATATTTGGTCTGCCAGGTATTTAGAATTAGGCTAACTTATGTTTGAAATATTTGTGCCTGTTCGTTTTTCTAGCAAAATTTCTAACATAACTTGGCTTATTTTCAGTCTAAGAGTTCTGAAGTTAGTACATATTGTCTGTTTTTCAGGCGGCCACACTGCTGAATTATTAACTCTTATATCCGCCTTTAGACAACAGTTCGGTCATCGTATATATATTGTTTCCGATACTGACAAACTAAGCGGACGAAAGGTGAAGTATGGAGAATGCATCTACGAATTTAGACTTTCAGCATGTGTTGGGAAAAAGTCATTTGCTGAGAAGTTTTGTGAGCTTTTATGAAACTCAAAGAAAGAACGACGCTTGAGTTTATCAGCAATATTTAAGATAATCGAATTTGAAAAATCGCAAAGCCTGGGAAACTTCCGAGTAGAACGAATAAGCAGAAGTCGGGAAGTAAAACAAAACTACATTACTTCAATATGGACAACAATTTGGGCCTGCATTGAAAGCTTATTTTTGATATGGCGAATAAGGTGATCAGTTTACTGTTCACATAGAAGGTAATATTTTTAAAATTATGGAAGAGGCGGAATTGTTGGAACTTGGGAAAATTATGAAGTTAACATTTCAGATTTTAAGATTTAAAGTCCGAGTTGGATTTTCTTATTAAGCCTCGAAGTTGGAGGAATTATTATGCTCGCTACCTCAACAATACTAAGATTCTTTTTGTTTTTGGTAAAGGGGTCCTGATGTTTGGAGTCGAAGTTATTCTCTAACGTGTGCAAAGTATTAAAGTTTCATTGAAGTTTCACATTAAAATTTAAAGTTTTTTTTTCAGGCCTGATGCAATAATCTGCAACGGACCAGGTGTTTGCTTACCAATTTGTTTTGCTGCGGCACTGTTCGATTTGTTACGACTTCATAATGTGCAATTATTTTATATTGAAAGTTTATGCCGGGTAAAAAAGCTGTCAGTAACCGGACAAATTTTATATAAATTACGCATTCCTGACATTTTTTTTGTGCATTGGGAAGATCTTGTTCATCGCTACCCACGTGTTTTTCTGATACCATGCACTGGTCGGGTCCAAAATATTCGTTATGTAAGTGATTCCAGTGGAGGCTATGGTTGTGGGATGATAAAATCATGTCTTAGAAGCTAATTGACATTATGGTTCCTGAAGTTTTAAGGATGTTGATAGAGAAATATGAACTCTACATTGACTATTTTTTATGTCTGTAGAATAAATTTTTCCTAGCACAAGTTCTCTTTACTTTGCTGAGTAAGAGCAAGGTGAAATTTTTACGAATTTTAATGAGTCCGAAGACATTTTTTAGCTAGCAAAGCTTTTTCCAGTGAATTCCATTTTGTCACTTTTTTGACATCTTCATTTCTTTTCATCATAATAATTATTCGATGAGCTGACACACAGTGATTACTCATAACAAAAGAAGTTTACATTCGTCAACTGCTGATGTTTATAGTTGCAATTATAAATGGTTGTTTTTTATATATAATTATATATAGTGAAGACGACCTGATCTGCCATTTTTTTTTTCTGCTCCTATGTTAGCAATAACAGAGACTCTTTAAGCTGAAACGTTATTTCTACAACTTTCTGTATAAAAGTGCAGTTCATTCTTGAGAATTCAACCATTTCTTTTTACTGCCACGTAGTGAAATAATGTTTTTTTCGGCTTTTTTGTAATTACGCTTCATCTGCATTCTTTACTACTTTATCAAACAGTACCCTGGAAGAGAAATAATCGCTTTTTATCATAAATTGAGGAAAGCAGCCCTTTAGTAAGTAAACTGAGAATTTGGAAAATTAATTTATGAATACGATTATTCATACGGTCAGTTCACGGTATTCAGTCATCCTTCGGATAGTGATAAAAACTTTTATGTTTTTGGTACGCTTCTGGTTTACAGTGCCTAAGATGTTTAGATGAGTTTTCCAGATAGGGATGATGAATATTTAAGGATACTCACTCATCACTTAGTTGATTAAAAAAACCGGCCGTGTTCTATTGGAGAGTAATTCAAAACTGATGAATACTAGAGTTACGTGCTTATGATAGAGGTCAGAAAAAATAACCCTGCTATAGAGCGGCAAAATAGAGGAAAGAGTGAGAGATGTACAGATTTAACTAGGAAGATGTACAGATTTAACCAGGATGAAATCTAAATATAATTTTATGTGAAAAAAATTTTGTAGCTATCCGAAATAGGGCAAGAGAAAGATGCTTCATGACATGAAACAAAACCATAGGCCGAGAGAATTATGATGTGGAGAAAACTGGTCCCAGAACCAGTTTTTCCCCTGGACTATCCCCTCCTCATATGTATGTATGTGTACATGTCTGTCATAATTCCTCTTAGGCATAATTGGAAAGCAAAAACATATGAGATTTGCCCATTTCTTGATGTGTTTCAACTCGCATACCTCGTTTGATATACCTAATCTCATTACACCAGCCGAGCTTTTATGAGACAAGTTAACTACTGGATATTTTATTTCTTTCTGCTTAATAACTGGCGGAAACTTTATGCTGAAATAATTTATGCAGACTTCATTTCTATTCTATATTTATATTCGTTAAAATAAGGACTGCGCTATCAAATGACTATCTTATCTGGAAATTGTAACTATCACAGATGCACTGGGTCCTACACAGTACCTTATGTTTCGGCAATCTTATCTGAATATCACGCGGGATTCCCGAGGAAATATTTGTCCCTCTATACCTCTTGTAATAGTTTCAGGATAGTAGGTGAAGAAAGAACTGTTTTAAACTTTATTTACAAAGTTAAAAAAAGTTGTTAGAATCACACAGATAAAACAAGAAACCAGTAAGTGGTGAATGAACTGAACGGAAAGTACGATGATATTAATGGAAATATGACATCCATAAGACAGATATAATGCACAGAACACAACAATAACGGAGTAATAATAGGACTAAAAGAGAGACCTGCATTTAAAAACATCTGAAAAAACCAAAACAAGAAACTAAACATAAAGGCAAATAGGTGGACTACCTTTTCTGGAACGCAGATATACTAAGTGGAAATTAACAAGAAGGACAAGGACAAGGGAGATCGACAGAATTAGTAAAGTGGTGATTATCATCTCTAACATAAGGATTTCATCCCAATCTATATCCCACTTAACACAGTTTTATACAGCAGAAAATGTCCAACTTATTCAAAGATAAACGGGAGGCAGAACTGACAGACACAGGTTGTCTTCTATTCCACTCCAACAAGGATGAAAAGTGCTTTGACAATCAGAACAGATATAGAAATTTAGAGATTGATAAATGAACTATCAAAAAACATTAATTATATGGTTATGGAGAAAATACTGAATATATCCAAACAATTGTGGAGAAAGCTTTTGAGAAAAGAAATGAACTTATTACGCGCAAACATCATAACACATACTTTGCTATTATTCGTCCCGTACTACAGTTGATACCGGTATCAATTACATGAGTTGCAAATGTGCGATAAAGTTTGAATCAAGCATGAAATTGCAGAATAACCAGCTGGCAACTCTACATAAACAGTAAATTTCATAAAAAGTGAGCAATCTCAGTTGTAGTGATGGTTATGCCCTTAGTGGAGCACACCCATTGCATCCAGTGTTTGTCGTTTTAAAATTATTTTTATGCTCCAGAACATTTCATTTTCGTTTATTTCAGCGAATCGTATAAGTTCAAATCTGTAAGCACACCATCATGCAACTCCGGAAAATCTTCAGCAATCACCTGAAAAAATGACCTAATATGATCAAAATTAAGCGATTAAATTACAAGAGATCAACCGTTGTCTTCTATCCAATGGCAGTTTTATCGAACGGAGTAAATTTTATATAAAACGGATACTTCCTATCATGTTATCTAAATTTATAAATGAAGTATTAGCAGAAATTACTCATGTCAAATATACCAGAAATGAAATTAAATTTAAAAATATATTTACAATACATCTGTCTGAGCATTATAGAAAGTTGCGAGGATTTTTATAAAACAAACTTTGCACGTCATCAGTAATTTAACAATGTCCTGATATCATGAGCTGACTTTAGTTCGATATACTGCTCAAGGCCTCTTCAGATGTAAAATAGAAAGAAGCATTGTTCAAAAACTGGTATTTCAGCTGATATTTGAATTGTTTCCCATAAAAAATTAAAATAAAACAACTATCAGTCAATACTTACACCTTCAACAGAGTTCACTTCACTTTGCTTCAGAAGATACTCTCTGATGTTTTCGAATACTGCTGTCCCCTCTTCGTTCTGTGAAGAAACTTCTTTTTCATCAATATATGATTCAAGCATCCAAGTTAGATGATCGTTACCGAATATGGGCACCAGATTTCTACAAGGAAGAGTAGGTAGAAATAATAATATCACAATTAATCACAAAATTAGAGATAAGAATTCACAAAAAATGTTATAACTAATTGGAAACACCTACCAACTTTATTTTTTATTCATTTATTATTATTATTTTTTCTTTTTGGATATTCAACTGCTTAATAAAATTTGATTACCTGGAAGCAATCTAGTTCAACAAAAAAATTCTAACACTTGTTCAAATCTAAATTGAATACTTTGCAAAAATAACATAAAAATAAAAAACAAAAATAAAAACAGAGTTGAAAAATAAAATGAATAGTTGATTATTCTGGGACAGTTAAGAAACAAAAACTGTACATTAAATAAGATTCTCAGTGCAGTAACATCAGGATAATTTCTAATAGACAACCGATTCTGAAACAGTAAAAACCAGAATGATGATACAATAACGAGGAAATATTCAGTCATCGTAAAAACTAACTCTTCCGTGCACCAAACTGATTTTTCTGGTAACCCTTTCGAAAGATGATCGTTTTCGGTGTAATGCTGCCTCAGCTTCTGTAACGAACCCAGGTCATCCCTACCACATACGAAGCATCTTGCATTGTAGTTTTCTTTACGTATGTAATTAATCATTTTTACCCGTTCATAAACATCCAGCTTCTCTTTTTCAATTATTCCGAGAATATCGAAATAATGAACATCCTAGAAAATAAATAAGATAAAGTTTGACTTAAAGTTAAAACTTTATAAATCTAAGGTTCTTTTTTTTTTTTTTTTTTTCATCCAATGAAAATAATACACTAGCAATATCTACAACTTAAAAAAAAAAAAATGTGTATGACTAAAATGTGCGATGTTTTTGACTTCTCTACCTACAAACTTTTCGAAAAGAAATCACCAAATTTTTGTTGACTTTGAAAACTATCCACTAGAGGCAAAGCTATAAACTAAGCGAGCTAAACTTACTTTCATATGTTCAAGTAATGGAGCAGCGTGATCCTCAGTTTCTTCACAAAACAAACAAACTACACGAGTCTGCTCCACATCGATGTTATCCTCCTGCCATTCCTGCCAGGATTCCCTATTCACGATAATATTGGTTAATTCACTTTTATTCTTAAAATATTTTAAAAAGTGCAGGTGTCAATTTAAGATAATGACTATTTTTTTTCTTAATTTCAGTGCACATGATAAGCATTAAAAAAAAAAATCATACGGCTTAATGATATCTTTCCAAGATTACTTTCCTAAAAAATGGAAAATGAAGAATTCCAGAATGAAAATAATTCAAAAAATATTTCAAAAAGAATTCAAAAAAAAAACAATTGAAATGACTTGGGTCATAAAGTGTTTTGCACACCAGGAACATGGGAAAAGAAACACTAAACAATGAAAGAAAAACGGCTTACTCTTCCTCTTCTTCATCGGAATCTACAAATGTTGGCATAGTATCTTCGAAGTCTTCTTTCAATACATCTAACCAACGCTTTCCCAACTCCTAAGAAAAAGCGCTTTTGGGCAAGCAATAAGTTCAGATTTAGATCAGAATTATACATATATATAAACTAAATATTCCGTAAAAGTTAGTTTTGAGATCTCAGCACTCTATAAAGTGTAGGATACCTAGCAGAAAGACGTATAAATCCTTAGAAAGCCTAGGTAACACAATATATCCTGGTAATATATAAAAATTAGCACTAAAAATTAACACTGGGATAACTTCACCAATAATACTCTAAAAGTCCTTGTGAGCTCCACAAAATATCCAGTGCGAAACAAAAGCATGACACTCACTAAATAGTTAATAATGTAGAATTTGTCATAATAATTGTTCTTTGGATTCACTTCCTTATGATTTCGTTTACGCATATGATCCATCAGAGTGTTGCGGTCACTGAACCTTTTTTCACAATAAATACATTCATTGCTGCAAATAAACTTTAAAATTGAATAAAATGGATAAAAAGCAATCAAAAAGTCAATCATCATGAAATGAGCGCTAATTTTAGAAATGACAACCTGAGAAGTTTCGACTTCAGACACTCAATGTACTCGGTGACAAAAACTGCAATGATACGCACCATTAATTTTAAAGGGATTACACAAATAAATTAGAATATTGCTAACAAACGCAGAATGAATGTACAATTTCTAGAAACAACTTGTCATATATTATTTTAAGGGAATGAAAGCACCTAAGTTGTCGGGTGAGCCAAGATTCAAATGATGGATCATATAGAGGTGGTGGATTATTTTCGACCGATTACCACGTGCCGTATATCGACAAAAAATGCACTGCTGTATGAAATTTGTATCTTCTCGTTCACGTTGCTGACATGCTAATGCCTACAACTCCAAAATTTTGAACAAGAAATAAAAAGAAAGAAGCTACTCAAAGAGATAGTAATTTGTTATGTTCAGTGTAAATGTCAAATGATACCATACACTTATTATTCTACTACACTTTCAGCAGAAAAATCACAACAAAAGTGTTTTACATATATGGTCAATGTAAATACATAATGTTTAAAGAGTATACTTCTTCCAAGCGTCTCATAGCAAGTTTCTGACGTAATGCATAATCCTCCGGTAGATTTTCACCCATTTCATAGAAATAATTTGTCTTTCCATAAAACACGTCATTTTCAGTAGGAATTTTTTTCGGGAAAATGGTATCAATACTTTCCCTCGCAAAACGCTGTCTCCAGTATTCCACGTATCTAAATAAATTAGGATAATAACTGATCAGTATAAGAGAACATCAAAACTTGACAACCAATAAAGTAAATCGATTAGAATTAAAAGTTACAAACCAAGCGATAAACAATTCGGTTTAAAGCACTAACCTCTTTGGATCAACGATCAAATCAATTTCGACAATAACAATGTGATGATCATCAAGTAGATGCCTGTACAATGTATTTCGTTGATGCAGCGTGAAAAATGTGTCAGGCAGTGAAACAGTTAATAAAGGCCAAAATGCTTCATATACTTTTCGTCCATAAAAAAACAATACAGAAAAAAAGCAGTATAAAATTAAACTGAAAAACTAACTCCGAAAACTGCATGAGATGCTCCGGAAGGTCAAAAAATTGCAAACAGCTCAGACACATCGTTGGGCCACCCCATTTTGGACTGCAAAACTACTTTCACAAGTTTTGCTTGAAAAAGAAATATCATTTACAATGCTCTATCGTGATTTATTACACCACGTTTGGCACTACTTCTGGAGTCTAACCTTCCTAACTCACTGCAATTTTGTAGCTTTTAGCATATTTTGCTTCGAACCAATCAACAACTAATATAAAATAGCCATCATCAAACAGACTTTTGGAAAAACAAATCTAGTGTAAATGGGTTCTTGAAATATGCGCAATTAATAATAATGTCTACCTGTACCCTACTGCAGGAACAGTGCCCGAAAGAGTACGTATGCGCCCTCGTGGAATGGTCAGCGAAAGTTTTTTTGGTCCCCTTAAAGTATCGTTATCGTCGGAATCGCTGAACGGCTCTTCAAGATCGACTAAAGAATTAGAGGGATTTAATTGTAACTTTTGTAAATTTATGAAATTTTCTGTAAAGTATTTTTAAACTTCGTACTTCAAAGAAACGACGTACCTTCACCATCATAAATAAATCCTTCCAATATCATCGAATTTGTTGGCTGTTGTGTATTACGGCTTTTTTCGACAGCTTAAATTAAATAGGCACTATTTACTTTTAGAATGGCTGCTATGAATTCATTGAATAAAAATAATTCAATGCTATCATTTCATTTCATCACTCACTCAATTCTTTGGCTGTTTTACTCTGTCCATACTTCCCCTTTTTCATTGCAGATTCAATTTGCTCTTCCAACAGTTTTAATTACAATTTTCTCAGATTTCATATTAACAACTGAATTTGCTCCTTTGCAGTCTTGTTTAAGACTTCAACCACTTTTACTTAAACGATTTACAATTGATAAAAATCTCGTTGCTATTTTGATCCCCCTATTTTTTATCAACTTTCCTATGCAAAGAGCTTGCAAATTTCTAAAGCAGCATTCTAGACATCATACAAAGAAACAAATATCTATGAAATATAAGTTGCTAACAATTATAACGTCGTTTTGTCTGCACCGTTTGATATCCAATATCCGCTTCCTGCGTTATATTTGTTGATTTTGAACGTGGCTTGCTCTCCTTGTTTGAATATTCATCACAAGATTCTGCTTTACTTCCTGCTGTGTTCCGTCGATTATGTCCTTTCTACAATATACTGACAACTAAAAATCCTAACACCTTGTCTAATTTAAAATTAATACCCATATAAACACGTTATAAATGGACACATTATCGGGAAGAGTGAATATCTTAAAGTCGAACAAATACACAAGATCTCGAACTCTGATACAATATCATAGAATAACCAAAGGAGATACATTTTTTGGCACCACTTTCAAATCAGCAACATCACTTGTTTCCTTCAGTGCAATGCCGTTTACCAATTTCAGTTGCAAGTTGCCAATAGCTTCCTTTTTAATATTCTTCGGTACATTTTCCTTTTCTCTATCCGGATTTCCGTTCTGAACTGCATCACCACCTCCACCTATTGTTGCAGCCATGTTTTTAACCTGAAAATATTTAATTTGATTCAGATTACTCCATATAACTTCTAAGCCTATATGCATCTTCAAGAAAAAATGTACTGGTGTAAACACAAAAGACACGAAAGTTAAGGGAATATATATCGTAATCCTTGTTTCCAAATTGGTAGAAAGGAGTTGCACTTGAATTTACGATGCAAAATAATTAGATAACAGTTAAGTTCCATGAATTGTAGTCTCTTAACAAAACAAACAATAAGCAAAAGTTTCGATGAAATATATTCCTAAAACTGAAAAAAAAACGACTCTTACGAAAACAACTGATCCCAGAACAGCTTGAGAAATTTAAGAAACCACTTGTGACGGCCAGTGCTTTACAATTTTCCTTTTTCTTCTTGAAATGATTTTGATTTTGTTTGTCACAAAAAAAAACCTTTCTCAAGAGCACTACTGATCTCGAATTAAGCCAAGGACCACGTAGAGCCGGAAACACTACAGTAATCAAGTCAAGGTGAATTAGAACAAGACTGAAGTCAAGTACGGAAACACAGAGAAATCGTAATGGAGCAATAATCAATTAACAGAATGCGATACTTCACGCAGACCACGTGCGCTCCGCACTAACCACCGTCAGTGGTCCTTGTCGATTTCAACGCAATACAACGCAGTAGTGCGTGTTGAGACAATGCTCAAACAATGCAGCGTAACAACCTGATCGTTTAACTTTGGGACTTGACTTACGCGTATTGCGCGTAAATTTAACGTCTGTTTGCTGTCTGGTTGCTGTATGGTGTCGTTTTTACTTTGTCCAACGATTCTATTCGAACACGCCATCAGAACGATAAGAAAAACAAAACACTCGACAACACCTTCGTTCTTCATGCAGTTTTCCTTATTCAATTTACAATGTACGTTTATTGAGCGTGGCATACACTATGTACGAGTCGCTAAAGTAATGTATTGAAAATGGACGAGAGTGGTGATCTTTAAAGTTAAATAAATGAGAAAAGAAGCAGAAGTAAGGTAGCAGTACATTTGGAGTTGGAGGCTGGAAGATAAGGTTGGAGTAATGTCAGGAAAGATAACAAAGAGAAGTCAAGGGAAAAGGCAATGAAAATAATCAATGCTTGTTCCCTTCTCAATTTAATCTTATCTTTCTGGAAATTCATTATTCATGTTCAGATATCAGCAAAACTGATCGGTTCTCTGTTCGTCTTAATCCCTCCAACCTATTAGCATTAGTGCTTTCACTTCATTTTCACAAAGTTGAAAATTGAAAGAGACTCAACAAAAGTTGAAAGAGATAGTCTATTTGACCCGAATGGTGATGGTGCAATTTTAAGCGTGATGATTACATAAGATGTGTTCAATTAACTGGTCAATTATTTATTTAATAAATTACTCCGGACATATTCATAGCCCTTAACAGAGTTTATTACATGGATAAATAAGATGTCAACTGAATTATTGATGTAGTGATCGTAGTGCGGTGATTGGTGTAGTGATTTTATATTTCAAAGATATTTTCGATCACAGCATATCGAAGTGCATGATGATTTATTTTGTTTCATCTGTTTGCTGAAAAACTTTTGTCCTTTAATAATCTATAATATAACAAAATTCATTGGGCAACATTTAAATAGCAGACCTGTTCAGGATAAGGCTGGAGCAGAGCTAGGCCTAGATATGATATCGGGCCTAGCTTTGCATAGTCGATAATGTTGGAAGGACTGTGAAAAAAGAAATATTTGGCAGGAAATTATGGAATGGATAATGAATAAAGGATAGTATATATAAGCATATCATGTCATCTGTCTCATTTTTAAACAAAATCATGTCTATTTTCAATAAATCCGTTGAACATCTATTGCTGAATAGAATTCTTCGAGGAATTATTTTTAACGACTGCTTATTCTGAACCGCAATTACGAAATAATTTGTCATAATGAACCGAAAATTTCAGTGCAATAACCTAATTTTTCTTTTTGGAACCTAACTTAATGCATATTGTTTGCACTTCACAAATTATAAATTTCAAAGCAAATTTATCCATCATTTTAAACGTGAAAAATCCCTCTATATTTTTATTGATAAAAGATAAATTGCCACTATTTATTTTTTTGAAGAAAGTTAAGAATTTATTAATTTTAGAATCTTTCCATCTCTTAGAACAACGAAAAATTTTTATGCCGTACTTTTGTGACCATCTAAGAAATTATAAAGTTATGGAGTTGAATTTTCTAAGATAATGTTTGGAATATATATGCTAAGAATTGTAGTAGAAAGGTTATTATTGTAACTGTCAAGAAAATTTCTTGTTTTTATTGAAAAGTTTTTCATATATTGGTTGTGAAATTTTTTGAAGAAGGTTGTTAGTACATTCCTGAATATATAACTGGAAGTAAAACCAAAATATAAATAAAATAACATTCTCTATGTTGTCTAGTTATGAAAAAGTACCTGCGTTCCGGGATACTTCCTATCTAGCGCAATTATTTCGCCTGTTTTCCGGACTATAATCTAGGAACCTTAAATGCTTCTTTTTTTTTTTCGTTCTATTTTAGAAGTAATACCTATGCATCATTGCTTTTCCTCATTTCTTAGCTAAAATAACGTTTTTGTCAAGAATCCTATTTTAATGCTTGCAATAACATGATCCCAACGGAATCTTTTCTTTTCCCACCCAAAAGCTTGCCCACATTCTCAAAATTCATTTGTAAAATCCAATTCGCTTTCGGCCTTTAGCAGTCCCTCGCTGCATCCATATTATCTTTTGGATTTATTTTTTATTCTGGGCTGAGGAACGGTTCGAACGATCCTGGGAAATAATCGTTGTTCTGAGGTATTCATCAGAATTCGTAGTAAATATATTGTCATTTAATGGGACTTTAATAGTTCAAAGTAATCACTTAGTTTCAGCTATGTAATTGAGGAATAAAATATCATAAACTACCTAAAAAAGACTATTTGTGATAGAATCAGAAGTGTTTTTCTTTCTTGTTTAGACTTAAAGAACTTCCAAATAATTCTTCAAGTTTGATGGCTTAAAGTTCGCAGGTCTAACCGTAAAAGTATTTTCATTATGTGTCACAATTATAATTTATATCAACTGCGTGTTAAAGTGTACTCACAAGTTAGGATTGAAATACTTTAGCACACAATAATTAGCACTTCCTTACTTTGCCATATTATTTCCTTTTCACGCATTTAATCACGTTACTTTTTCACTATTTTTTCCGAGCATTAACGAATTTCAAAGTCGATGATTCGAGCCTTTACAATTTCATCTATTTTATTTTTGTGATATTATGAGAAATAATTATATGAATTTTTGTTCAACATACTCATATTATGAATATTTTTTTTTTCTTTTTGCATATTAAGAAATAATTATGTGAATTTTTTGTTTTGCATATTGTGATATTATGAGAAAGCGTAAGATGTTTTTGCTACAAATTTGATTGGTATCAGTCTTCGTATATGCTGGTGCAAAAGTCGCAAAAGTTAGGATGAAAAAAAACGTCGGAACATTTTATACTGGATCTATCTTGCGCCACAACTTGAACTATCCTAGTAAAAAATGTTAATACTTTTTTGTTATTTAGAATGATTTACGTAATAATTTTATAAACAATAAAGATTCGATCATATTTTCAGCATACAATTCAAAGGCAATTCTGCAGATATAAATCTCTTCGATAGAATAAATACGATAGTAGGAAGTGAAGAAACGTGAAAGATCGGAATTCAGTAACGTCTTCATTACTTCTTTTCTTGAACAAGAAAAGAAAAAGTTAAACTCTCTGCTGCTAACTGAAGTTATCTAGTTGTAATAGAAATGTAGTCGAATTTCAAGTCTCTTTTCCAGTCTTCACAACGCATTCTGGATTATTAAAGCATCATTCATCCGTACTTCGAGTCTCCGGAATTGCTCATCAACTTCATAAAGTCTATTTCTGCTATAATTTCCAATCACTGCACTGGTGCAAGATACTTCTATCTCACCTGTCTATCAGCAACACATTTTATCATTTTTAACCACTACAAAATTTGTCCTAAAAAATTTTCACTGTTTATTAAAATCGAATGGTTTCATTTTTGCATTACCAATATACCCATGCAAGTTAGACTTTATTGTTTATTGTTTAAAAGTATTGCCCTTGATTTCTAGTCACTTGCTTACAAAAACGTGCGGTAAAAACTCAAAATCATTCTATTCTTAAACAAAAATGCATTAGTCTAAAGGATAACTTATGTCTTCAACGAAAAATTCATTACCATATGAAGAATGACAAAGTTATGTTGCACAAAACAATTTAACCCGAAAATGGATTGTAACTTATGATTGCTGCTGTTGCTGTCATCTAAAACTATAATTATAAAGTTAGTTACTTACGAGTACTAAGCTGCTGAATTGCTACTCAAATTACTCAGTGAGGAGTAAATGAAAAACATGGCGCTTATTAAATATAAAAAGCTCTCCACAGCTACGGCTTATTTCTTGCATTGCTCCTGAATATGGATGATGTCGCATGAAGTTGTCATCTTGTGTACTGAACAATAAATTTCATAAGTTGCATTTGTAAATGCCTTCCTTCATATTTTTTCTATTAGACTCAGAGAGCTAATGATGTTCAATATCTAACATTTATGTATTTATTTCGATTTACATATTTCGTGAAATTTTTAAAAAGGGCATGCGAAAATGATAATTTCCGTCCACAAATAGGAATTTTTTTTAAATTGAAAATTATCATTTATTAGTTTATCTAACGGATCTAACGGAGGGGAGGGATTTCAGAAGATTCATATCGTCACCATTTATTATTGCTCGATGGCATCCGTCTTCGAGTGAAAATAATTTATCTGCTTCTGTTTGTTCTGGCCTATCCACCAAAACTTTCACGACTTATCTCCCACTTGCGCTTTTCATCATTTTTTTCCTCTTTTTGCATGTTTCATTGTCTATGCTATGCCTACTTTTAAACCACTTAAGTTTAGAAAACGAACTCATTGCA